TTGGTCCTGCGCTCGCGGCCGACGGAAGGACTGCACTCGCCGTGCGCCCTTTTCGTCCGTCAAGCCCGAGGTAAGGTCCATGATCTCTTGCTGGGCGTTACGTAGCCGCCGGTCGATCTCGTCCTGTCGTTGCCTGCGGACGGCCTCTCTTTCTTTCAAGGTTGCTGGCGACGTCGACGGGGAATAGGCGGATGGCGACGATAGGTGGTCTCCTTCAGTCACAGTTCTGAGAGGCCGACGAGTGCCTTCAGAGTGGTAGTACATCGAAGAACCGGTTGATGCTCCTTGCGACGGTACGCTGGACTGGCCAGAGCTGCTCTGGGCGTCAGAGACAGAGTGCGGTACTGGCGGTGGTAGGTGGTTGTGAGAGGTGCTGGCGTTCCATTGATAACCCTTCGAGCCTATACTCGGAGCACCTGTATACGAGTGTTGATAATAACTAGCGACAGTAGAGGATTGAGCCGAAGGCGAAAGGAAAGGCGTGACGAAGGAAGCATCCGGTGCATCAGCAGGTCCGAGTTCCGACATGAGGGCTGCAGGACGTCTTTCGAGCTCGGCCAATTCGTGTCGTCGTCGGTCACGACGGCGCTTGCAGAAGAGTAAACCGAAAATAAGCAATGTGAGGGCAGCAAGCCCTCCGACAACACCTCCGACAATTGGTCCGATGGGAGTTGATTTCGACTCCTCTGAATTCGCTCCGACGGCCGTTGATGAGGGTGAATTGGTTTGACTTCGTGTCTGGCTTGCGGCAGAACCAGTGGTGCGGGTGGGGGTGCTAGTAGAAGAAGAGGAGGTCGAACTACCAGCTGGTGGTAGAGGAAGTAAAGGAGCATCGTCGTCATGGCTATCAGGATAAAATTTGGTTCAGATGACAGCTGCGAGGCTGCTAGACATGACAAGCACTCACGTATAGATGGCATAATCAAAGTTCACATAGACGTTGGTGTTGACTCCCGAGGTCGATATGACTAGTCTATGCTGAGCATTGATCATGTCCGTTCTCGAATAAACCAAGGAATTGAATTCAATGTCGGTGGTGGTGAGGTCTGGGGTGTGTTGAAATGCCACAGGTGCATCGCTGTCCATCGTGAAGTTGGCCATGGTGAGTGTGGTAATACCATCTCCGGCGTTGTTCGCGAGGATGAAGAAGACATAGATTGTCGTTCCTGCAGTGAAGAGGCATTGGGATCGATGAAGAGAAAGAAAGGAAGGAAGCTACGTACCATTGAAGTCCAGCGTAATCGAGATGTTTCCCAACCCCGGATTATACGTCGCTGCCGTGTAGCTCTCCTTGAACGCCCTCGTGATGTCAGGCTTGATGGCGCAACCTGAGCATAGATTGTCTTCCCAAACTCTCGCCGTTGTTGGGAGGAAGGTGGGTAGCCGGCGAGTCTCGGAGTCGCCAAATGTGTCGTCGATAGTCCTGTTCACGATTCCAGCCCACGTCGGCGCCACGCGGAGCCAGAAGAAAAATAAAAACTTGAAGAGCAGAGGACCCGGCCCTCGACGAAGCACATCCATTACGATGGATGGTGGAGGTAAAGGGTCAAAACAGCGCCATGAGAGGCGGGAATGGGGGTACCTCGTGTGGCACTGTGATCATAATTACTCCATAACGTTTGATAGAGATGGTGCATAAATGTGTTGGAACATTTGATGCTTGCTATGCTGTGGCATAGTAACAAGGCCATCACGGACGACCTCGGAGTATGGGGTTTGAGGCCTTGAGGCCTCTATAATTATGAAATGTACATCGAGGAGACCTGATATAGAATGTAGATTGACGAAGCTGGATCCTGGAGTCCGAAGTAGAGGATCGGCGACGGGCGTACAATTTCATTCTAACTGCGAGGTTGAATTGCTCAATCAAACGATGTACGAGCGAGAGAAGCTTACCTCTAGAGAACAGTTGCATGATCCTTATGTAGCACTTAGAATGGACGACAATTGATCTTGGACTGCAGTCCAGATCTTTGATTGAGCTTGGGTGTTTCCACTGCATAGAAGGTGAGATACCGATTGAATGACGTTTTCGCTAGCCAAATTGCAAATCGAGGACCTTTGAGCGAGGGATATCGCCTGGAGTAGAGATGCATAACCAGTGAGTACGTTCGCAGGACAAAAGGTGTTACAGTAGTTAGAGTACTTAGTCCAAAGTCAAGTTGAAGCTGACAGCGCTGAGCGTTTGGGAAATTGAGTCCGAAAGCACATAGAGGACAATCACGTGGGCGTGATGCTTGGTCGTGTTGACGCGTCAGGTTGAACACGGTCAACGGAGCTTTTGAACAAAAACATACATATCGCTGGACAGCGCCAGACATTCATGTTCGCCGTCACCACGACCGACACGCTCAGTGTCGCAGACCCTGCACTCCTCAAGAAGGCGCCCTCCTCCATCCCATCATGCCTGGACCTCGTCGAAGCCCCAACAGCGAGTGCATGGTCACCCGATAACTCTTTTCTGTACATCTCCTCAGCGCGGACGATACACCGATATGACCCAACGACCAACATCCTGCGGGATGTGTATAGCCTGGAGGAAGTGGAGGAGATACTGCATATTGCCGTGAAGGACAGGACCACCATCATCCTTGCGGCAGGAAGCACGATTCACGTTTTGGAGTGCGGTTCAAGCCCAGAGATAATCCAAACATTCGACTCGCACAAATCACCCATCACCTCCCTATCTCTCTCCAACGACAACACCCTCCTCGCATCAACCTCTTCCGGGACCGCTCATGTGCACAACCTCGCACTGGGATCGCATACGGTGCTCAAAGGGTTGAACGGGCAGGACGTTGGCACCGCCGTCTTCAACCCGCACTCGCGGACGCGGCTGCTCGTCTCATCGCGGAAGCAGCTTTTGGTGTACGATACGACACGCCCTTCCGGACCAGTCAAGACCGTCACCCTGGCCGACTCGTGCACGAGAGACATCACCAGCGTAGCCTGCAGCCCTTTCAGCAAGACCCTGACAGCAGTAGCTACTCCAGACGGCTTTGTTGGGCTGATCGACCTCGACAAGGAGAAAGCGTATGTTCTTTTTACCTTGTGCTCGAGTTTCCTTTGTCTGAATCGTCATCGTCGTGTCGCAGTCTTTTCCGAATGCTACCTGTCAAACACCCACTCACTAGAATCGTCTTCTCACCTGAAGGAGGTTGCATATATCTCGGCACAGAGCACGGAAGCCTCCTTCTCGTCGACTTGCGAGGTTTGGACAAGCCTCCTAAACCTATTATCGTCAGTGAGACTGGCAACAGGGTTCAGACTATAAGCATACAGGTGTGGCTGACTGCCCTTTGTGCTTTGAATTTCAACTAACAAAACATATAGAAAAAGACCAAGTCGCCAGCGGACCCAGCCACAAGAGCTTCTATTACCACTTCCACTAGCACAACGATGAAGACGGCTACAGAGGCCCCGCTACCCGCCAGACGAGCAACATCCAACACGGCGACGCAGGCAGCGAAGCCTGTACCGAAAGTAGCACCGTCTCCTGCTCGTCCACGTGTAGGAAAGGCAACGGTGGTGGCACCGTCGCCTATCGCCCGACGAGTGGCGTCGTCTGTCAAAGGAGGAACACCGGCGTCGCCTGTACCACTCCGGAGCGCGAAAGCCGCGTCGGAGAAGAAGGTTTTGTCGCCTGTTAGGGATCCCCTTGGAAATAGTGGAGATGTTGGAGGTACAACTTGTCATTTGTTCTTATATTATTTGCAAACACTCACCGAACGTTCAGGCCAACTCGACCAACTCGCAAAGCTCCACCGAGGCAAGCCCGACAGCACACCCCTTAAATCCTCCAAGAGACCCTCAGCCGACGCTGTCCAACCCGTACCTTCGTCCTCCCGACGAGCAACCGCAACGAGCGCGAGCAAGCTCGAATCCACCAAATCCTCCTCCTTAGCTTCCACCACCACCGCCACCGAGGCCTCCCAACCCCGGCGAGCACGTACCCTTCCCTCTTCCTCCTCCAGTACGCTCGCCACACGCAAATCATCTACCATTGCCAGTATAACCGAGTCCGTCTCAACGACTGATAGGCTGGCTGTCCCCAACCCGAAGGGAAGCCCGGTGAGGAGACAAAGGACAACGTCGTCTGCGTCCAGGGCGAGTGCGGTGGATGTGATTTCTAGTGCCTCGACTGCGAGGAATGGGGCTGGATCTGGGACGAAGGCGGAGACGACGAGAAGGGTTTCGGGCGCTACCAGTGCGACATCTGTGTCAGTGGTGTCGCCGACGTCGCCCTCAAGGCCTTCTTCAACTACCTCCGCGTCGGCGGTGTCGCGTTCCGGGTCTGGCTCTGGCTCTGGCTCCGGTTCTATGGCGTCGCGCAGGAGCAAGGTGTCCAGCAGCCTGGGACACGAGCTCAATGAAGAGCCCGAGAACGAGGTCGTAACAGCAAGGAAACTAGCAAACAGGACGCCCTCACCTGACTTCCCAGACGTGCACGTTGAGCCTGTCACGCCTGTGCCTGTCCAGAAGCTTAGGCAGAAGGAGAGCGCGAAAGCGGAGCTCAAAGAGGCTGAGGGGGAGAAAGTGCAAGACGGGGAGAAGGGCAAGGGGAAAGACAAGGACAAGAAGAGGGGCATGGGTGTCCTCGGCCTTGGCACGCCTGAGGTCGAGCGGTGGGTTCAGGCAGGGAAGGCGGGTGCCAGCGCCGACCTCAAATCCAACCCCAGTGCGAAAGAGGCGCAGAGAAAGGAGAGCACGAGTAAAGGAAAGAGCGTTGGATTCAAGGATGCTTTCACCTCTGACGACGAGGAGGAAAGGGAGAAAGTGCTGGAGAGGGAACGCGAGCGGAACCTATCCCTCCAAATCTCCCCTCGCCGACCTGGCGGTCTCCCGCCCAGCGGCTCAGACTCAGGGGTAAGCGCGAGCTCATGGAACGCTGCGCTCTCCTCCGCCTTATCCTCCGCCTCCTCTCCCGCCCCATCCTCCACTTCCGCCGACCACACAGACTATGTTGGTGCAGCGACGACAGCACCACCAACCAACACCTCCGCTCACGAGCTCCTCAAAACTATCATCGAAGACGTCATGTTCGACTTCCAGCGCGAGACCAAGGCGGAGATGATGGGTCTGCACCTCGACCTCCTGCGTATGGGCCGGGGGTGGAAGAATGAGCTCCGGGTGCTGATGGATGAGTATGTGGGTGATTTAAGGGAGCTGAGGGAGGAGAACCAGCGGTTGAGGGTGGAGAATGAGCGGTTGCGGAGGGGGACGTACTAGCTTTAGGTTTGGGGTGGGCAGTTGCTATGTATATGTTATATTATTGTCGACGTCTTGCGTATTGTGGAGTCGTGTTACCCTCGTTTGGTTGAGGATCTGTTGTATATATGTTCGTTCTTTTATTTCATTTCCTTCGTTTCGAATTCTGGCTCTCGAGGTGATAGACTCGGTCTGCACTCAAAGTGGAATTTCTTACTAACTTTGGCAATCTGAATCAACCGAACCATCTGAGGAGCGTCGGACAAGAGATTCTTATGCATGCACGAAAGAGATCTAGCATAGAACCGCAAAACAGATTGCACATTTGTATTCAATGCTTGAAGAGAGCCCACAAAACAGCTTGACAATGACAATGACAAAGTTGATCGATGAACACACTAGTCAGTGGCGAGGCTAAAAGAGAGAAAAAATCCCAAGTCTATATCATGAAGATACGTAGTACCGTACCAGTAATCCAAGAAAAAACATCAAAATAAAAATGGAAACGTAAAGGAGGAGAAACTGAAGCTGAACAAGGAGATGACACGAGTGACGAGAGGGAATATTGGCAGAAGAAGGGTATAGAATTGGGTGCGAATTGTAAGCGTAATTGAAACTGAGACTGAGATCGAGACTGAGACTGAGTGTGATAGTTAGCGTAACGTGTAGGAATGAGTTCGTTCGTTTTCGTTTGGTCGTTGGCGCCGTAGGAGACGCCGGCACGGATGGGTCAGGGTGTGTATGGGGGGTAAGGAAGGGGAAGAGGATGACGACAAGGGAAGTGGACTAGGAGGGTAGGAGGCTGTGCAAGGAAAGGTGAAGGATGAACGCGTTTTGTGGGGTTGGAGAAAAGGAAGACGAGAAGAGATGAAGTGAGGAAGGTCATGAACCTCAGTAGTGTGTGTGCGCGCAAAAACGAAAACGAAAACGAACAGAAACAGGAGGTTGACGGGCGTAATGCAATAATCGAAAGAAGAGAAAAATGCAATAGAATAGGAATAGACAAGGAAACATGTGCATGCAGCATCGAGAAGATCCAAGAAAAGATAAGAAAATTGTCAATCCGTCGTGTCTGGCCGCAGCGAAACGACGCGTCAGCCATAAGTAAAGGAACGAACGGCCAACATCAACGGACCGACTGACGATCAGGCCAATTTAACCCAACAAACACAACACAGAACAGAGCAGACGCCAGCCACCAACCACCACCAAACGAGCGTCTTAGCGAGTGTAAGAGTGAGAGCGGAAAGATCGAGAAAAGCGTCAACATGTCATCATCAGTCCGGAACCAAAAGGCGCAATTACGAAGTGATCAATGTAGGTGGGCTGGACTGGAAAACGAGATTGAAGGGGTCATCACAAGAAACAAAAAATGGGTTGAGTATCGGACGCGGGGGTTGAGATCTGAGAGTATAATGAAGTGAAAAGTGGAATTGGAAAATGTCATCTCATGAAGGGAACCATTGAACTTGGAAGTAAATCGTCACTATTGATTGATTGATTGATGGGTGTGCAAGAGAGAGGAAGGGAGAGTAATAAAAAGTAAACATTAAGCGAAGATAAAACCCGGAATCAGATGGAATGAAGAAAAAAAAACGACAGACAGACAGCGTCGGCACGGGCACGGGCATGGAGGTGGAGGTGGTAGAGGAGGGGTTGGGTGGTGGGTTGAGTTGAGTTGAGTTGAGTGGCAGGTGGCGAAGATGAAGGGCGAGGCGGCAAACGAGGGCGGACGGCAAGACGAAGGAAGACGGGGACAGACGGGGTGGTGACGACAGAGGAGCTGTATCTCTGTACGGAGGAGGCAAAGGGGACATTGAAGACGGTGGGCAATGACGAAGATCATGGTCATGGGACGACATGTCGAAAAGCATCGTCAACGCGCATATGGTCACTCCCAAAGTCAATAAAAGCAGAACGAGCAGCACACCCGACACAACCCAGAAAAGACCAACGTCGACACTTTTGTTTCTCCTTCCGTCCTTCCTCCTCGAGGATGGTTATCTGATAACGATCGTGGATCCAAGAATAGTTCGCGGGTCGAGGGTGGTTGGACGCGGATGGAGCCTGCTTGAGATTGGGCCCACATCCTGATAACTTGAACTTGGACGTCGACCCGAGATCGCATGAGGACGACGTCCATGGTCGAGGAGGTCGTTGAACACCTCTGCCTCCTGTTCGTCCTTCCTGCTTGACGAAGGTATTGCCGAAAGCGGTGTCGACCCGACACTTGAAGGACCCTCTCAACCCTCCACCCTCCACCCTCGAGTGGGCCAAGAACCAGCCAAGGGCCAAGTCACCCAAGGAATTTAGAACCCAAGGTACGCCCCCTCCTCACACCTCTCGTCATCGTCATCTTGCCACTGACGCTGCCGTACCCATCTTCTTCTTGAAGTTCTTCTGTCGAACCTCAAGAGTCTTGTGCCTTGACCAGAACCCCAGAACCCCAGAACCCAAACCACCCCCGAGCTCGGCGCTTGATCCCTCGGCGTCCAACCACCACCCACCCATACCACCCTCCAACCGCCTCTCTCTACACACCCACCTGCCTTCCACTACCACCACCTCTCCTACCCTCTCATCACCTTCATCCTGCACACCCCTCCAGTACCACACACCTTTTCACCTCTACCCATCCTCTCCACCCCCTTCACCACGCCCCATCATGACCCCTGCCCATTCCCATTCGCACTACTCCACTCCCCACTAACCGACCGCGCAAACGGGCCCAAGCCCACATTCAACCCTCCTCCTCCAGTTGTTGTATGACTCGGACTCGGACTCGGGCTCGGCGCCCTCGACGGCACCCTCGACGGCGTCCTACTCGAGAACGGCGTCCCATCCGCCGTGCGCAGGCCCTCGGGCGGGTGCACGAGCTCGCCTGACTCTGCGAGGCCGAGCGCGCCTTTCGTCATACTCACGCTATTAGCCGAGGTGGGGTTGGCGTAAGAATTGGCGTTGGCGTTGGCGTATGAATTGGCGTTGGCGTAAGAATTGGAGTTGGAGTTGGAGTTGGAGTTGGAGGCAGAGGCAGAGTTAGCGTTAGAGGTAGAGGTGGACGAAGTGAGCGGAGAGAGAGGCGCAGTAAGCAGAGCAGACAGAGACGCGCTGCTGCTATTCCGACTGCTGCCTCCTGCTGCCCCGAAGCCGCTTGATTTGCGGCGCATGAAGGAGCCGACGCCTAGTCCTAGAACGGACGCGGACGCAGAGGGGTTTGAAGAGAAGGAGGCATTTGAAGTATCGACCAACGGCGTTCCAGGGAAGTACGGCGAGGCGGAGGGCGAGGACCTGCCCGAGCTCGTGGGCGACGCGTCGTTCAGGACGATCGAGAAGCTGAGGTCCTTTTCCTTCTCCTTCGATGGCGACGGCGGGGCAGTCGACGGCAACGACGTACTCAACGCAGTCGAACGCGCCGGCTGGTTATACATCCACGTCGCGCCCAGCACCGTCGACGCCCCAATCACAAACCCGGGCGTGATCCTAAAATCAAACAGCACGACCGACGCGAGGAAAGAGAGGACGATCGAGAGGCTCGTCGCGAAGCCCTTGAGGATGTTATCCGAGTACTTGATGACCACCGCCGTGACGAGCCCGCCGAACACCTGTATGGCGACCGTCGCCCAGGCCCAGGCGCCGAAGTTGCGGAAGAGGTCCGCGAGGAAGCCGCGCGAGTCGGAGTGGGGGGAGGCGTAGAGGATGGGGAGGAGCGCGGGGATGAGGGAGAAGAGGGAGAGCTGGAGGTTGCGCACCCAGAGGTCGGCCTTGGAGCCCTTGAGGACCATCTCGAAGTAGACGCCGGCGAGGCCCGAGGTGAAGCATGCGGCGGTGACGGCGCCGAAGCCCTTGAGCGGGTTCATGGTGTGCATGTGGTAGTCGTGTGCGCTGCCCACCGCGCCCTCTGTCGCTCCTGACGGCTTGCTCGTGACGTGCCCCGCGCCCATCGTTGTTTGAATCTGGACAATCCCTACCCCAATGGCCAGGAAGAACAACGAGAGCCACTTGGTCGAGCTCAGCTTCCTGCGGAGGAGGGCGACGGAGAAGGCGGCGGTGGTGAGGATCTTCATCTGGTATGTGACCTGGAAGGAAGCGACGGGGAGGTTTGCGATGGCGACGAACTGGAGGGAGTTCTGGATGACGTAGAGGATGGCGGGGATGGAGAGCTTCCAGGCGTCGGGGCTGAAGACCTCGGCGCAGAGGTCGGCGAAGGCGTGCCAGAGGAGGATGGGGAAGAAGGAGGAGGAGCGGTGGCGGCGGGTGAGAGGGTGGTAGGGTGGTGGTGGTGAGGAGGAGAGGAGGGGCGAGTTGAGGAGGGCGATGAAGAAGGAGATGGAACCCTTGAGGAGCTCGTTGAGCAGGACGGCGGAGGCGGGGGAGTAGGAGAGCGCGGGGGGCGTTGAGACGCGCGAGTAGTGCATGACTATCGAGAGCGCGGCGTTTTGGACTGCGAGGGTGACGAGTCTGGGCAGGCGCGATAAGCATAGGAGATACACGGACGGACGTGCGAGACGACTCACGATACGTATTTTAGAGGGAGGCCACATATCGTAGGCTGCTGCTGCTGCTGGTGTTGATGCAGCGGCTGGTGGTAGTCAGGGCCGAACGGGAACTTCTCGGCGTGTTTGGGGGACGCGGAGGGGAGGAGGGGGGAGTGACGGGGGGTGGGGACCCTGCTGGAGACGACGCTCTGTGACAGCGAGGACGAGGAGCGGACGGTGGGCAGCGGGCGGTGGTGCATGTCGGGGGACGAGGCGGGGGACGTGGTGGCCGAGTGCTGGGGCAGCTTGAGGGCTGAGACGCGGGGAGCCATGTCTAGGATGGGCTGAGACGGACCTGTCTATCGTTGTCGTCGTGGCCGGCCGTGAGCTGGAGGAATGAATGGACGTCTCCGCTGTCGGTGTTGAGAGAAAGGGGCTGCAACGCACACGCTGGGTGAAAAAAATGATCCCGGACGGACGGTTGGCACCACTTTTTGCGTCGGCTCCTCTCTCTTCTCTGAGCTCCCACGCCCTGCGAGCTTCTGATCTGCGGTTAGCCGCCCTATTACCAAACACCCATGTGGCCCCGCTCACCACGAATGATGGCGTGCTCACTCATGGCGAGCAGCCCCGTTCGCAGTCAACAGCGGCGTATGTACAGTACATACAATGGAGCGCCGCGGGCATATCACAAACACCCCGATGCCCATCACCAACGCGTCCGACCGCCCCAACCCAACCCCCGCTACCGCCAACTTAGCTAGCCTCGCCTCGCCTCGCACTGCCCATACTTACCCACTCCACCACCTCCACCGCCGTCGCCTTCTCAACCGCGTTCTCCAGCTCTCCAACAGCAACAGTGGAGTTCTTGCCTGCGCTGACCTCATACCCTTCTCTTCCCCTTCTTGCCTTCCTCCTCCCCTGCCGTGCGGGCCACCGCTGACGCTGACGACTCACGATCAGAAGCGCCGCCTTCCCTAGACCTGGAACCTTCTGTCAGCCGCGAAATCACGATTGTCATTTTTTTTTGGTGCGGAGCATCGAGCACCCCCGATTAGATAATATCATATCACGTCGTCGACAATACGCGCCCCCCCGAACCTGAAACCGAACGAGCGGTTCGGGGTGCTCCTGGTGGGCTGTGGAAGGGTTGGCCGTCATTGAAGACGTCCGCCCCGCTGAGAAGCATCCTTGAACACTCAGTACTCACCAACGACTCCGGTCAATACTTCTCTCTTCCTACCCCAGACTTATTGTAACTTGTAACCTTCAACTTGAACGTCGATGCATTGCTCGCATCGCACGCCATCATCGACGTCACTGGTACCGGCCTCAAAAATGAATCCGACTGCCCGACTCCTCCGACCTCGATGCTAGTCCGAAAACCCGAACACGGCGCACGCCCCCAACTCTCAGAACGTCTTCCTCTCCGTCTTTGGTCATCGAGCGCGAACCCATCTTTCATTTCCTCTGCAAATTCTTTACATAAATTATCATCACATCGAGCCATCTTCAATGCATCGTACATACCCAGCCTTCCTCGTTCCCTCGAGGCTCGAGCGACGTAAGTGAGAACCGGCGCTAACTCTCCGAGGTCCCGAGCCCAGTCCCCAGTCCCCACCACCCACCTCATAAGTAGAGTAACTGAGTATCGTCTGCGGCTTGCAGTCCTTATCCGTATCGCCAACGGCCTAAGTCTGAGGCCTGATTGCACCCCCGCCCCCAACCCATCCATCCAAGCACCCGCCCAACCTCGTTCTCCAGGCCCGATAGTCTTCCTCTGGCGCAGTACATAATATTATGTAGTACTAGGTCGTGCTGATGCATCACATCTTGTACTCTATCGCACTCGTCATTTCCGAGGTATCCAGGCTGCAGGACTGGGGCCGCTAGACTAGAAGAATCGACCGCCGCGGAAGGAAAGCTACAAACACCTTTCGCAGCCAACGATATCGATATTGGCGTCTGCGCGGGCTCGAAACCGCCGTCCGGCCTGACCAATGCCGTCACCGTTCGCGAGCACCGGGTCCGTTGGTTACTGACGACAGCGTGCACGACGTCAGACTTGATAAGACTAAACCGTTGGGGAAGGAAGGAAGATAGACAAGTAGGGATGGGGTATGGTATATGACGTCCGAGTCGCTGGTAAGTAGGTAGCAGGAAGGAAGGGTTGATTGGATGTAGGGAAGGTTGGATATAAGAAGGCTAGCTTCGGGGCGTGTGCGGAGATGCCGAAATTTGTCGAGAGTGCTATCATAATCAGAAAATGGGATATTGTCAGAATATCGTGACATATTCTCCGAAAAGCGTCAAACGCGAGAGAGAGAGGGAATGAATCGTAAGTATACGCACCACAGAGCCTTTTCATCTCCTACCAGTCCGAAGACTTGAAGGTAAGCACCATCACAACATCCCGGAAGGCGAGGTACATTTACTTTTGCTGCGCAAGTAGACCAGACCTGACCTAAAACTAAAGAAACGTTTTCAAAACATCGTGACGCTTCCTCCAAAAGCACATCAAATATGTAGGGAGAGGATAACGGAAGAAAGGGAAAAAAAAATGGATCGTAGTAATCGGCCACAGCCTGAACGGAGAACTGATACCCAGCGGCTTCTCGACTTCCTTCTGAGGAAGACGAGACGAGTTGCTTTCTACGCTTTTTGAACCGAGCTTCAAGGTCTGTAGTTGTAGCAATGAACCTGCGTGCCCAACGGTGCGTGCACGGTACCAAGTGTCGACTATGACAGTTTTGGTGTTCTGACGATTTGATAAGACGATAAGACAACACGTTTGTGAAGGAGGCAGACAAGGAGATTGAATGGGGTGTGACGTCGCTGATAGCTCGCAGACAAGGGAAGCAAGGGGCTTAGATGTACTTCAGAAGGCGGTACACCCAAGAGTAGAGAAATGTTGTCAGAGCGTTGTGGCATCTTCACCGAGAGATGAAGGGAGGAATAGATCGTCTACACACGCACCAATTCCTCAGTCTTTTCATCTCCTACTAGTGATTCAGCCCGGAGACGAAGGTAAGCTCCATCACGTTCTCCTTGCGCGACCTGCCCCTTCTGAGGAAGAGAAGGCGAGGCAATTCTTCGCTTTTGGATCAAGCTTCACTGTAAGGTCTGTAGATAGTGGTGAATGGATAAACTCGGGTGAGGCTTGGATGATCGGCACTTGAAGAAGGTTGAAGGTTTGAAGGCGAATCCAGGCGGTTCAATGATGGGCAAAGGCTTGCGATCCAGAAACTCGATGTTTCTTCTCCTGTGTGGCGCATGTACCTGCAGAAAAATACCTCATCAAAAATACATCCAACACCACACAACCAGAACGCACGAGCAACCCTCCCATCGCACACACGCAAGCCTCAGCCTCGCCTTAACTTCCCCACCCGCACCCGCCATTCCGCCCCGAATCACCCCATTGGGCATCCATCTCCCTTCATCCCTTATCCCGTAAAGGACTCGGGTTGCGAGAAATGGACAGGTGGGGGTTGGGGCTGGAAGCCTGCGCTTACGAGCTGGCAGGATCCCCCGTTCGCCAACCACACCGCACCCCGAGGAGAGGATGGGCAAGGGTAGGAGGGGACGGGGTGCGTTCTTTTACTAGTTTGTTCATCATGGGCTTGCGTGTCGCACATGGGAGAGGAAGAAGGGAGACAGAAAATGGAGGTAAGTGCTCACCATAGTCCCAGTTGTTGGAAATGTGATTCGAAATGTGAACGATGAGGGAAGGAGGCTTCCACTAGACTTCCACGACGTTCTGGTTCAACTTGAGTCGAATTCAGCTCATCCGAGTTGGTTTACGAAGTTTCGCACCAAAGCGATCTATTGCACGAGTAACTCAAATCACAACATAACAGAGAGAATACGAAAAAAAGGGAGTGGGTGTATCACATCTCCAGGTGATCCTGCGTCCTGGCCCCTCAACCAGAGGGAGGAGCGATCAGCATAGATTGTTTTTGAGAATGACTGGCGAGGTCGCTCTCCGGCATTTGTCTGGACCATCCTTCCTTGGTATAGGTGCTGAGCGAGAGCGAGGAGAGGATAGTAATTTGACACCGTGGGGTGAAGAGAAAAGCGCCAGAAATTTGCGGGGCTTTATAGGACGGCGAACCGGAGAGCGCCGGGTAGATTGGAACTCCGCTCGGCTGGAAAAAGTTGCAAGGTCATGAGGAAGAGAACACGAACGACGTGCAGACGCGGGAGGACGACGACTACGACGACGGCGACCGTGTTATTCTCTGGACATAACACCGGTGCCGACACTGCTGTCGTATTGCACGACACGCACAGCACCCTACACCCCCACCTAGACTTCCACCACCTTCAACCTCAAAGCCCATGGCTACCCAAGTAGCAGCCCGAACTGCCACGGCCACAGCCAAAGTCCTCCCACCTTCCTCACCCTTCAGTGAGCTCCTCCGGCGTTCACGATTCGCCTCCTACGACCCGGAGATCCGCCAAGCCTACGGGGCGCCTCCCTCCTACATCCACCGGGGCAACTGGGGCCTCAAGCGCCCCATCGCGAACAAGAAGCGCAACAGCTACATCGTGCTGAAGAACTTCGAGGAACACGCGCAGTACATCGAGTGGGACAGCGCGGAGGAGCAGGTACGCTTCCTCAAGCGCGTGGAGGAGCTCAACGTCGCTCCGAAGCTTGTGGACCAGACGAATTGGTACGCGAGCCTGGGCCCGCTGGCGACGACGTATGCGAGTGGGCTCGACTCGGAGTTCTGCCCTGGGGAAGATGGCAGCTTTGGGAGGGGGAAGAGGAGGGCGGTCGTTGAGCAGGATTCGGTCAAGGCCGAGCAAGAGCTGGAGGTAGATTTGGTGGACGACTTGGAGAAAACACAGGGCAAAGGCAAGTATGGCGCCAAGGCTCCACCTCCACGAGCAAGGCGGGGTGAAGACAAGGGCCAGACGTTCCTCCAGCCGAACATTATGGGGATGCCGCCACGGATATTCAAGCAGTACCTGAAGAAGCTGCGCGAGATGCGCCCCGAGTTCCTCGATTTCCTCCGCAAGGAAATGCTGCTCTCAAAAAAGAAGGCTGAGGTTAACCCCAATGTGAAGAACGTGCTCGACCCGGAACCCATCACCGACGAAGAGCTCGTAACACAATTTGCAGAGAAGCTCTATGTGTTCTCGACGAACTACCACATGCGCTTCCTGGGCTTCAAGAACGAGGCTTCCTACACATCTAGTGGCGAAGAATCATTGGAAGCAGAGGTTCCACCAAACGCACCCCAACCCATCCGCCCACAACCACACAGACTCGGCGGGCTCATGTACGCCCTGCCCACCCCCACCGAGACCTACTACTCTACCAAACCCCAACCCGGCTACGTCCTCCAGACTACCACCAGCGACTCGCGCCTCAATCGGCCCCCCTCCGATTACATGGCCTCCTTCGCCGGGCTCTCCGCGTATATCACCGAGCCCGGCACGACCACACCGACGCCCGTGTTCAACCTCGACGCAGGCATCGACCCCGCCGCCTCCCCAGCCTCCGAGAGCCCCATGCGCCTGCTCGACATGCGCCTCGAGAAGCTGCCGGACGTCGTCGGCAAGCACGCGACCGCCATCCCTGCGCGCAAAGTCCAGATCCGCGCGGAAGTCGCGATACCCGACGGCCCGACGCACGAACACTGGCGCGAGAACCCCCACAAGCCAGGGAGCTTCGAGTACAACGCCCAGATGCCTTCTGGCGCGCGGTCGACTGTGTCCATCCCGCTGCCGAGCCGGGCGGTAGGCGCTGGGAGCGTAGGAGGAGGACGCCCCCCGCTCGCAGGCATCCCGTCGCACTTTGCAGCATCGTCCTGGGCTGCGTTCACTATGGGCAACAAGATTTACGATCGAAGCGCCAGTGCGACGAAGCTTGCGACGGGCTCGTTCGCGCGGCCCCAGTCGCACGGTCAGGATCCTGACCTGATGACTGGGAAGGATGGGAGTACTCTGGACTTGTTGGCGACGATGGCCCAAGCTCCAGGAGCAGCGCCCAAGAAGAAGACGATTAATTTGGCGTATCCCATTCTCAACGCGGTTCGCGAGGCGGAGAGTGCAGGTAAAAAGGAGGGCGAGGGTGAAGGCGAAGGCGAAGGCGAAGGCGAAGGTGAGAAGAGCTCATGATAGGTTTGGCTGTTGTCGAGGTAGCTTTGCTCTAATTATTGCACCTGCTCATCTTTGGGATTTGGAAAGTGCTTTTGACATTCTTTCTTGAATGACCCCTAGCGGATGAACTCGCCCCCCCTATACCAGAACGCAGTAAGCAAAGCTGTGATGACCAATCTGAGACACATTCAAAAGCAATTTACGGTGCGATGCCGTCACATCTGTATCCTTTGTCTTTTGTCACCAACCATGGCCCTTTGGGGAGCAGACCTACCCTTCGACATCTCCTCGATATTCGATGTCTTGGGCATCGACAAAGACCTGTCCTCATTAAAGTCTTGTTCCTTAACTCACCGAACCTTTCGCCCACTATGCCAACGGCACATCTTCTCCACCGTCGCCTTTGTCCCCCAAGACCCGCGCTCGTACACTGGCATGGACGACGTTATCACCGCTCTGGAGTCATTCGCTCATGTGGTTCACGATAATGCCATATTGGCTACCTATGTCAAGGTCCGGGACCTCTGCTTTCATCCAGATGAGGCCGATGACCCTATCATTCCCCTCGTGGTGGAGCGGCTCCCAAATGTTCAGGACCTTACGTTGCGGCCTATTATAGGCGGTATTGACTGAAAAAGACTCGACGATCCTCTAAGATCATCTCTGGAACAAATCATCGTGTCTCCCCAACACCGTCGGCTGGATATCACATCCATTCTACGGATGCCAATCTGCGATCTCCTTCGTCAATCCAGAAATTTGGCGACCCTGGTTCTTAATCAAGTTAGAAAGCCTGTTCTGGGAGTAGGGCTGGTGACGAACTCGCAAATTCCAGTGTTGAAGTCTTTGATTCTAAGTACAGACAGCGTCGGAACATGCGCCACCCTTTTATCCCAAAGGCAATTGGACGGCACTTCGCCCGTCATGGACTTCCGTTACCTCACGGAATTACGCCTCATAATCGATCAGCCTAAAGGAGAAAAGCTCGCAAAGGATATTCTATCAAGGGCCGTCCAATTAGAGACTCTGGATCTCGAGGGCAAGTTCCGCCTTCATCTCTGCCTCGGGTGACACTAGCGATTATCACAGTACACAACCCCACAATGAGCTTCTCAGGCCTCTACCAATGCATGCACCCGTCCTCTTTCCGAACGTGCCATACCCTCAAAATTGTCGGTTGGACTGAAAGCAGCAATTGTGATCCCTTTCAGGGTCTCTTCCGGGAGTTGGAAGCTTTACCACTGCAAAACATCATTCGGACGATGGACCTAGAGGTGGACGTAGAAACGGACTGCCTATGCAGCACGCAAAGGGAACACTGGAGCGCGGCGAATGACGTTCTTAACCCCTCGCATTTTCCTTCCCTTCAAGAAGTCTCGATCGGGGTGGAAATTGGGCGTTTCGACGGCATTCCCGAAGAGCTCGGGGAGGACACATTGGCGGCCGACTTGAATGCGTTGTCGCAAGAGTGTTTTTCCGGCCTTCAGGCGCATTATGGCGATCAATTCCGTTTTAAAGTTTGGACATACAATTATTAGAGTCCAAGTCTGTACTATGTTTAAACAAGTAAGTGGTGGAGCGCGACCATGATGACCGTTCTCTTCCAACCTGTGAATGACACGCCTTGCAAGAGATCTCTTCCGACAAAGTTTCGTTTGCGAGTTGCATTTTGTGGGTGGGGAATAAAGTATATGAGAGTCACAGTTGCTTAAGCGCCCGGTGCTCGCGTACCGTGGTGGCACATTCTCCATATTGATGGGACATCGAACATGCGCACATTGATGTAGATTCAAAACCTGGAGTCTCCATTACTGCAGACAGACCTCTGTGAGATGGTGTTGAAAATATTGAGAAACGCTAACGGAGTTATTACGGTGGCGCACCAATCAACATCTGGGGTGCCACAGTTAGGGAGACCTAAATTAATGGCAATTGGGGATGGATAAAATTGCAGGCAACTAAGCGATTTATATCCATGTCCCTGCTCAGTAAAAATAACCACAGTATCCCACATGTATCATAACCGAAATTAGCTCCAACTTTCATCTAGAATTCGCCTGAGGTTTATGCCCAAATGTGAATAGGATGAAACCCGAATTGACAGTCTGTTGGCGGATGCAAATGAATCCAAGCACCGGGCACTGACTAGAGGAAGGACGAAGCCCATGGGAGGGAAGAACGCGCTTCAGGATCAGCCCAACGCAAGCCCAACGCCACACCGTGAATCTAATTGGTCTGGGGCCTCGTTCAGCCAATGACATTTGGGAGGTTCTAGCAATGTTCGAAGTACCAATAACCTCTGTTATCCAATCGCGTTCTTGATGGGTGGAACAGAAGGCAAACTGATGCGCTAAGCGCCGACCCCACATGGAGATTTCTATACAATATCAGCAAGCGAGTTGAAGAGTCGGGGATTCTGGAGTAAACCCCGCGCAGTCCTTTTTGAACAACATGGTCCAACAGTGCTGCAATTAAAATCAAATTCAAATAACTCTGCGTCATAGTGTCGGTGTCGGATATCGTATAGGGGACGTTTTCCAAGTTCCCAAGTCCCTCCTCCTTTCCTGGAAATCGAGGCTTTCTAATGTGCTCATTGGTAGGACCTTGGAATCGGCGGTTGGAGAGTTAGTCCACAGCTTGGATTTCGCAATCAAACCCACAGAGCCCCAACGGTAATTACTTAGCGTTGTATTTTTAGACAAATGAAGTTTACGACTGTGTTCAGAGTTGCAGATGATCCGGCGCCTATTCATGTGAGACTGCGGCTCAGTTCTCCTTCCTTTTGCCCAAAACGTTGATTTGAGTTTTCTGATTTTATTCTTTACTGCGGAGCTCTGAGGAAACGGTTTGGCTCCTCGAGCGGACCCATAAGCTAACTAGAAGCCAAAGAAGAATGACATGAGGCATGTAAGCCCTTCCGCCACAAGCGCTCGTTGACAAATCCGCTCGGTGCTCGCGAAGGAGTTCGCGAAGTGGGAGCTGAAACATTATTTTCTCATGTAAACCACATATAAACCGTGCAGTTCTACTCAAAGACCCTCAGAATCGCATCCCCCATTTACATGTGAGTCCCTCGTCTCTGTAGAGAAAGCTCGCCCTCACCTGCGTTTGCAGAAGTGGCCAAATACAGTCATCCACCATCATTTGATACACTGAAATTTAAATTTGATCCCAGAACTCAACCAGCCCATGGATTCTCATAAAACCACTTGGAATCAGTGTAATAGAGCCATTAAAATAAATTTATACCAGTTGTATGCCATAAAATCAACCAAACGTGAGCAGAAACAGCCAGAGATGCTGTACCAGTGACTGGTGTGACAAAATCAACCAAAATGAATATTTTGGTGATTTTATTACCGGGCATTGACTTCACCAGAACCCACAAAATTTTATACACAATGTATTAAAGACTTATAGAGAATGGGGTTATTTTTTCAAAGCAAACAGTTGAATCCTTCATGGTGTTCCGAGGTGTATCATTAGCCGGTGGTGTCTCATTGGCCGGTGGATGACTGTAGCACATCAAATATCGCCCATTCGAACACCATTTACACGCCAAAAGGTTGGTTTTAATCGACTTGTGGGACAGCATGACGCTGAATCTCTCGGTCCATGATGAAGATTACCTTCGCCCTTGCCACTATGGTGGCTGCTGGGCCGGCCGGTCTCGACTCCCTTGCGGGCGAAAAGCTCCACGTTCGTGCCAATGACCCGGAGTGCATGTATGGCAGGGTCAAAGATCAGCGCTGCAATGACCAGCACTGCCGAGACGGCAACCCTCGTTCGTGCCAGTACAACCCGCAAACTAAACCATGCTCGATCGTGAACATGCGCGGGCCAGGCACTGCGGTTGGTTGTCAGTCTTGCAACTGCAGGAAGATCTAGTATCGGGGTATGTCTAGTTTAGACGGGATCCCAATAGGTAGCCGAGGCAATGAATGTTGAAGCACTGCGAATATATAGTCTACGTTGTACAACAAGATATAAATCACTAAATATGTAAGCACTAAACTACGTTCTGAAGCAAAAAGGAGTGGCATACCAGGAGAGGGTTTAGTGAACGGGAGAGGCACATGTCCTACCTATGAAAGAACGTCTAGGTTAAGGGGAATGACCCAGGAGAGTGTAGCACAAGCTACCATAACGTATAGCAAGAACCAAAAATGAGGACTAAAAACAGAGCTCCGGCTTTGAAAGTAATATAACGCCCAGAGAATGATCGAAGACTTTACACAGAGAGTGGACCCACGCAGGTTACGTAGATCCATATGAACTCACATTCCGCTTGAATCCCCGGGCTTCTTCACCGACAAGTGTCGCATCCCTCTCAACACCGGTGGCTTCAACGCCGCCTGACATCCCAGGGCTGTGGCTCGTGCTAGAGTGCTCCTCGGGGTCGGTGGCACCTCCGCGATGATACTCCTCCTCGCCAGGTACCCGTACGAACGCGTAGAGCAAGAACGAGATGCATAATGTGGCGACAGTCACGAAGAATATGGTGCGTGGGAAGGTCGCGACGGTCTTCATGTACACGAAGCTGTACATCGGGGGACCCAAAATTTGAGAGCTAGAGAGTGTAGATATGGAAAAGAGATAGTTAGAAATAAAGGAGGTTGAAGTGAGGGGTTCTGGAGTGAAACTGCACCTACCACAAAGCCTGAACTACGCTCATGGCGCCGAATAAGCGTCCGCTCTCTGTTCCGCCTCTCCTCGCGTAAAGCGCAAGCGTCACGCTTTGTACCGCAGGACTGAAACCCGTCCCAAGAGAACCGAGGATGCCGAAAACAGTGAAAGCCAGCGCGCTCGGTGACAGTGCCATCAACGTGTACGAGATAATCTCTATGAGGAGGGAGATACGTGCGAGCGCGAGGTCGAAAGCAGGAGAGTGGATCTCTTTCTTAATCGTCGGCCGCGGAAGGGTGGTGGTCGAGGAAGAGGGCCCCGGTGAAGAAGAAAGAAGGGGCGAGGATTCTTCAGGCGCAGCTGGGAGCTCGATGACGACGGGCTCCGGCTTGAACAATTTGATGGCCACTTCAAGTTGCTTTAGATTTCTACGTCTCGGAGGAAGGAGATGAAGGAGTCACCCGGTAAGATGACCGTCAAGAAGAAAGCTCGTGTGGCGCCGACCAAACTTAACCAATACCCCAACTAAGCTTACAAGGTGAGAAGAGAATACAAGAACAGAAGAGGAAACGCACAGTTTCTGCAGTCCATCCAAATGTCGAAGCGGCGTATTGGAATTTCGTCGAGTACGAGCCCTAACGACTGCCATTCAGTATCTGCTGCACGAGAAGTGTAGTCGATCTACCATGATCGTAATGGTGAACCCGTATCCAAGAGCCATAAGCGTCAAATTCCAATCTTTCTTCGGCTTCTTCAACGGGTTCCCATCCGGCTTCGTCTTCGCCTCTCCGGGTAAAAAGACAGTCAACGGGCTCAAGAAGGCGAACAAGCGCCTAATCTTTACAAGAACCCCAACAGCAGGATTCCGCTCCCGTTCCTGAGCGTGATCAAGAAGTTCGGCCGCGTATCGAGCCTTCGCAAGCGCCATCTGCTTTTGGGAGACTGATTCAGGAAGGATGAAGAAGACAAGTATGGTGTAGAGGATGTGAGAGGCTGCAGCTGCAAAGAACACCGAGAGAACATGACCGGTGAAGCGGATGAGGAGACTTCCGAGGGCGGGGCCAACAGCGAACCCGGTGAACATAAGGCCAAGACTGAAAGAGAAGATCTGCGATCTACGTGAAACTGAGTGTTAGTTATGCTTATCAAGGAATAGCCGATATTTAGACTTTCCTGTTGTTTTCGTTCGAGGTGTCGGCCATGTACGCATGACAAGCTGCGACTCCGGTGGCCATCCCTAGATATATTCATATTTATGAATAATAACGCTTCAGAAGCTGAGGCAGTGGCACGTACCTCCGAGCGACCCTTCAACGAGGGGGCCAACTACGAGAAACCAATACCCTCCAGGTACGCGTTTCGAGTTTAGGGCGACAAAAAGGAAGATGAAATCTGTGAAAAGAAGTCCAAGGACAGATAAGCCCATAACGAGTGGTCGTCCATGCCGATCAGAGAACTGGATGGTCTTCAGTTTCGATACGTCGCGAATGCGAGGGAAACGAGACTCACGGCACCCCACCACCCAGTGGTGATGCAGCTTAGAATGCCCATGACTGCAGCAATAACTAGAAGGGTACGTCAGCAACCCGGCACTGGAGATCCAATTATAGGAAAAGGCTATTATTGGAGAACACGAGGACGGGTTCGTCCGCAACAGCGTTCCAAATGACGTCCAGGATGAAGCGATAACAAGAATAGGAAGACGACAACATACCAGCTGTCAACTGCGCGACGGCGGCTTGGACGACTGGGTCAGACATGCATAGATTTCTGTGGTTCGGAGGCGACGAGGAGTTTCCCTTCACGAGGGTATCGGGTATCGAAGAAACATCAGGGATATATATCGGGGCAAGACGTCCATTTAACGGCGTTGTGTGCATAGATGGCAATAAAGGAAGGTCGACCTCCGGGGATAGATGAGAAGACGTGGACTGTAGACCAAGCTCTAGCCCAGGGAAGCTCTGTCGAAAGATATCCGGCTTGTGCACGCTACACGCGAGGATTGTATAGATTTCGATACGAGGAGCTATTGTCATAGACCACGCAATTGAGGTGAAGGGGAGGGCAGCTAACAACCTATGAAAACAGGGTTATGGATGGAGAATATGGTGCACGAAGGATAGGCGGATCCGCGGAGATCACGCACCACCATGGTGAAGGTCGCTTCCACCAAGGAAGACGAGATTTTTGCGCGAGTTCGTCGTCCGAATCGTCGTCGTCCGACTCGACAAGTGTATCTTCTGCTTCATGGTGGTGAGTGTGAGCGAATCCGTGCAGAATCTCGCTTTCCTCTTCGTTAATAGGCCCATCTGGCAGGATAAGGCTTTCTGGGTCGTAGAAGCCGCCGGTCGTGTTTCTTGGAGCCCTTGGACGGGCATGCGAGGCAGATTGCGCATGAGAGTCGCCTCCAGACATGATCCTGCAGTCAGTGGGCAGCCTTCCGTGGCACTGGGGATGGTGGTGGTACGAGTTCAAGGAGCGTATGCTCTCCACCCTCGCAGTCAGCTGGAATGGTACTGCGGTTGCCGAAGAGATTACACATGCGTAAAAGATTTGAACTTCGCATTACGCGTGATTGTCTTATCTGATAAAATTAACGTTATCACGGCAAATCTTATCGCCAATAGGGCCGGCAAAGTCCGATGATGGTCTCAGGGTCTCTCCGGGGTCCAGCAAGAGACGGCGCGGCTTCACTACTAACAAAACCCTTTGGTATCCGAGAGGACAGCGAACGCACAGCGCCCATATTCGAGGCGAGAGACTCGGAGATCTAAAGCAGGTGCTAGAGAGCGTTAAAGCCACCCCCGTTTCCTTTTCCCTGACCAGATCGACCACTTCTGCCAGGATCGCAGTTGGGAAGCTGTTGGACGATGAGCAAACCGTGACGCTCCTTGAACTTCGATTGCCTATTTAGTAGTATTCGTAGAGCTAGTAACAGTAATTCCGCACTTTAAAGCGAAAGCGCTCTCAATAATGCGTCTGAATATCTGAAAAACAGTCCTTTTGACTGCTGGAATAACGAATGCATCTCAATGTTCCCACATTTTATCTTATCTTAACCACAACCACCATGTCCGTCAGTACGTCTCCCGCAGCACCGATGCCAGGCCGTGCTGACCCGACTTCGAGAGCAGAGTGCAACCGTCGACATCCCACAGGCCGTCAAGGATTCGTTGCGCAAGTTCAGATTCGCCCGTCGAAATGCAGGCACAGCGGCCATCGTCATCAAGATCAACAAGGCGAAGCTGATCATGGAGGAGGTTGAGCAGTTCGACAACATCAGTATCGAGGAGCTAGCTGAAGGCGAGTGTCTATCCTTTGAAATGTAATTCTTATGGTGACCCTTCGAGTACATTCGTAGAGCTGCCGGAGAACTCGCCCAGATATGTTGTGCTCTCACACGAACTGAAGCACAAGGATGGGAGAACGTCTTTCCCTCTCGTGCTCATCAACTGGGCGCCGACGACGAGCGAAACTGGCATGCTCACATTACATGCCAGCGCGTTGCTCAATTTCCAGAACACGGTGCGTGCTCCTAATCTCTGGGTTTCATCAACACTTATCGATCCATCTAGGCCGATGTGAGCAAAGTCATCGAGATTCGCGAGGGTCCAGAAGCTCTCACCAAGGAGGAGGTCGACTCGAAGCTCCTTTCCTGACCTTCTTGGTGTATCGTGAATAGCGATCACGCATTCGGACCTGTAATTTTATCCTGATACATTGCTTTGCTACAGTTAAGATCATCCTCTGGGGCAATCATAAATCCCTAAAAATACAGTTGCTAATAGATCATCAACCTTGCAGGTTTGTCGGAAGTCCTAGCCTCAAAAACGAAGAATGGCTCTACGAAATACCAATTCGGTGGTGCATGTGGGCTTCACAGTGGAGCATGCAAGGCATCCTTATTCGGAGGGTGCGCGGTAGGAGCCACCGTTGTCGAAGTTGCAGAAGACGACGATGACGGTCTATCCTCCGTACCCGGCAACACCGAGTTCGCATCTGCACCACCGTCAACGCAGGCAGCCTCTTCTGGCGATCGCACGGGGGAGTCCTCCCTGGGATCTAGCCTGAAATTCCGTGCGTCCAGGGGCGTTGATGGCCCGCTCTCTTCAATGCTCTGCAAATCCAAGAGCGACCTATCCAGCCGTAAACCGGGAAGGAAAAGAGACTTGAGCGACTTGAGCGAGATCGAGCGTTCCACCAACGCCTTGTCTTCCGGTTTCTCGTCCCCGCCGGTCCCCGGGCGCGCATACTCCATGGTCCTTCCCTCATCTCCGCTCCGGGACCTGCTCGCACATCTCCCCCTCTCAAAACCACCCGATCCTTGACGTCCGCCTCGTACACCACCCCCAAAAGAGAATGCCAGCAGCTGGCTCTCGTGCTTCAGCTGCTGCTCGCGGAAGCGTCGCCACGACTTTCCCTTCTGCGTGACGTAGATGACCATCCCGAGCGTGATGCAGAACATAGCGATCATGATGATCGCTGCGATGGTGCCCACCGGGAGCGCCAGGCGCAAACGGCCGAGCTGAGATTGCGCCGATTGGGGTGACACCTGTCGGCAGTCGGCGAGCGCGGAGCCGTGTCCCGCACCCGCGATCCCTGCTACGGGGTTCGTAGGAGATGGAAGAGAGTTGGGTTGGGGTAGTGGGGTAGTGGAAGTGGAAGAAGCTATTGTATTGATGGCGTTGGCGCAGATTCTGAGAGACGCGGTCTGCTCGGGTGCGGCGACGGAGACGAAAGTCAGCAAGTCGACGACGGTCGATGCCTTGCGACCACTCGACTCGGCATGGCCGGTGTTGGTGTCGTTATCACTGTCATCGGTGATGCTCGAACCTCCGTCGCCATCTTCCTTCCTCTTGATTGGTTTCACTTGGATGCGAAGAGTGAGGGCGTCGCTCGCGTGTGTAACACGCCCATGAGGATGACTACGGCGAGCGCTGCTCGCCCTAACCGTTGTATTATTCGTCCCTGCTCTTGCTCTGACGCTACAGTGGACGTCGAGATGCTTGCATTTAAACGATGGTCCCATTATTAACGACCTGGTGGCAATGAGGCAATTAAGCGGCGGGGAGCGCGATGTCGAAACTCACTCACAATTAATCTTTAGAGGATGAGGATCCACGAACGAAGAAGGAAATGAACAGAAAAAGCAATGAAAAGGAATGGAAAAAGAACGAAAGGCGAAATGAGGGTATGTTCCTGGTGGACGAGCTTTGCGGATCGACCAGCGATGTGGGTATAGTTATTCAAGCAAAAAAGAAGGAAACCGACTGCGACTGTTCATATGTATGTGTACGCCCGCAGTGACGCATAGAAATGCCACGCCTTTCCGAGTCGGTGCGCTTATAAACTCGTACCACCCATACGAGTTGCAGTCATCTGGATACCAGGGCCAGGACGCGACTTTAAGTGTTTGCCTTCCAGCAGACCTGGGCAAATGCGTAAGTGCGCATAAAGCAGTTAATCTGGCCCAGCGGACGGGTAGGTAGACACATGCGTACGCACGCCCAGCTGATGAACATCAGTCCTAAGTGACCAGTAGCGATTCCCGCACGAACAAACCGAGCGGAAAGTATAGTCAGCACGGTGGAAGTTTCGACGAGTGCCCCGTGGGGTGCATCCCCAGGCTGTCATACCAACTGCGCAGGACGTAAGGAGAAGAAAAACCTCAGGAGGAGCACAAAGGCATTGATCCCGCCTCTAGACTCCGCGTACCGAATTTCGGATACTGTAAGCGCCTGTTTTAGGCCTGGAAGAAGGTACCAGCGAGTGGTACCAGCTTACGACATGACTATGGGCGCCAGCGCTGACAGAGAAGCTCGTCGTTCAAATGTTTCACAGGCGAGCTGTTTCCAGCCTAGCGCCTGGTTGAGAGGGCCCGGCAAGTCCCCTCTAGGATGCCTTAGGTCCTAGTACCCTTTTGCACTGGCCGATTCAGTTTGAATCCAGCCGGTAGCACACGCAGAGCACAAGATACTCCAGAGAATCCCCGAAAGATATGAGTGATGTGGAGAGCAGGTCCGGCAGTCCTCTTTCCTACAGGTTCAAGGTTATAAGAGTGCAGACGGACCATGGTCACGAGAAGATGGGAGATGGGAGGTGATCAGAGGCACGATGCTAAACGGAGCGGGAGACATAAGAAGAAGACGCAAGTCACCGTCGATGGACGGGTGCGGAAGGTAAATGACATTTACCCACACGGCGGTCCGCTGATCCGTTGCTATTTCTAAATTAAAGTCTACCTGAAGGTCATACTTACACAAGCGGGGGGGTCACCCCTTCGTTAGCGGGAGGAATTTAAAGTCAATTTAGCTGTGGCATCGCAAATTATTTCAGACGGTGACGGTCAGACCAAAGCCGCATAAGTGTTATACCGTAAAAACTATGGCGCTCATGGCACAGGCGCCAGGGCCCGACATCAGCGCTACACAGAAACTGCTAGATCGTGAATGTGCGCGTCGAACGCCATCAGGAATCAATACCTCCACCGGTCAGAACCAACTGCGCACCTTATGCCTACAGCTCGAAAGGAAGACGTAAGGAATAGTAGAGTCACCCCGAAACGTGTCGTTAGCAGGCACATCTGAGAGATTAGATAAGATCATGGACATAGTCCTAATAGCGTCACCACTTCTGTCGTTTGGGCGCCTAAGAAACGGATACCGAAGAAAATTTGCATTGTACGGATACGTTATCCAGACGAGCATGGCACCTATCATACAGACAGTGGATACAGCGTACGGACGTACAAAATGGCCGAATAGTGATCACGGAGAGTAGCGACAGCTGGGTATTCGAAGGAACGAGAGACCGAAAGAAGGTACATACGGGTCGGTGCTACATATTTGCGAGGGTGGAAAGAATACAACAAATTTAAGGACGAGCGAATAAAACGAGAAAGGAGGGGAAGGTGATTGATTGGTATTCGGTAGCTGCAAGGAGAGATATCAAAACCTCATCGGTAAACGGAAAATCGTAGCCAAGGGGCTGGCTTTCGCAGCTCCTCTCGCAGTCACTGGTGAAGGCATGTTCTTCTCCATCGTACTCGACACCTCCGCGATCGTGCCGAGCGACGCAGACCTGGTCTTCGTAAACGGCATCGCCAGTCGACTGAGCCCAAACGTGCGCAGGCCTTCCTGTGGCGGCAGCTGTGCAGCAGGAGGCGGGGCGGATGTTCCAGCTGGAGGTTGCGGCATTATGGCGGCGTCGTAGTTCGGGGGGTAGTCTGAATCGCATGGAACCCCGAGCCCCTGCCACTTCCTGCACATACGCCGCCTCCGGACGAGGAAAATGATCAAGATTATCGCAGCAACGACGGCGACGGAGCTCAGCACAATCGCAGCGATGATCGACGACTGTATTCTGTCGTCATGTCTGTGGGATTCGACGGGCATCGAAGGGTTCATCATCTGTCCTGGTAACACACTGGAATCGGTATCCGTTGGATCGAACGCCGCCTCGGTTGGCGCAGCGAAGGCGGTGGACGTGAGCGTTATTGTGTTCCCCGCGGCGTCGACGGTGACGAGGGAGAAGTCATCGTCGCTGTCGTCATCAGCGTAGGGATTTGCTTGTGTAGGTGGTGGGTCGATGAGGCCAATGCCGACTCCAATGCTTCCGATGATTAATTTACCGTCCGGGTCATCATCGTCGTCATCAACTAAGACGTCGTCCCTCTTCTCTTCTGTGACGCGCTCGTCCGAATGTAAAGAATAGGCAAAAATTTGACGGTTGGAAAAGTTTCTCTTCCTCAGCTGGTAGGAAAATCGATATCATTGATCAATTGCGGAACGTCCTCTGGCAGGGCCGAAAGCATACCATAATAGAGCGCTCTGAATACGTAAGTAAAATTATTTCTTCTAGAGATTTAGGCACTCACCGAAGCGTCTGCAAAACCAGTTAGCCCAACCAAGGAGAGAAAATTACAGTCGAAGTCGTAATATCCAGCCAGTGGGGTTAAGAGATATACTTTTACGCCTCCTGGCTGAAGAGGAAGCGAGAAGGGAGATTAAGAAACGCATCCTCTCCGTTCGCTGAAGTAATAAGTACTTCCTGGTTGCTATTCCCCAGGGTCGGCGCTCTCCCCATGTTTGTGGGGAAAGCCTAGCAACTAAGTACTTGTCGTTCGGCATACGCCGTCCTTTATCTCCTTATCAACCAGAGGATCGAGTGCACGAAAGGCGGCGTTAAGGCTGCTCGAAGACGCAGGTAGTATCTCCTGGAGGAATATCGCTGGAGCTTTCGTGGAGCCGAAGGCCCAAAACTCTAACCAGCGGAGGGTGGAGGAAGTGTGTGCCGTTTGAAAGATCCATAGAACATGACGGTCATCGGGTCGAGGAAAGCAACCCCGAGCAAGCCTTCTGTACCCGTTCAAACTTCACGCGCCGCCGGTCAGAGAGCCAACGAGGTATAGACGTCGCAGACACCCGTGGAGGCTTCATCGACGACTTTGGAAGGCATATGTCCCTTGCGAGCTAGGACGTCCTCCACAGAACGCATTTGTTGTGCAGCTAAGCAGACACGGGCGAAAGAGACTGTCAGCTCGACAAGAATACCTGGCAGGTGTATGCGGTAGAGGGGACAACCGGGAGACCTCACTAGAAACCACTACTGTGGATGGGCGGGAAATGCCGGTACAAGTTCTGTTTATTCCTTTGAGGGAAGGAAGGTGGGAGTAGTTAGATTGAAGGCGCAGAACGAAGAACAGAAACTCCGTGGTTTCTGTTGATGATACGGAAGGAAAAGACAAAAGAGAGGTGGGAAAATGTGAAGTCCAGACGGGAAATAGCGGCGCGGTCGGACATGTCGGACGAGGACCCGGAACTATCATGATACCTCTGATCGCAGACAGGACCCTGGAACCATCCCTTTTGCGCCGTTTCTGCCCACACAATACGCCGACCCGTCCTCATACTCCGCCAAAACGCGAATGGAATCGCCCAACGCAAGAGCGAGGTCGTCCGACCTTCTCACGACAGCCGGCCTGGTGACCTTCACCCACCCACTGGCAGGACTTCCGACGGAGGTCGCGGGTAGCCCAGGGCCTGCATCTACACCGTCCGAAGACGCTTCTGCGGCACAATCCGAGTCTCTCATATCCCAGTAACTTTCGCGGGTAGCAAAAGCCTGAGGAAGAGGCGGTAACGGGGACTCGAGACGAGTCGACGGGTATCGCCGAAGGGAATGGGAACTCCTTGAAGTCTTCGTCGAAGATTTCCAGGAGGTTGAATATCGGATCCCGGTCGCCGCATTGTCATTTCGTTGACTTGCATTACTATGGGTATCTGATGCAGGCAATGTGGCAGATGGCGTGTTATAAATCGTGTCGGAAAAGGTGGTTTCGATCCATTGGACCCAAGCTTCGCAATCTTCCCTGACAGGCACGGTTTGCAGAATTTCGAAGTGGAATTCATTGGATATCGTCAAATCGCCAAGCAAACTATTGGAAGATCCCCGTGTCTGAGTCGAAAATGGTGTAGCTGACTTGCCGGAGTGCAATGTATGGATCGGGGGAGGAGGGGGTAGAGGAGAAGCGTGCTCTTTGAACTTCGTGGCGGAGGGATCGCCAACAGAAAACTTGGCAAAGTCACGAGAGACCGTATGGATTTCGTACGGTTTTGGGAAAAGTACAGAGGGCCCCCAGTGTACTCCCGAGGTTCGAACGATTCAATAGTTGGGTCTGGCTCGACGAAGTGACCTTTTTCATTATCGCATAGCCGCCGAAATGGGTCATGACGCCGTCTCAGATAGACACATATTGAAGCAGCGATGAGAACGACGATGCATCCGATGGCAATCCCGACGATAGAGCCGACGGGAAGAGAAGTGTATTTCACCTCTCGCGGAGGCGGTGAGACCGTGTTGTTGGGTGAAGGAGTGGAAGTAGTCGACGGAGGGATTCCAGGATCAGTAGACGTGTGATTTAAAGAATCAGAGGTCGTAGACTGGGGTAGTGCCGTGCTCGTCTTCGTGATGGTGTTGGTGATGGTAAGGAGTGTGACGTCAAAGGAGGGGATGGAGGTAGATGGAGGGTCTCCTGGGTTGGAAATTACTGGCAAACTGTTTCTACCTCCGCCGTCGTCGTCGCTTGTGTCATCATCGCGGGAAATATGATCTGTTAGCTCTCGTTGGCGTCGGGTGCGTTTGCGGGGTCGAGGATAGGAACGGGAAGCATCTCGCAAGTAAGGCGGCGGCATCTCCTGTTACACATAATATAAACGGAGAGGACTACTTTCTGGATAAAAGGATGTACTGACCAAGATAAAACCGAAGAGACCCAGGCAGAATATCCTACCACTGCGAAGCTTTTGTAGTCTCATCATCGAGTTAGACTCTCCACAGGGCCGAGTGTCCGAGTTCCCTGATAGAATGCAGCGCCGTGTACCTAGCTACCATGTCAATTGACTCTGCACAATTTGGTCAATGTCTATTAGAAAGCGGCCACACCACCCACGTCTGTCACCCACTAAGATCGACCCAGTCCAGCACACGGTAGCCGGCTGGTCAGAGGGGTGGTTCAAGATAACGAACGCGTTCTCATCCTCTTGGACGTTGTTGGCGAATGCACACAATCGAAAATTTCATGAGAAAGTCGGTTCGGAGTGAATTCACTTCGTCAGCCATTAAGCTATGCCCGGAGCGCGAAAGGACTAAGTAGAACCCAGGGACGGCTGACGACAAGAAGAAACCCACACATATCCTGACAGTACATTAGTGAAACGTCCAGAAAGAAGGGAGGGAGTGCCAAAAAAACCAGCACAGATGACAGTCCGTGGAAGAAGAGGTCGTCATCCTTTCCTTGGCGTACAACTTAAAGATAACCTTGATAACAACAGTTGATAAGATGTACACATCCCGACGTGGCCGCGAGCTGCAAAGTTTTCCCTTCCTACTAGTAGGCTTGACGTCAAAACTCAGAGGATAAGTGGGTCCATTAAGTGGATCTACGCCTACGCGAGTAGCAAGTTTCTTAAGCTTGTTCGCCTAAACCACTCGGTAGCAGAACATAACATGGTACATTGACTAATTCATCGCCTACTTTATTTACAAGCGCACAGCGCTTCGACCATCCGAGTCGTACATTGCGTACGCGTTACTTCCTTTCCCTACAATCTACGTTTTCCTGCAGGTGCAAATGTGACAACCAACTGCACTGCCCGACCCACGCATGTTCACCATCGAGCACCGCTTGGTGTTGGGGTTGTACTTGCACCAACCCCCACCGTCCCTGCAGTGTTGATCGTTGCAACGAGAGCCTTGGACGCTGCCGAACATGCACCCTGGGTCGTTGGCGCGGACCTCGAGTGCTTCGGTCTCAAGGGAGCTGAAACCAGCTGGCCCAGCAGCGGCAGTAGTGGCAAGAGCGAAGGCCAAAGCTGCGAACGAAGCGGAAATCTTCATGATGAACTGCAAAATAATTAGCATCATGATGGCTCAAGGATATATTCGTACCAACCTCTTAACGTAGAAATGTCGATTCGATAGACGATATTCGATGTGTTGTTTGTTCAGTCTGTAAATCGAAGTCAGGGCGAGTTCTCTCAGCGTTGCAGGGACGAGGGACTCACAATGCGTTGTAAGTGGGAGATGCGATTCTGAGGTGTTCCGAGTGAGATTTCATGACTTATATGCAAATTTACCGAGAAAAAAAATAGTTCAGCTCCCACTTCGTGAAGGAGTTCGGCTCCCAGTGGATTTGTCAACGGGCGCTTGCGGCTGGATAGGAGGCTTACATGTTACAGACTATTCTTCTTTGGGTTTCCAACACAGACTCTGGGTCCACTCGAAGAGCTAAACCGTCTTCTCTGAGCTCTTTAAGAGACAAAGAGAACAGTCGTCAAATTTGTATATTAGTCACTCAAATAGGCGCCCGATCTAGCATAGCTAGAACAGACAAAACCCTAGGCGAAAGAGTGAGCCCTCGGACTGACAATTAAATCCGTGGGTTGTAAAGCCATAGCCGTCGATTTCAGCACCACACTTTAGTGTTAGCATATTGGAGAGCCTTAATTTCCGACTACGAAGGAGGAAGGGCAAGTTTGGAGAGATGATATTCGGTGTCGAGACTATGACGTAGCGTTATTTGAATTTGATTTTCATTGGAGTACGGGGTCCACTCCGCCGCCATATGCTTCCAGAAGCCCGATACTAAAATACTCGATTCTTCCTCCCGATGACCGATCATAACATGGAGTTCTGGTTCTGTCGGCGCTTAGTGTCCTGCTATTTTTGGCAACTGCCTTCAAGTTTGTCCTCGACATCAAGAAGGCCGTTAAACAGTTTGCGCACATAATAATAACAATACACTGCCAGGACCCAGTCGGGAGACAGTTTTAATGTGCTGGTCCAAACTACACATTACATTCCCATATACTTTACTTACTTCTAAATAGAACAAAATCAATATTCTACCACTACCGGCCCCTTCTCATGCATGTGCAGGAGTTGTAACTCCGAACTATGAGCCCGACCCACGCATATTAACCATTGAGCACTGCTCTATATCTTCTTGCATGTACAAATATGACACCCAACTGCAGTACCCGCCCCACGCATGTTCACCATCGAGCATCGCTTGGTGCCAGCGTTGTACTTGCACCAGCCCCCGCCGTCCCTGCAGTGTTGGTCATTGCAACGCGAACCTTGGACGCTGCCGAACATGTACTCGGGGCTGTTAGCGCGGGCTGCGAGGGCTTCAAGCTCGAGGGAGCTTGGGCCGACGGGAGCAGCAGCCACCAGAGAGGCGAGAGCGAAAGTCAGAGCTACGGAGGTCGAGACCTTCATGACGATCTGCATAAGCCGTCAGTTTCCGCGTGAGGGCAAAGATATCGCTGGAGACTCACCTTCTAGCGTTAGAGATGTGGGGTTTGTTGGGTGGAGTTTGATTTATTATCCGACCGGCGCTGGAAGCGGACAAAAGAAGCGAGTTAGACTTTCCTCAACACTTTGAAGGATAGCGAACATACGATGTGTTGCGAGTGAGAGATTCCAGTCTGAAGCCCTCTGGGTTAAACGCCAGGGCTTAAATACTTGCTGTCCGACCGAATTAGTCTAGACACTGTTGCATAAAGGCGTTTGTCATGACCAGATTTGCTGAGGTTTCATGTAGTCGTCTGATCAAGGGACCTCCCAAGGGACCTCGCATGCTGCCGCCTAGCGCTAAATAAAATGCATCTGCTCATCGGACTTGATTTATTATTGCCAATGATGTGTGTTTCACGATATGGACCTCGGATTAGCACTTGTAGCTTGTTTCAAGGATGACGCTCCCGCATATAAACGTCACAACGTCAAATTTTTGGGCGGTAGTCATAGAAATTTATGGCCTATTTGGTCTTTTTCTGTCTTGTTATCCGTAAACGTTGATGATGCGCCACCTTCATTGTTCGGGCAGGGTTCCAATTACCGAATGTGGTCGAACCAGGGCTATGCCTGGCGTAAGCACGGGCCGAGTTCGAATGGACCGTGAAAACTTTGCATTCACAAGAACTTCGAAGTGACAAACTGTGAAGTGAAGCTGAGAAAGGGCAAGGTGAACAAGCCCGTAACAAAGCCCGAACCTCCAAAAGCTCTCTCAACAATCCTGCAACCGATTTGTCTACGTACCAGCGCCCTCCACGGAGAATTATATCGATCCTTGACATCACATCATGAGAATGATGATCTAGGTCAGAAGGGACTGGATATATTTAGGAGGACTACAGGTTTCGGAATCTAACTTATGGAGTTGGAAGGCACCTGTACTTGTTTGTGAATCGAAATCTTGTTGGTTTCGGACTGATGGGCACACCTTGCCTGAGGAGCCCTTGATGCTTATAACATATCTAAATTCGAAGGCTGTACAAGCCCGACCGAACGAGGGCTCCAAATATTTGGACCGCAAATCGCCGACGAACTACTAAGTATAGCCACAAGCAGCGGTTCTTGAGACGCGCTCAAGGTTTCACTAGCACTCTTAACTTCATTCCTTTCCACTCACAGCCCTAAGAAACCTAAACCTACCCCCGCCCAGAACCAAAGCTAATATGGTAAGCCAATCAATGCTCACCTTCTACACGCAGCCTTTGACCTCCCCTCGTCTAGTCCTTTACAAACACTGCCGCAGCTGATCAAGTAAACGAGAACTTCTTTGAGTCGATACAACTCGATCTGACCTATCATCAGCCCGTTTCATCCAGTCCACCGAGCGTTCTCATCTTCAACGTTGGACGGAGCAGCCCAAGGCAGCTCAACGATGGTCCAGTAGGCGACACAAGCCTCTTGCAGTCCTTCATCAACGCGTTGCAAAGCATCAAGGCCAAGGGATACGTCGTTCAAGGAGCAATGTACGGTCCGGATGGAGCGAATATCTTCATTGACACCGACGATGAGGATTGGGATGCTCATATTAGCATTCACTGAAGAGGTGTAGAGAAAGCCAAAATGTCGTGCACGGACCTCAGTTTTTGCTATTGTGATAAGATAAGATGAATCAATCACGTGGATTCATTGAAATAGTCGACTGAACGACACCCGCTTGAAGTTGAACTTCTTCCACCACTGTCCTCTGCGACGATGTCTCGTTCAAACGGGCGCTCGGAGCCAGAGGTGATAGTGAACGTACGAGCTATTTGCATTGTCGACGACGTCCGCTAATAACGCTGCTCGTTAACGAACCATGAACACATCCCGAACAGTACGGCGATGGTTTCGCATATTCGAAACACAAAATGGAAGAGGCTTTTCGGCCAGGAGGATTTCTAGAGAAGCCTCCTGCAAAGCCTGCAGCTATCAAGGATCCATCTGCGCCAGTTCTGAAGAGGGAGGATGTGGATCTCATCGTGCGTCTCACCTTTCTGGTTTCGGTACTTGGTATATTGACACTTTCTCAAGGTACGTGAATTCGAGATCCCTCGAGCAAATGCGGAGAAGGTACTCTCTGAGAATGGTGGTGATATCACGAAGGCTTTGCGTGCTCTCGCCGCTGCCCCATCGAATAAATCATCTAACTGAAGAGTCAGGCATTGCTGGCAGTTTCAAATATCAATATTCCAATATTAAAAATCATGCTATAATGATCTCCCAGACGACAGGCTTAGGCTACGACTCTGACCTCGGTCCCACCGCTAGTAGTGTAGGTCGGAAGAAAATAGCCTTAGTCTGACAAGGTTCGTTCTCTTAGAATATAAAGTGTTATGGAAACGGTCTCCGATAATCCAAATTCTGTGTCACCTGCTGTGCAAAGAGGAGCCCCGTGTGATGTGTCGCAGTGGGTTCTAGTAAAATTGATCGTTCTGTTTGGACTGATGATTTTATTTTTAACCCCGTTTCTGATTCTAGTTCCACTTCAGAACATCCTCTGCACTGTATATAAGGGCAGGTGGGTTTGGCTGATTCCGACATCCCATTCCTCCCCACCCCTTCTCTTCTCTTTTCTTCCCTCTTTTCCTTCCTTTGAACACTCGACGACGCCAATGCCGACGATGGTGAGGGGATGAGCCTGTCGTCCTCTACTCACCGTGTTCGTTCTCTAATGCACGTCGTGTCAGTGTCTTCGAGGCCAGCGAACGCGTACCTGGTAAGTCGCCGCCTTGTCTTTGTCATCTCTTCAAGGTGCTGACCATGCGTCATACGCAGAAATGAAGCGGCGCAGACGAGCAGGGCTAAGTGCTCCCCATTCATTGGAACTGCCGGAACTAACATGAGCGGCGCGATTCTAGGAATCACCGCGAGGCACCTGGACTATGAGGGTAAGCTTGGGCACACATCGTAGAGAAGACATGACTGACCCTGTCATCAGCCTCCCACCGAGTCCTTGCCCTCTCGATGGTAACTCACCCCCCGCCGTACGATGCCCGAATGAGGCCCGAGCATTGACCTCCTCGTTGGAAGATGGTAGGGCTGTCTTGGGATCAGGTCAGTATGAGGTTCTATTATGTGTGAGTGATGACTTACCCCTCGATGCATAGGACGGCCGTCCCGCGAATAGGTCAACAAGGGTAAGCCGCGGTTTGTATTCACCCCCTGTTCAAAACTGACGTGCTGGCAGACACCCGACTCCAAACTCGGTGGTCGTACACCCGCATTCCGCCGCCCTTGTCCCGTGCCACGCCCACGATGAGCACAACATCGAGAGACGGAGAGGAGACGACGGCAGGACACGGACATGTTCACGGCTACGGTAAGTCGGAGGTGGTGCTTGGGCTGTGCACGAAGCTAACGCTCGCGACGTCATGGATACGACAAAGGAGACGGGCCGGGCGACGTCTCTCTCACAAACACAACCCCCCGAACATGCGATTCAGAGGGTGATTCATAGGGGAACGACGTGTGCGAGGGCTGCCACGAGCTTTATGGCATCGAGGCAGCTCTACGAGCCTCTCCTCCTGTCCTTACCGGATGCCAGCGAGGTCGACGTGCCGCGTGCCGTAGATCCCATCCACGGACGGCGGTGTTGGGCTTGGAACCCCGTGGACAAGGTGGTTCCTCGTCGATATCGTCGAGTGGTGGGCTAAGAGCTTTTTTGGCAGGTGCTCGTGGTCTGCGCTCGCGGATAGCGCCATTGAGGTTGCCATATGGGTGCATTGGGAGGATGCGACGGACAGAAGACGAGGTTAGGCCCTTCGATCGTGGTCGTCGAGGATGGTGCTGACTCGCACACGGTTGTGCCCCTCAGCCTTTCCGCCGTGAACAGGCTCCCACCTGCTACTCTCAGTGACCAACAGGTAGGCGCTCACCACCGTTGCCCGTGGTTCCTGTTTGCTAACAGCGTTCCTCGCAGGCCTACGTATGGACCTTCGTCTGTGGACGTGCCGACCCAAAGGCAGGCGATGGCTGCCTGCCAGGGATGTCACTAACGGTGTTACGTGCCGTCCATCTGCGTGCGCAGACCTTCTCCCCGTCGTGGTACGGAAGGGCTGTGTGGGGTGTAGTGACAGTTACGACAGCGAAGGGGGGAGAATTTGGGTGTTGTCGGAGGGATGGGCCGATACAAGGACAGGTAAACAGCGTTTGAACGATCCGAAATGCACGATGTTGACTTACCTGAAACTCCCAAGATGCCGCCCCACCGTTGTCTGCTGGACGGGGAGAGTCCGAGCTGCTGCTGCTCTCGAGTTCTATCCGCATCTTGCTGGGGGCGTTGAGGGGAGTGAACGACATGCTTCGGGCGTAGGTTCGGGTCTCCGCTAGGAAGGGTGTTGAAGGAGGAGAGAGGAGAGATAGAGGGAAGAAGGAAGGGAGGTGCGGGGATTGGACGCGAAGGTGATCTCCCGTGCACAAGTAGGGAAATGCTGTGTTTATAGGGGAAAATCGGGTGACGAGCGCTGATTGGCTAATGTGAGAGGCAAGGGGAATTTGGAGGGGAAACGGGATGTCAAGAGGTCGCGATCGAGTAGGAGCACGTCGAGCGATGCAGGAGTCTAAGTAGATAATTTGAAATGACCGAAAACCGTTAAAAATCACCCAAATAAATTCCAAAATTTGCCAAAATCAAATTTTCGAGGAGTATGCATACCAGAGAGACCTACCAGAGCCCAGATGTATCTCGCAAATCACACATTTCGACCTGTAGGATGCTCGAGGAAGGCATGTGTCAGGGGTGAAGCCGCTGAAAGTTGGCGAGCACATGATGTCGCGCACAGGAAATTGAATCGGCGCACCGTAGGAAGTGGGGGGTTTTCTGGTTCAATTTGCAATTATCATTGAGAGTTGTTTCTGCCCGGGCAACGGTTGTAATTGTCAGTGCACCTCTCCATCCACAAGCTGCATTGTTATTTGCTTTAATAGTAGGTAGCCACAAGTTAAATTTCAATATTCATAAATATCGTCTGCTTCGATTCCCCCCAGGTCTGACACGGAGCTCATTCTTGGCTTAAATAATTTGTGCCGTTCTCATGAAGTGCCTCATGACTACCCTGAAGTGGACGGTTAGCATTATTCGATGTTAGGGAGCTCGCACTCTCACCTTCCCTATTCTGTGTGGACGAAGACGAGGTACCGGAACTGAATCTCGTCTGCATGCTTTAACCGGCTGAAAGCACTCTTGGCGAGGTCCTTCAGCTTCGTCTCGAGGCTGGTGTCCGTGTTCCAGTAACGGACAATGTTCACGGAAAGAGAAACGTCGTTCAAGAGCGAAAATTTACCTCCTTGAAGGACTTCATCGAAGGCACTCCAATCTTCGAGCCTGGTACTGCAATCGCAGTCATCCATGACAAATAACTGGACATTGATCCTCCTTAATGCACTCGAAGACGGAAATGAATTCAGTTCTTCACAGAGTCCTAGGAAAGGATCGCAGTCTTCTCCCACAACATCGTGGAGCTCCAGGCTTAGACTTTGCAATGTCTCTTTCGTATGGCGCTTCATCGCATTGAGTGTACCGCTCATCGGCACGTTCCGATTCACTGGAAGGATTAATACAGTTAAACGTGCCCTGAATATAATGAGAAGCACCTACCACAGATAGAGAGGCATTTCAGCCTCTCGTAATCCTCTAGAAGGAGTCGTAGAAGTCCCTCTTTGTCCTCCATATCAATATTCAAGACCTCCAATTGTCTGAGATCGACTGCAGGTGAACCGTCCGACTGCTTTTGGGATATCAAAGCAAGACAAGCACCCATTGATAGATGTAGGATGGTCAAGGAGCGTAGTTGGATGGCACGATATGACAGAGCCAGGGTCGGCGAAAGGTCGTCACTATATAAACCAGGTGGTGGGGGAACGGAGTAAAGGACAAGGGAAGTGAGCGACAGCGGAGGCGCGATTATTTGTGTGATTGGGAACTGGTCGAGAGTACGAATCTCGAGGTGGGTGAGTGTTGGGGTCCGTATGGCGGTCTCTATTGACGATCGAACAAGTGGTGGAATTTCAGTCCAAGCCACCGAAGGGCTGCGTATCGCCAAGTGAAGGCGGCGTATGGCTTTCATTGAAGATAGGATAATCGGAAGATCGGGTGAATGCGGTGGGTCTAGGAAGACTCTGACGACATGGACAAAAGTCGCAACTTCGGGTTTTGTGTCGAGTAATTTCTTAAACCGTTCGATAACTGGCCGGTCTTCTGGGGTAAGGTCTACTTCTGCGAAGATGTGGCTTTCACAAATCCTATGGAAGTCTTTGCAAGTCAGCGAGGCAGCCTTTAGAGAGCTCAGTTCGCCGCTGATAGCGAGGCTCTCCGCCAGCGTGTAGAGTATATCGAGCGGCAAACGTGTCTTGTCGTCCATCTGCAGAGAATTAGATGAATCAGGAGACACTTCAAGCTTCAAGTCGCGCGTTTTACCTTCCACAAACGATTCCGTCCTCGAGATGATCAGTTTGACAACGAAAGGATCTGTTGTGTCTTCGCGTCTCAGATGTGAGGTGGGCAACAAGTATACAGGATTGATGGCTCCCACACTTGAAGTCTCTCGATATCTTAGATCTTAATTAACACCCACAGGGATGCACAGATTCAATCGCCCCCGTTTCAACTAGAAGAAGGCCCCTCCAGAAATAATTTGAAACCTGTCCATCGCCGCTGGGTGTTAAATTGCTCGGGGGTTCCAGATTCTTTCGAGGTGAAGGTGGAGGACGCAAGGCGGCGTCAGAAGGGCGCTGTGCTTTCCCCAGTGGGCCACGATATGTTGTTGAACAGCTGCTCCTATAACTACTTAGTCACACAAGTTTGTTGCCGCTGAGGGGAACGATATCAACTGTGGCTACTATTCCCCTGAAAGGTTGACAAAGAGTCCAATTTCCATGTGGCGGCTGTCCTTACGTGGTTATTATTGTTTTACAAACCGCTCTGGGATAATAATAATAATAATAATATTACACCGCCTGGACCCTCGAAGGATCTGCGGGACAGGAATCCCATGTATGAGGGCCGGATTGGGGAAAATTCCCCGGTGATTTGGCCGGATGCCGGAACGCGGAAATAGATAATTTTTGCTCCATACACATTGATTTTTACACACACACACAACAATTTTTATACACACACATGACTTTTCCGACACACAGAGAGGTCATTTTCATACACACACAGGTTTTTATCACATACACACACCCTATTTTGACATACACACACCCGGATTTAATATACACACACCTGGTTTCGATGTACACACACCCGATCTCGACATACACACACCCCGTTTCTATGCACACACCCGATTTCTATACACACACGTCGAGTCAATAAACACACACGGCTTTCGGCGATTTCGGCCATCAGCGGAGTTCCAACGTCTCGGAGATCTCGGCGAGTGCCCTAGTCCCAAGATTTATTCCCACGGGTAAGGCGCTTAATGCACCGGGCAGCGACTGACCCTTCTTTTACGTGGTACTGTAGATTGCTTTCTTGGAGTCAGAAGAATAAATTATTGTAAATTTTGTTTCTTTTCGGGACGAAACCTCAAATATTTCAGGACCCTGCCTACCCCAAGTCCACTCTAAAACTTAAAGAGCACTAACTTGCCGAATTTGACCAAACTAGTTCCAGGACTCGCGTTAAGCGCCTTACCCGTGGGAATAAATCTTGGGACTAGGGCACTCGCCGAGATCTCCGAGACGTTGGAACTCCGCTGATGGCCGAAATCGCCGAAAGCCGTGTGTGTTTATTGACTCGACGTGTGTGTATAGAAATCGGGTGTGTGCATAGAAACGGGGTGTGTGTATGTCGAGATCGGGTGTGTGTACATCGAAACCAGGTGTGTGTATATTAAATCCGGGTGTGTGTATGTCAAAATAGGGTGTGTGTATGTGATAAAAACCTGTGTGTGTATGAAAATGACCTCTCTGTGTGTCGGAAAAGTCATGTGTGTATATAAAAATTGTTGTGTGTGTGTGTAAAAATCATTGTGTATGGAGAAAAAGTTATTTATTTCCGTGTTCCGGCCACCATACCATATGGCATTTCCTGTTTCGTCTTTTCCAACCAAGAGGTTCCACCTCGGGGATGGAGCTGGTGATGATCATCCCATCTGGTGAGGGTATTTTCGAACTTGACGATGATGGGGCAAGTACAGCGATCTTTCAAAGTTCCAGGATCTGATTCACAAGTATAAAGCTGGCCTCGCGATGACAGCAACCTGCAGAGCTGGTCTCCTTTCCGCCTCCCCATTCCTTTTGTGCTGGCACAATGGCTTATACTCCACTCCTGTTCCTCTTCTTTTTGTTATTGGCATGCCAATGCCAGCCCCAGTACTCCAGCCCCATACAGGGCCCATCCATGAAGGCGACATCTACTTTGCTAAACCGAAAGACTTCCGTAATGCCCCACAAGGAGTCCGTATCACATTTCTCTAGCTTAAACCGTGTATTAATACCTCATAGGCGACCACTTTGAAACATCCTGTCATCGTGATGTCCATGCCAGATTCAGCTGGTTACATAGATGTCGTACAATCTTCGCATGGGTTTCATCCGAATATCGTTCCTGACTCCCAAGACCTGGCAAATTCAAATGATTTCGTCCAGAAGGGCCAGACGTTCACGAACAAACCAGGGGGGGGCGTCAGCATGCTCAATATAGGAAATCCTGGTCAGATTAGGGTTAGCCAACTCTATGATAATCCAGGCACAACGGCGCCACAGAGCCTAGCACCCGATGAATATGCGCGGCTGAAAACTATAGTTGGCACATATCAGGACTGGGACAAGTCTTTATGCTTTGGCTAACTCGACTTCTAGCAAATCGTGCCGCAGAGAAGGCAAAACAAGTGCCAGCAGCACAGGCAGCACAGGGTCCCCAACCCACGACCCACGCTCAACAACAGCAGGTTACGTCTCAGAACCTTCAGCACGCTCATATGGGGGGCAAGGGTCAGCACAAGGGAGGTCGGCAGCCAGCTGCTAGACGCACAAGATCCAGCATTAGCAAGCATAAGAAACCAGGAAATGGCAGAACTCAAGCAGCAGCAGCAGCAGCAGCGAAGCACCACTCATTATTGTCCAGGATTAGGCGCCAAAGACATAAATAGAGTAGATATATAGGCCCGCCAATCTTGAAATTGCAAGGGGCTTCCAGTCTCACTTGATGGGGACTTGAAACGATATGGATGACGAGGGCGATGCGGGGAATGTTTGACACTAACCTCATATCTCCGAAAAAGGAGAGGCAGGCGTCTTACAAGGTTACGGAATCTCAGGTTCATCACTAACAAAAAAAATCAACGAGATTAGAGCCAAATGACAATGGGTCATACAAACAAGTTGCATTCATGCTACAGGAACTTCTGAGTCTTTGGAGGATAAAGCTATGCTTGCAAGTGTTCCTGCTTTCTTATCGCTCGATTCCAGAGCATCAATATATTTGAATTTGCGTGAATCCAGGGTAAAAATAACAGGGCCCTAGAAAACGCAGGTCAGAGGGCCTGAAGCACGAGCCTGAGACAGTCAGCTGCACCTTGTTTGTGAGGGTTACATTTATCATCGCCCTAAATCGCCGTCTAGACCATCTTTCCGTCAAACTTCATCAGGAGCACAGAGAAAATGACATTACTCGGATTTTATCTGCTTTGTATGAGGACAAAAATGCGCCATATATCTTCCGTGAGGCCTCTGAGGATTAGATGCCCAGCTCCAGTAATGCTTCAGACGGAAGAGGGTGACGCTCCGTAGCTCGATGGAAGTCTGGTTTGCTTCCTTTCGCCATGTCGTCAAACAATGATACTTGGGAGACACAAAGGATGTCCCCATCTATGTCACGGTCTTGTAGGCTGACTTTCCACATCTGCTCGGGATTGGCTGGATCTGAGAACACACGGAGAGTAAGGCTTGAGACAGTATTGCCAGTCACTTCCCATGCTTAGCCGATGGAGGTAAGAAAAAGATTTAAATTCCACGCGCTTGAGAAAGTATAGATGACTCTAGGAGGAAGGATGTCCACTGGGAGGAAGATCACAACAAGGAGAGTGCAGTCGTTCTCGACCAGACCGCGACGTCGGAATTTAGCCAGAAGGGAAACTGTAAAGACTGTGCGGGCTCCTTACCTGATCCTATTCCTACAAGAACCGTAAGATCTTTGGAGATTCGAGAAACAACCTCATTGTCGACTGAACAAACACTTCATCAAAGGGCGGGCCCGTTCAAAGATGCAACTTTTCAGCTGCTACTGAAGCTTGTGAGACCTGTTGGATGATTGCATGCATGGATTCTGAAGGCCAAGAAGTGATTGACACACGATGTTGATTTAGACAGAAAGAAAGAACGTCCACGAAGGTGGGGTGAAAGATGAAAGCAGTTGAAACGGAAGTGCGGACCATTCGAAAAATTCGCACGTACATACTCACGTGTGACAAAAGTAACTACGATTATATAATAAACACGACCCATGTGATCTGACCCGATCATTTGTTGAACGTCCCTCCTCCGCAGTCCTCATCGCTCTTCCCTCATCATGCCTGAACCAAAGACAGAACGACACCAGTATCCATCGTCCATAAAAGACAAGTTCATCGGAGCCGTGCTCACGGGTACAACAGTCGCCAAAGCGGCCCGGGTTTTCCACATCCATGACAGCGCAGCACGGTACATCTGGAAAAAGTACAAGACAACGGGTTCGACAGAGAATCTCCCCCGGTCGGGATGTCCACACAAGCTTGACAATACTGTGGAGCGTCATATCATACGCATTGCCCGAAGGGAGCGGAGAACACCTTTTACCAACATCGGAAACCAACTCCCATCACCAGTCTCGGGGTCAACTGTTCGAAGGGTTCTGCGCAACGCAGGATACTTCCGCCGGGTAGCGCGCAAGGTTCCCTACCTGAAGAAGGTTCATAAGCGTGCACGACTCACATGGGCTCACCTCTATTGTGACTTCACGCCCCGCCATTGGAGGAAGATCATGTGGACCGACGAATGCTATATTTATCTCGGCGACAATCATGGACGCGTTTACATCACACGGTGCGCGGATGAAAAATACCTCGATGAATGCCTTGTTGCGACCTTCAAGCAGTCGCCAGTGAGAGTAATGGTGTGGGGTTGCGTAATGGAGGGTCAAAAAGGGCCGCTTGTTGTGTTGGAGTACCCAGGAGGCAAAGGTGGAGGAATGAACACTGCCCGGTATTGCGAGCAAGTGCTGGAGGGGGCTCTGAGGGGCTTCTATAGAGAGATGAGGACCGAGAGAGGCCAGGTAATTTTCCAGCAGGACAATGCACCAGCACATACCAGCAAACTAACGAAACGATGGCTCACTCATCATGGCATCACACAGCTCTATCACCCTCCCAACTCTCCGGACCTCTCCCCAATTGAGCCTATCTGGCACGAACTCAAGCAAATTATACGAAGAAGGCCACATCATCCCACATCCGTAGAAGAACTCCGTTTGGCTGTTATCGAAGCCTGGGAGCAGATACCGATCGAGTGCGTCAATAAACACATTTCTGAGATGCCTGACCGAGTAGCGGCTCTCCTGGAAGCGCGGGGCAGCCACATACCATTTTAATGTGTAGAATACATAGATACTGAACAGGACTAATCTACTATGCCTTTTCTCGGGGTGATTCAAGCACCTGAATTGAAGTGTGCTTCACATCTTTGGGATGCCCCGCCTTTGATTGGAGCATGTGATTACATAATCACAGTTACTTTTGGCACCCACAAGTAGACCCCTGCAACAGGCTGCAAGGCTTTTGGTTCAGTTTCCTTGTCCCATAGTTCCAGGTACGTTGAGCATCGTTATGTCCGACGTGTGTTGCTCTTATTGATGCATCTCTCTAGAAACTCTGAAAACGGAGTCAGCAGTACCGGAGACGAGCTCGGGAGATGCTCTGAAGGTGTGCCTAGGTGTGCAATCCTTCTTCAGGTGCAATCTTCCCCAACCCCAACCATGTTGCAAGAAGTTTTTTAGCTTATGACGTCAATGGAGACGTGCAAAGACTTCGCAGAACTTGCGAAGCGGGCTACTATATCGGCGTCTTCTTTCATCGCATTATTTCCGAACGTCAAGGCTGGGAGATTTAGCAGAGATGTGGATTCTGAACTGTGTGGAGGATAAGATTTCGTGCGCATGATTCAAGGCGGTACAGGCACCGGGTGCGGAGGAACGAGCACATATTATGGACAGAAATTGTGTGTATGGACGTTCTGCAGTCCAGCTGATTCGGAAGCGAATCGTGCCCAGCGAAGACGAGCTACATCCAGAACCGTGACTGAGTATCCTTGCTATGGCCAATTCGGGTCCTAATTCTTCATCACCTTTGCACCAAGACCCTATCTCGACAACAAGCACACGATCTTTGGACGCGTCAGCACATGCATGCGGGTAGTGCAAAGGCTTGGGTCAGTGGCTGTTGACCCACAAGCCTATAGGTACGTCTGCCCACCGAAATACGGGATCTGTGCTCCTTGGTACCATGCCTAACTGACTCGAATCTTTCCACTCCTGTAGACACAAGGAAGACGTCAAAATCCACAAACACAAAACCCGGGTTGTATAGTAAGCCAGACGGAACACGCGCGGAGGCGATACGTCAATCCCTCCTCGGACACACAAACCCACCTATTCCTAGAACACCCATTCCAACACCGCTCTATATGTACACTGGCTCGCTCGTGGGCTTTCCCTTCCCTTGCTAGGACGCGCCCTTCGTCACTCGATCGAAACACCCACCCGCGAAATACAGTCAGCACCACTGCGACGTATACGTAGTGGAAACATGTATCTCGAGCTCCCTCTTTGCCATGGATTATTTTCGAATTGAATGGGACGACCGAGCTTTTGAGTTCACGCATATGCCAAAGGACAGCAGAGAGTCTAAAACTTAAAAGTGATCCGTGGTCATTCCTTGGTATAACCCCCGACAAAGACACCCACAGTGGAACGCCTACAAGTTGGAAGCGTACTTTTCGCGTCCCACTTGGCTCCGAGGTGACAAATCACTGCCATCGCGGAATGCAACTCGTTTGGTTCTCAGCACTGTGGGCGTTTGTACAGTGCTAGACGCCTACAATCGAAATCCGGAAGCCTAGCCTATTACGTCTCGCATCAGATGTCGATATTGCGAAACTCCAAGCGGCAGAACGTCATAAGTAAAAGCTGGCTATATTGTGACACTTGATTTCTGTAGGCAGACTTGTTAGGTTGTCTCTGGATTCGAAGTCAGTTACTTATATATTCCGCCTTTCGGTGAGACAAATGAAGCAATGAAGGGGGTGAATCGATACCAGCTCCGGATCTTTTCCCCTTCGATTTTCATGAATAGTGCGGAAGACATTCGCCGCGTTGACTTTCACTTCTCGGCCACAAAGAGCTTGAGATAGACTGCTCTGTGATCCAGAAATGTACGAGGCGTGGCCGGAAAAACTTTGCTTCAGCGACATTCAGCAGACGGCTGACTTCCTACAGTATATGCGCAACTACTCTGCTTGCCTGAAGGATTTTTCATACTTCTTCAGCATAATCCTATCATGCTCAGCCGTAATGAAATCACAGTGCTTCACACCCTTGGGGAATCCAGCATCCACGTTCAGACTGCCCGGGTACTGCGCCTCGCCATCGACACCGCTCCAGTCAAAGTCAATCAGGCGCGGATGCCCTTCCTTATCCAGCATCACATTCGGCGCCCGCAGGTCCCCAAAAACCAGTCCTTTCTCGTGCAGCATTGCCAGTGCCTTGCGCAGTCTATCAAGCCCTTCAGCGGACGGCGCAGCACCTTCGGGCTCGTCCAGAAACTCGGCCACGACGACCCACATCCCGACAGATGGTTCCCATGCGCAGTGGAGCAGCGGCGCGGCGACGTCCTGGCTGAGCATCAGCTCGTGCGCTGCCTTGCCGTACTGCGTCGTGAACTTGACGATGCAGGTTGTGGGTTGCTGCTTCAGAGAGCCGCCAGATGCTTCCGCGAGGAAGAGAGCCCGCGGGTCGAGAGCGGAGTGAGGGTGGATGCGTTCGAGGTATCGAAGCTGCACCGGCCCAGAGCTCGGGGGCGTGAAAGTGTGGAAGTGCGGTGCCGGAAGCAGCGGGGAATCGAGTGGCTGCTTCAGCTGGTTGTAGTACACGTCAAGCTCGTCTAGGCACTGTCGAAGGACTCTGAGTGTGTGAACGAGCTGCCCGACGTGCTGGTCGCGAAACGAAGGGTAGCCGGCCTGCACCTTGCGGGAAGCAGTGGGAGGCACCATCGGGAAACTGGTCAGAAGGCGTCCCGAGACGACACCGTCGAGATAGATAGCACCAGAAATGGAGATCGACGGCCCAGAAATCGCGATGAGGAACGCTGGCATGCACGAAACTTGGCGGAGCAGCTCAAGCTGCAGGAACAAATGAGCAATGTACCAGAGAGAGCGTTCCATATATTTACCTCAGGAGCAGTACAAACCAAGGCATAATTTTTCCATCGGGTCGCAGTCACCTAGACCGACGCCGTTCGACATCGCGGTGAGAGCTTTGCACATCACCCATCGTCCCAGCTCAACTACATCATACAGACCACAAATGACAGGCAGAGAGCCGTCAGACTCAAGAGTGTGTCCACCGCGATCCAGTACGGCGCCCCCTAGCACTCCACTTCCAAGGAAGTGCGTGAAAAGGTGCCCCAGAGCAAAACGACGATCGGCTTTGCTGGGATAATACTGAGCAGCCTTGTGCAAGAGTGCGTCAGCGACGCGGAAGTCGTCTCGAGAATAATCCGTGTTCTTGAAGGGTTGCGCGAGGCGTGTCAGGAAGGTCTGGAAGACGGGGTGGAAGATGGATATGGAGGGGCCGGTGAGGGTATAAGGACGACCGTTGTATATTGCCTCCATGCATGATGGCTTCTGCGTCCTGTGCATTGCGTCGTTCTTGGCGTCTTCAGATGGGCGACCAGCTTTATCCCTGATAGAGGCTGCAATCTGTTCGCGGGCTGAGAGCCGCGTCAAGACTGCGGAGAAACTAGCGATGAGGAGACGTACTTGGGCGAGCAGACTCTTGTGTTTGCTTCTTGTTCCCATTGGCAGTCTCTTCCTCTTTGATGAAGCCTGCCAAAAAATAAGTGGATAAGTGTGCTTAGATCAGATACAAATGTAGAGCTAGGGGAAGTGAGGAGGAGGAGGAGAATGCGAAAGCATGAACCACTAGAGTAGTAGCACACTGATGTCGTGAGGAGGACCTGCGCGGGGCTTCCTTTATTTCATCCTCTGAGAGAAGCTAGGGATTTGCCCCTGGCTTCTCTCAGAATGCATGAACGAGGTACCGAAGGACTCACTGCACAGCACTAGTAAAAAGACTGAACGGGGTGGGATATCCTTCCACATGGTTTTCAAATCGCAGAACTTCAATTCATCAGATAGGGGGGTGCAGCGCTCGCTCACGAAGGTTGCATTGATGACTTGCTTTTCAGTCAAGGACCTTTTCGTGAAGGGCATGGCATTGGGTCCCGGCACAATGGGTGGACACTGTCAATACACTTGAACAAGATGCCATCTTCGTCGATGCGACAAAATACTCACGCGAACGACTGACATGTCTTTGACTTGTTGGCCAGTTCGAACAAGAATGGGTCGTGCGGCCTCCTTCAAGGTCGCGATGGTGGCCTCGTCAGCTCCATTAAATAAAAAGACAAGGACGATGGCGCAGTCACGGTCGCGGTCGACAGCGGCGATATGAAAGTGCATTTCGCGATGGCGGTTGAAGTCACAATTACGCAGCGATGCGCGACGTTACTCTATATGGTACGCGACCTTCAACTCCGATGACTGTCGGGTAGTACTTACCACAGTACTTAGACTTTGGACAATCAACGTCAACGGGCATATTGAGTCGTTTCGGAAGAGTAATAAGCTGCGTACTGCACGATAATCTATATAGCCACCTGAAGGTTCTGCTGACCTGCTCCCCCATCTCCCGCTGAGGCTCCTGAACAGGGGCATCTGTGTCCAGCATCTCGTCTCATGTCCTGGCATTGGTGCGGGTTATCTGTAACCCGAAGCTTCTGGGCAACTATGGCTGGCATAGGCTGGCATGCGATTCACAAAGGCAGCATGCTGAAATCGTCGATCCACGTTGACGGCGGAGGAAGGCCTTGGGCAATGATGAGGACAGTGACATCATCGATGACCACTGGTAGTCGTCAACAACAATGGCACATGTAAAGCAGGTCCTCTGGGCCGGGAACAGACGAGATGAGCGACTCGATCGAATGGTGTCTATCAGAACGAGTTGGACGATGGGCAAGGATGCCATTAGTGAACAACCCACCCTCACGAGGCCTCTCACCAGTGTCGCAGACATGGCTTGAACAGGGTTTGCTGGATGTCTATTGGAAGAGGAATTTGCCAGGAGAACAGGGAAGAATGGGTCCCAGACCGAACATGGAAGACATTGAGTAAAGCGTGAGGCTGGGGTGGAAGGCACAATGAAGATCGGCGCGTGAGCACAGGTGCAGACACCTTCCACTTGTTTGGATCCAAATCTGCCTTCGGTTCCGCCACCGGTACTTGGATGTTCAATTAACTTGGTCTGGAACATGCACTTCCACCTTGACTTTGAGTGGGACCTCGACGTTTAGAGCAAGATGTGGGGCCAGAGTGTCCAGGTCGCCCGGCAAGGATATCCTTGTTGACTGATTCAAACTCCGCCTGGATTCGGTGCGTAAACATCGCGGTCTCCTCAGGCGACAACATCCTCTTCCTCCTGCCACCATGAGCGCCAACCACCGTCCCGTCCTCGTCCTCCAGCCATCCGTAAACACAACCGTGTAAGTCCTTTATCATAGCTGAAGTTCACCGCATTGGGCTCACGTTGGGCCAGAGTGACGACAACCACGACCACGACCACGACCTACGCGCCGATTCAGCTTCCTCCACTACCCCCACCATCTACCCCTCAAGATCCCAAGAATTATCCCCTTCTTCATGCCAATCTACCCAAATCGCTACGGAATTTTCCCCTTCTCTTTCCCAATGGAACGCGTGCCACCTTTCGCGACGGTGAGGGCGGAGACGAAGATATGCAGGAGGAACAGGAGGTAGTGTCAGGGGTTGGCTGGCGCATGCTTAAAAGAGATGAAGGGTTGCAAGAAACCAACATTGTTGGGCTTGCTGAGGCTGTTGAGCGGTACGGCAAGAAACGGTCGCACAATTCGGACAGCATGATGGAGGGAATTGAGGTGTTGTCGGATTCTAGTGCCACGGTAGCGCCTCCGCGGAAGAAAGCACGGCCAGCACCTCAGCTGCCCCCAATCTCGACAGTTAACGTCAATGCCGCAGCGCCGCCGTCCCCTCTGCCCTCGCCTCATGGATCACCGCCCCCCGAGCCGGTCTGGATGTCCGCGACCCCCGGTGATTCATCGCCTCTACCTCACGCTCCCCTCCAGCCGGATTTAGCTCTCACCACTCTGCTAACGCTACCTTCCTTGCTTTCACATTTCACTGCACTTCCACCACCTCTTCAGAGTCACTTCCTTCTAACGCTTCTACGTCACTCTCCCCTCCCGGTTCTCCGTACCCTCCATTCCGTCCTAACTCCGACCCTCGCCCGCGACTTTCTAACTCTACTCCCACCCGAACTCGTATCCCACATCCTGAGCTACCTTCCATTCTCAACACTCGCTCGCGCTTCCCGTGTATCAAGATCTTGGAGAGCCATTATCGATTCAGATCCAGTTCTCTGGCGCGACCTCCTCAAGAGCACCAAGATCTGGTTCGGGGGTGAATCCGAAGACGCCTTCGCCAACTCCATCTACGCACGCAGACGACACGCACAGCGGACTCAACCTTCCATACCTAACCCCCTTCCCCTCCCTCATCCATACAAGATGCTCTTCAAGTCGAGGCATTTAACTCGCACACGCTGGGTAAACAACCCCGATCCTAAACACATCTCTTTCCCCGCGCACGGTTCATCTGTCGTCACATGCCTCATCTTCTCTCACGGCCGCATTATTTCGGCCTCGGACGACCACTCTATCCATGTCTATTCGCCCGTCACTGGAGAGCTCTTGCGGTCTCTCCAGGGACACGAAGGCGGTGTATGGGCTTTGGCAGCGTGTCAAGATACGTTGGTCAGTGGGTCAACGGATCGCACGGTCCGGATTTGGGATCTCGCAACAGGGAGATGCACGCATGTATTCGGTGGCCATACCAGCACAGTGCGATGCCTGTCTATTGTCAAGCCAGAATTAATCGATGTCGAACGCGATGGTGTTATAGTCAAGGAAAAGTGGCCCAAACGACCGTTGATAGTGACCGGCAGTCGTGATCACTCGTTAAGAGTCTGGACTCTACCTCGTCCTGGTGAAGCCGAGTTCAGGTGCTTTGGTCCTGACGAGACAGAGGTCGATTTGGCGGAAGTCTGTGTAAGTGCTCCCAAAACATCGGGGGGTTCTTTAATTAACGACTCTATTCATTCAGGATGCAGAAGAGAACCCTTACCACCGCAAACATTTAGAAGGTCATGATCATGCCGTTAGGGCATTAGCCGCCAGAGGTCGGACCCTAGTCTCAGGGAGCTACGACTGCATGGTTCGCATATGGGATATCATCACTGGAGAGTGTAAATGGGTGCTCGTTGGGCACACCCAGAAAGGTAGATCTCACTCACTGTCGGTTTGTCAGGAAAGCTTAATTGATTGGTTGCTCGTTTCTTTTCACCCACAGTCTACAGCGTTGTCCTCGATCTGGGTCGAAACCAAGCCTGCTCAGGCTCGATGGACGGAACCGTGCGCGTCTGGAACCTGGAAAACGGCCAGTGTCAGCACACGCTTACCGGGCACACGTCGCTGGTTGGGCTTCTTGGTCTCTCGCCCTCGTATCTGGTGTCCGCAGCAGCGGATTCCACCCTCCGCGTTTGGGATCCTGATACTGGCGAACTTCGCCACACTCTCGCGGCGCATACAGGTGCCATTACGTGTTTCCAGCATGATGAATTCAAGGTGCTCAGTGGATCGGATGGGAACCTGAAGATGTGGAACATTCGCGATGGGACGATCGTGCGAGACCTGCTTACCGGCATCACAGGCGTGTGGCAAGTCGTCTTTGAAGGACGGTGGTGTGTCGCCGCCAGCAACCGGAACGACACCACCGTGCTGGACGTGTGGGACTTTGGGAACGAGGATGATGACGACTGGCTTGGAGAGCCGTCTGGGGGGCAGTATGACGATGATATCTTCAGTGACGACGGCGACGAGGACGAGGATGAGCCCAAGTTCAAGATGCGCGGCGTTGTCGAGGAAGATGATGCCCAAGAACAGGCCGATGTTGATGCGATGGACCAAGACCTTATACCGTCAGAGACAGAATCGGTCGTGGAATATGAATGGGAGGACGACGATCATCGACGCAGCCGAGGGCCAGCAGGTGATGGCGACGTGGAGATCAAGGACGGCACCCGCCGCGGTGGGCGGCGGCGGACGACGACAACTCGAGCATCGCAGAAGGTGTGGAGGCTTCACGGTGGGCACCGTCTGCGACCGCTGTCACCGCCACGACAAATGCGGCGTCCTCGAACCGGCCCACTGCGGGCCAGGTCGGTCGGTCGAGCAGGGCGACGAGCAGTGGTGTTTCGTCGCGCCGTGCCCAGGCTGCAGTTGCGGTTGTAGGTGTGGGTGCTGGCCCATCGACGTCGACTGCTAATAGACTCCCGCCCAACAATGACGAAACGCCTACGAGACCACGGACACGGACTCATCATAGTAGTCGCAGACGATGAGTAAGAGACTTTGTATCTTTCTTGTGTCCTCGGTTTGTTTCTCTGCTTTCCTTCGACTCTCGCTCTCTGTCTCGGATTTTTCCTCTAAATATGCCTGCGGCTCATGTCCATGATACACCTCTGCGTCTGCCCTTTCCTTTTCCTAGGTCGTCTCTCCATCTCTATCCCCACTGTCTCCATACGCATTCCCCTATATCTGGATACTCCATCCATCCATCCATCCTCCATCGTCGCTCATGTCGCATGCGAGTAATTAGATAATACCTAGCACCTCCATGCAACCTCCATGTGCATGTCGTTCAACCTCGGCTTTTCTCACTCATAACCAGGTTACATACTCTGTTGTACACCTATTCTGTACCAGACCCATTGGCATCGATGAATTGACATGCTTCAATACTTCAAGGGTTCACGTCGGACTTATATCGGAAAGTATCTTGTTCACAAACTGCACACAAAATGTCAGTCTAGAAGGAAGGTTGTTTGGACATCCCTTAGGCACTTCTAGCTCGAATGTTGACACAAGTTGGGAATGAGAATAGTTTGGCCTGAGCTTCATGGAGGAAGAGTTTAGACGAGAGGAGCATCGCAAAAGCGTGGGTTGTGAACGTTTGAACAACGTCCTCGAGACCTGCGAGAGCTAGCCTCGGAGGGCGAAATCGTCTCATGAAAAAGACCCTCATTCTCAACCAAAGCAATGACATCCTTGAGAAATACCGACAGCTGACACAATGCAATCGGAACACACCGAGGCATAATAGACTTCGCGCTTTCGATTATAAGCGGCTGGGACCCTGCAAACGCCCATAGCGCTGAGAGCCTAACGGATTGCATTCCGGATGGCGATTTGGCATCTCGGAGCCGGGGGAACGCGAAAAGTGCGCGTCCAACTCGCAGGTGTTCCACTATTATGGATCGACGGTGTCTTTGTCGGCAACTTTAGCAAGAGATGACCACGGGCCACTTAGACGGCGTTTGCGTGAACGTTGAAGCTCGATCATCCAATTCAATTCGAAAATAACCCATGGCAAAACGGGAGTTCGAGATACATGTTCGGACTACGTCCGTGGCGCTGACTGCATTTCTCTAGTAGGTATTTCAGTCAAGTGACGAAGGGCACGTCCTGACAACGGATGGAATGGCCCACGAGCGAGCGAGTGTTGAGCGGGGTCGGAATGAATGTTCTAGGAATGGGTGGGTGGACGTGCCCGAGGAAGGATCGACGTATCGCCTCCACGCATGTTCCGCCAGGTTTAGACGACCCGGGCTTTGTGGATTTTGACGTCTTCTTTCGGTCTACAGGAGTGGAAAGATTCGAGTCAATTTGGCATGATCCTGTGGAGAGGATAGTAGACGTACCGATCTTGTGGGTCGACGGCCACTGACCCAAGCCTCTGTACCACCCGCATGCCTGAGCTGACGCGTCCAAAGATCGTGTGCTTGTTGTCGAGATAGGGTGTTGGACCAAGGGTGATGAAGAATTGGGATCCTAGAAACGAAGGTGTGTATTTGTCAAGGTGGGGTCACTATGACCAATGGATGCGTACCGTTCGTATTAAGACCCGAGTTGGCCATAGCAAGGATACCTGCGCCTGTGAACCTCAGTTCTGGATGTAGCTCGTCTTCGCTGGGCACGGTTCGCTTCCGAATCAGCTGGAGAGCATTCGCACAGAAGGAGGGCGCTCATACGCACAATTTCTGTCCATATATGCTCGTCCCTCCACGCCCGGTGCCTGTTGGATCCCCGCCTTGAATCATGAAATCCTATCCTCCACACCAGTTCAGAATCCATATTTCGACTAAATCTCCCAACCACGACGTACGGAAATAATGCGATGGAAAACGACGCCGTTATAGTAGCCACGCTTCGCAAGTTCTGCGAAGTTTTTACACGTCTGCGTTGACATCATAAGCCGAGAAACATCCAACATCGTCGAGCAGGATGGCACACCTTCGGGGCATGGTTCCAGTACAATTCGAGCTGGATATCTCCCATGCTTGTCTCCAGCACCACTGACTCCATTTTCGGAGTTTCTAGAGACATATATCAATAAGGACAACACACGGTGGACATAACGATGCTCAACGTACCTGGAAGTTTGGGACAAGGAAACTGAACCAAAAGTGCTCCGGGCCGTTCGGATAAGATCGCGTGAATTTTCTTCAAACGGTCCGCACTTCCGTCACAACCGATTCAACAAACTTTCAGCTTATTCTTTCACTCCACCATCGTAGACGCTCTTGCGTTCTGCCCAGATCAACATCGTATAAAAGACACCTCTTGGTCTTTAGAATCAGAATGCGTGCAATCATCCAACGGGTCTCACAAGCTTCAGTAACAGGTGAGAAGTTGTGTCTTCAATCGGCATCCTTTGCTCAAGTGTTTGCTCAGTCGACAAGGAGGTCGTTTCTCAGATAGCCGAAGGTCTCATGGTTCTCGTCGGGATAGGATCAGGTCAGGAGCTCGTCCAGCCTTTGCGCTTTCCCCCCTGGCTAAATTCCATTCTTTAGAATAGACGACACTGAGGCCGATGTCGCGGTCTTGTCGAAAAAGATGTCAGTGCGCTCTACTTGTCATGTTTTTTCCTAGCTCGGTGGCCATGATTCCTCCCGGAATCATCTACACTTTCTCAAGCGCATGGAATCTCAATCTTTTTCTTGCCTCCATCTACCAATCGCAGAGGGATTGACAATAATGCATCTTCTCCAGCCTTACTCTCCGCGTGTTCTCGGATCCAGCCAATCCCGAGAAGATGTGGAAAGCCAGTGTGAAGGACATAGATGGCGACATTCTGTGCGTCTCCCAATTCACGTTGCTTGCCAACACGACGAAAGGGAACAAACCAGACTTCCATCGCGCTATGGTGGGTCACTCCCCCTTTTCGTTCTAAGCGTCACTGGAGCTAGGTGTCTAGTCCTCAAAGGCCTCGCGGAAGATGTATGGCACATTTTTGGATGCCTTGAAGGCGTCATACAAAGCAGATAAAGTCCGAGGTATGTTCCTTGTTTTGTGCCCCTGATGAAGATCGACGGAAGGATGATCTAGACGGGCGATTTGGGGCGATGATGAGTGTAAGCCTCACCAACGAGGTGCAGCTGAATTTCCTATCGCTATTTTACCGTTCTGACCACAGTACTGTGTGTTCTAGGGTCCTGTCACGTTTACCCTGGATTCGCGCAAGTTCGAATATATCGATGCTCCGGAGTCGAGCAGCAAGAAAGTTGGAAAAAACACAGGCAGCGCTTCGCCCTCCAAAGAACCAGACATTCCTATTGCATGAATGGAAGTTGCTTGTATGACTCCTTACGTTTCTTTACTCTGTTCTCGTTGAGATTTTCGGCAAGTAATTGACTTGAGATATAACTTGGTAAGACTCCCACCTCTCATTCGTTATTCAGGGCACTGAGAACGTTGACTCATCAGGCTTCTTCCAACCGTGCTGCCTGGACAGCGCCGCTTCCTGGCCTCTTACCCACGCTAGATCTTGTACGTCGACCAGCTGGACTGTGACCTCCCCGTTGAGTTCCAGTCCTGTGAGAAGCTTTAGCCGTTTGACGTTTCGGAATTTGTGGCTGGGGTCGGGGTTGGGACGGTCCCGGTTGTGCTGCTTGAGGTTGCGGTTGTGCCGCGGCCCTCTCCCGTCCCTTCCTTGCAGCATGAGCAGCTATGAATTGTGTTAGATTAGGCCTCATTCGACTCATTCACAAGGCTCACCAACGACGGATTTTAGATGTTTGTACCCTTGATCTTTGAGACGAAGCGGTACGTCATCGGCATGGAGGTTCTTGTAGAGTTTGCTGACGTGAATCTGAGCAGGATTTCTGACATTCAACATACTCGGCTTCCCGCCTTTGTCCTGGAAGCCTTTGCTCGCTTTAAGGTCAATAAAATCATTCGCCTTATCCAGGTCTTGATGGAGAACAATGCCTTGAAAGTTATGCGACGATTGAACAACATCTATGTATCCATGATCATTCGGCGGGGATATTGTGATGACGAGATGGGGCTTGCTGGTTTTCTAGGAGGAATTGGCACGCAGTTGCAGTAAGATTGATCGAACGCCTACCTCTGGGTTACGGAAGTCGCTTGGTTTCGCCTAGTAGATATGTTTTTCTTCAGCTGACCCTGTGTGACGTACAAGATCTACTGCCCAGCAGCTAGAAATCGTTAACGAAAAGAGAAGGAATACGAGTCGAGTATAAACCATTGCGCTGACAGAGAGGAGCGGGAAAGGCGGGGAGACCAGCTCTGCGGTTTTCCAACTTCAAGAAGCTAACTTTATACCACTTGGCCCCGAGTCGGGTTTGTGCCTGTACACTACTCTGTGGGTGTGCTGAATGTTAACGTTGCTCCTGGTTCGTCCCCCAGACACTGCAACCAGGAAAAATATCAAAAGGAAAACCCTTTTTGCTCAAAGGGGAAAGGAGAAGCTGATATTGGTATCGGACTTGTCCTGCAACCTTTCATCGTCAACTCTGTCGCCCCATGTCAAGTAGGTCCCTGCTGAAAGTAAGACGCGCGGTTTGGAAGGGTTTCTTACCTGCCTCTTTTATTGCAGATGGCCAACAGGACGCTCTTGCCTCTCGATATTCTCTACACGGTCGCGGAGATACTCGCTGGCAGGAGTGACATGGATTCCCTGAAGACTTCCTCGCTGGCTTGTAGGGACTTCCGTCGGATTTGTGAGAAGCACATCTTCGCAGAGGTTGATCTTACACCGGGCGACCGATCACTTGTTGACCAGTTCAAGAAATTGCTCGACATAAAACCCGAAGCTGCGGCACTAGTCCAAGACGTCAGACTTTTCCTAGATCCACCGTATTCAGCCAATCTTCCGACTGTCCTATCTTCGATGAAAGCAATACGCCGCCTTTCCTTAGGTGTACGCAAGCCGTCGGTGGTATGGGTAGCAATTCCGGCGGTTGTCCGATCTTCAATACAGAACACCATACGAACCCCAACACTCACCCACCTCGAAATACGAGCTCTCGACGACTTTCCGATCGCAAAAGTAATCACGCCTCCGCTCTCCCTAACGTCTCTTATTATTTTTTCTGTTTCGCCGCCACGACCCGACTCTTTAAATGGTGGCCCTTCGTCTGCTTCAGTTATGTCATATTCCGCCATCCAACTGCTCGTTAACTGTCCTACAAATATCAATGGACGCGTGCTTTGTTTTGCTATCCCACAGACAGCCTAATGGCTCACCCTCGGTCAGTCTTGGAGTCTTGGAGTTCTTGGATATTTATATGGAGACCAAAGGAGTTCTGCGACTCCTTCTAGAAGACTATGAAAGACTGAAAAGCTTGATCATCCGTCGTGAGTGTTACCATTCTTGCATTATGAACGCATTTAGAGGTGCAAAACCTATAGTTAATGTGGACTGGGATTTGCGAGGTACACTCAGTGCGATGAAGCCACGTACGAAAGAGACTTTGCAAAACCTGAGTGTAGAGCTCGATGATGTTGCGGGAGAGGGCCGCGACCCTTTCCTAGGGCTTTGTGACGAGCTTAAATTGTTTCCGTCGTCGAGCGCACTGGAGAAGATCGAGGTCAGGATATTTATCATGACTGACTGCGATTGCAGTACCAGGCTTGAAGATTGGACTGCCTTTGACAACGTCCTTCAAGCAGGAAATTTTCCGTTCTTGAATGACGTTTCTCTTTTGGTGACTATCAACCGCTACTGGAGCCATGACACAACCCTCGAGGCAAGGCTTCAGAGCATCGCCGAAAGTGCTTTTCGTCGTTTGGAGCAAGCGGCCGATGTCCAATTTCGATGTATTATCACTACAGACTTAGAATAAGGAAAAATGCGGATGATAATTTCTTGGAATCGGGCGTTAATTTTCAACATTCTCCGCAGGATGACAGAAGATCTTTGCGGTCATTAATAACGGATCCGCAGAGGATGAGGCAGTGGCGAAAGGGTGCGCCCTGACCTCGCAAAATTCGCAACCTTACCCAAAACATGAGTAGATTAACTGCTGAAAATACTTCACTCCTCTTGAGTGGGTCAAATGATGAAAACGGATCGACGGATCTTCGGCCTAAGAACATGTGTCGACTTTCCTGTTGTGCTCCGGGGCTTCTGACCACGTATTGTGTTTTCTAGGGTACTGTCACATCTACCCTCGATTAGCGCAAGTTCGAATGTATCGATGCTCCAGAGTCAGGTATTCGCATAGCGTGATTTCGACTATAGATATTTGAGATAGCTAGCCAGACCTGGCTCTTTAGGGGGATGATTTATTTGAAGGCGCAGCGACGAGAGCATGCAAAGCCTTCGTAATATCTCCACCATTCTCAGAAAGTACTTTCTCCGCATTTGTTCGAGGGATCTCGAACTCATGTACCTTGGGAAAGTGTCAATATCCCAAGTACCGAAATAAGAAAGGTGAGACGCACGATGAGATCCACATCTTCCCTCTTCAGAACTGGTGCAGATGGATCCTTGATCGCTGCAGGCTTTGCAGGGGGCTTCTCTAGAAACCCTCCTGGCCGAAAGGCCTCTTCCATTTTATGTTTCGAATATGCGAAACCATCGCCGTACTGTTCGGGATGTGTTCGGTTCGTTAACGAGCAGTTCAATCGGGTTATTAGTAGAAGTTGTCGGCAATATGAAGAGTTCGTACGTTCATTATAACTTCTGGCTCCAAACGCCCATTTGAACGAGACATCGTTGGAGATGACAGTGGTGGAAGAAGTCTAAGTCCAAGCAGGAGTCGTTCAACTTCAAGATGACGTCGACCATTTCAATGAATGCACGTGATTGATTCATCTTATCTTATCACAATAGCAAAAACTGAGGTCCGTGCACGCCATTTCAGCTCCTTCTACAAATCTCTATACCTCTTCAATGAATGCTGATCTGGGCATCCCAATCCTCATCGTCGGTATCAATGAAGATATTCGCTCCCTCTGGACCGTACATTGCCCCTTGAACGACGTAGCCCTTAGCCTTGATGCTCTGCAACGCGTTGATGAAGGACTGCAAGAGACTTGTGTCGCCTACTGGACCATCGTTGAGCTGCCTCGGGCTGCTCCGACCAACGTTGAAGATGAAAACGCTCGGTGGGTTGGATGAAACGGGCTGATGATAGGTCAGATTGAATTGTATCGATTCAAATAAGTTATCGTTTACTTGACCAGCTGCGGCAATGGTTGCGGAGGACTAGACGAGGGGAAGTCAAAGCCTGCTTGTAGAAGATGAGCATTGATTGGCGTACCATATTGGCGTTGGTCCTGAGCGGGGATAGAATTGGGTTCCTTATGCTGTGAGTGGAAGCGAATCAAGTTAAGGGTGAAATGTGGTGCACGTCTCAAGAGCCACTGGTGGCTATATTTATGTACGTCGGCGATTTGCGGTCCATTCGGGGCGTTTGTCCTGTCGAGTTTTGACGCGATCTTCTTGATGATCAAGCCTTCGAATTTGACTATGTCGTAAGGCTCAAAGGCTCCTCAGGTGAGATGAGGCCATCGATCAGTCGTCGACAAGATTTCGACTCACAAACTAGTGCAGGTGCCTTCCAAGGAGCCGGATTTCGAAAAGTAATCACACTCTGTCAATCTTTCTAGCCCCTTCTGACCTAGATCATCATTCTTGTGAGGCGATGTCAAGCATTGTTCTGCGTGGAGGGCGCTGGTGGACGAATCTGTTGCAGGGTCGTTGAAAGAGTTTTCCGAGGTTTGGACCTTCTACCAATTTGCACTTGTTCGCCCTGTGCTTGTCTCAGCTTCACTCTACAGTTTGCCACTTTGAAATCCTATCACATGCGAAATTTTTGCGGTCTTTACCTCCTGATCACCGGTTCCGGTGGAAGAATGGGTTTTCGGACAGCTGCGGCGCTGAGGCATAGCCGCGTCACGGCGCCCGTGGTTCCTCCACATTCGGTAATTGAATCCTGCGTAAATGATGCAGGTGGCGCATCATCAACGTCTAGACGCCACTGTCATCACTCAAGTACTCACGGGGTGTCCTAAACTCCCAATTGCGGACAAGTACGGGTAGGAAATCCGGAAAGTAGGTTATTGGCCCACACCGCATCTGCACCAAAAATCGAAATTATGGCCTCCATACCCCAGATGCATAAACTACATAAAAAATTCTCCTACTGTCACGGTGTCAAAACGGGAATCGCATGCGCAAATTTTTGGGCCTGTAAGTATGTCAGGATGTACTTTAGCCCTGGGCAGTGTCTTTCCGAGGTGCCTTGGAGGTCCATGTACGGAGATCCCGTTGATAGATGGCTACATGAAACCCCGACAAATCTGGTATTCACAACCGCGTTTGCACAACAGCAGCTAACCTCATTTGGTCTGCAAAAGAGTATTTAATCAGCCTAGTTCATACCGGGGTGCTTCAGACTGGTATCTCCCACTCGCAAAGCATCGTAAGTTGGTCTTATCTTCGAAGCATCGAAGAAAACTAACCCTTTCGTCTGTTTACAGCGCAGGCCGGATAACAAATCAAACCTCATCCCTTAAATCCCTTTTTTGTTGTTCTACAAGGTCAGTCGACATAGAGACCTCAACTGTTATCTAAAGACTGAAGTACTGACGCCCCTTCAGTATGAAGATTTCAACATCCTTCGTTGCTTTGACCTTCGCTCTCGCCAGTATGGTGGCTGCTCTCCCTACTCCCTCATCCCTCGAGTACGAAGCACTCGAAGCCCGCCGCGGTAATAGCCTGGAGTGCTCTTACGGCAACGTTAAGGATCAGCATTGCGACACTCAAGGCTGCAGAGATGGCGGAGGTTACTGCCAGTACAACAAAGACACCAAGCGATGCTCGATGGTGAATATGCGGGGTAAGAGTGCACCATTCGGTTGTCAGTATTGTACGTGCAGGTCGGCATAAGAGGGTCCATGGAGTAGTACTGCTTCGTATTTGATTTGTGAATAAATGAAGTAGAGTGTGCACGATGCAGAAGTTGGAAGGGCGTGTCGAATTTGCCCATTTTGGTCGCGACCGCAAGAGGCGGTCGAGCAGGCTGAAGGCCTCTTGGAAGTTTCTGTCTGATCCAATCAAAGGGGCAAATGATAAGGCGCTTGGGTCGGAAAACTCTGAGTTATGGGGCAGAAAGAGCTTATAATTGCACTGAGAATCATAAATTCAATATACGTAACGCTTCTCTGATCGCCGTGGGGTCGAAGTTTCATTCGCCCTGGGAGTAAGTCGACAGCTATAAGGGGAAAGTGTGATCGTCTATTATGGACGGACTACGTGCGCACAGTGGTACTTTCTACCCACCCGTCAGTTGAAATCAGCTCTCACCAAGTGTAAGTCAATATTTCTTCCACTAAATTGAAGATCCGGGGGGAAGGCCCATGGTATGCGTTATCTATATAGCCTGATACTGTGTCTTATTCACAACACCTGTGGCTGCGGAAGCGCGCTAGAAAGTTCCTTCATATCAATTTATTAGGAACTCTGATTGAGCATCCATAATTTGGGAGAATGATTCTGAATTCTATTACCTGTACCTACATTGTGGGTGGCTAATGCCCATCATATCTGGCATTGTTTATGCCTCATTTTATAAGAGTGAAAATGTGCTGTAAATTGAAGTATTGAACGAACGGTCAACTCCCGGGGCTTGCCGTCTCACCCACCTTTCATCCATTTTTGTTACGTATTTCGCTTTCTTTAACTTGTTCCATATACCGGATCCAATATGAGCTTATTGCGCTGATCGGTTAGCTTGAGTGAAGAATGGAAGAACGTTAAGGGTCGAGTACGCCACGAGGGATAGCCCCTATCCACCTGCTTGAATATTGCTAATAATAGCAATGCGCCACAGGCATCTACGCCGCACGGAGCATCTCAATGACCAAATAGAGCGTAGATGATCGCATATGTGTAAGCTTTGCAAATTTAATCTGGACTTATCAATGTCCTTGACAGTGAGGCAAAACTTGACCTAGGGTTCCCTAAAAGCCGACAGCGTAGGACAAGACGTCCTCGAGTCCGCCATTGCGGTAATAGTACTCCAAGGGTGTGGAAACTAGTGTAGATACGTAATTTAAACTACAGTCAAACTGGAAGCATGGTGCATGACCATTCACGATGGCGATTCTGCGACGGCGCAGCAGGCTTCCTGCCCAACGAAACCAGATAAGGAGAATCGAGTGAATCAATTCGGTCGTCGGAGCGGCGTTGAACTTCAGCTTCAAGCTTCAAGGGCCCCTATCAAAACGTAACTAAGTATGCATCCCCGCAACTGATACAACTGCAAGCATGACCGAGAACCTATTGATGGGCAAATTGCAGTGGGGTTAGAAGTCTGTTCGTCGTTCGATGACTCGCTGGCCCTCTTTTTTGTACAGTGGGACCCAACCTTATTTCACGGGGAGCAGTATTTAACCCCTGTGGTTTGGCATGTGGTACTTCAGCCAGCTTTCCCTGCAAGAAAGCGCATCGTGAGTTCGTCGCAACCGCAATTCTCTTACAACAACTGACCTCACTGCAGGCTACAGTCCTCGACCGTTAACTGCATATCCCATCTAATCCGTCAAGTAGGCCCATTTTTATTCCGCGAGTCAGTGCACCAGAATTTTAGAGCTCATGAGAATTGACCACTTGATAGATCGTGATGAAGATTTCGACCGCCTTTGTAACTTTGACCGGCGTTCTTGCGACCATGGTGGTTGCTCTACCTCCTGTCCCAACGTCGCTGGAGGTCGAAGCGCTAGAAGTCCGCGCTAACGACCCGCAGTGTTTGTACGGCAATGTCTCGGGGAAACATTGCGACAATCAGGGCTGCAGAGATGGCGGAGGTTATTGCCAGTACAACGCACAAACTAAGAGGTGCTCGATGGTGAACATGCGTGGAAATAGTGCACCCGTCGGCTGTCTATCATGCACCTGCATCAAGGCGTAGAAATTGGCCACATAGGACACATATAGTCAATATACAACTCGGATGATGGTTTTGTCGCTTGTCGAAGGGATGTGTGGCCTGGCCACATCATATCATGAGATAGAGAAGACCTCTGTGACCACTCATCGAAAGTGGGACGGATCGTCATCACCTAAATCGCTCTAACGCTGAATCTATGTCCGGGTAGAAACACTAATCTTTCGGCTGGGGATAATAGGGGCGGAGGAAAGCCAGGAACATCGGAAAAATGTGGGGTGTGAATGACGCCCTCAAGACATGAGAGTGCTGGCCTCGGAGGGCAAGATAGTCTCAGGAAAGACCGATTCTTTCTCAAAAAGTAGTGGCGTCCTTGAGAATATCGACACCTATCACAATGCAATCGGAATAGACTTCGAGCCTTTTTTTCGATTCTGGGCGCCTGAGATCATGCAAACGCCCACAGTGCGGAGAAACGAACAGGTTGCATTCCGATGTGGCAGCGATTTGGCATCTCGGAGCCGGGGGCACCCAGAAATGCGCTTCCTCGCAGGTGTTCCATTATGATCCACGGCATCTTCGTCGGAGAATTTAATGAGGATGACCATGGACCACTCGTTGTTGTCCTTTGGCATTTGTGTGGACGCTAAAGCTTGAACGTCCAATTCAATTCGAAAATAACCCATGGAAAGAAGGCGGCTCGTGTATTTTGACGAAGGGTGCGTCCTGGCAAGGGAAGGAACAGCCCACGAGCGGGGTTGGAATGGGGAATTCTAGAAATAGGCAGGTGGGTGTGCCCGAGGAGGGATCGACGCACCGCCTCCGCGCATGTTGCGTCTGACCCAGACGACTCAGGATATGAGTATTGACGTTGTCTTTTGGCCTGCAGGAGCGGCAAATTTTGAGTCAATTTGAGATGGTGCTGGCTGACTCGTCCAAAGGTCGTGCATTTGTTGTCGAGATAGGGTGTAGGTCCAAAGGTGATGAAGAATTGGGATCCTAGAAGCGAAGAAGTACAACAGTCATGGAGTGGCTATGATGAGCATCTATCGATAGATGTATACCACTGAGATTAGGACTCGAATTGACCATGGCAAGTATACGCCTGTGAACCTCGGGTCTAGACGTAGTTCCTCTTTGCTGCGCACCCGAATCAGCTGGACAGCGTTCGCACAGTAGAAGGTTCTTACGCACAATTCTTGTCCATATACGCTCAACCCTCTACGCCCGCTGCCTGTTGGATCATGAATTCCTGTCCCCCACATAACCACACCGATTCAGAATCCACGTTTTGACTAATAAATCTCCCAACCGTCATATGGCGTACATACGGAAATAATGCGATGGAACACAATGCCGTTATAGTATCCTCGTTCAGGAGTTCCGCGAAGTTCTTGCACGTTTGTTAACATCATATATTGAGATTCGAGAAAGAAAATTGCATTCGGGAAAAGTACACACCTTTGGCTTAAGTATACTTCGAGCTGGATATCTCCCAAGCTTGTTTGCAGCACAACTGACTCCATTTTAGATGTATTCTAGATCCAGACATCGATAAGGCGGATGTAACGATGCTCAACATACCTGGAAGTTTGGGACAAGGTTTGGATGTCGTTCCGGCCCGGTGGGGCTGTATCACGTGAAACCTTGTCAACGCGACCGCACAACAAACTTGCGCTTGCTGCGGTTTCATTCAACGACCTGCTGCGCTTTCCCTTGTCATCGTCTGCAACCATTGGCGATATCCCGCTCATTGCGTATAGCAGCATCGTTTGCAGGTCCAGGTTCTACTCGGCCCATGGCGCTCGCGCTGGTAAAGCTCTGACCGTTTTCAATATTCGGCACTAACTTCATCCTCCTTCGATTCAGATTTGAAATTCCTTCCACTTAGGAGGTGCTTGCCATGCTATATCCAGCTCACCCAGTCCTACTACGTTCGCCCTCCATTTCAGCAGATCACCCCCACATTGACGCAACTTATCTCTTCTTCAGTCATGCGCCTTAGGGGCCGATGAAATCATTCCATAGGATCGTTCTTTGCCCCATGGATGATCAACCGTCGCGGATCAGCTGGGGCAGGTGTGGTCATTCCTAGGTTATAACCTCATACCAGCACCTATATCAAGTACTCTACGGGACTAGGAAGAACTTGCGCTACACCCACCGAGGACTCTGTCTCTGACCGTGAGTTCAACCGAATTTGAAATTTCACTCTTTGTATGTGTCAAAAGTCATGAAAGGTGACTGACAAATGGCCAGATATCATTAATTTCCCGCATCTCCACTGCCTCAAGTTCATTTCACTGTCACGTATACGGACTGACCTGGCGATTACAGGCTGCATGTTGTACTGCCCTCCTGGAACACATAGTGGGAGACTTTCACCCATTCAAATAACATCCATCTTTACTTCGCGGCAAGAGAACCATCGGTCGCAGTAGTGCCGAATGCGACCACGACCGATTGATATGTTGCTGTTGCTAACGCCTCGGTCTTTTAGGCAGTTTGTCGTTGCGTTGGGAGTTTATTCCGACCAGACTGGAATAAACAAGCCGACAGACTTTCCAGCTCGTCCATTCTCGACATGCGGACAACTGGACGGCTTCGATGTTGGTTTATTGCCAGATAATGGAGAGCCTAATATGGTGTTGGCACTCCGTTTCGTGCTGCCACCGCAGTGTTGACTGTTTCAGGACGACATATCGAAAGGCGTTGTCGCGCATGCAAGGCCCCTTACACTCGATATACAGACACCACTGAACGTCTGTTACTCCATGATGGTGCTCCTTGACCAACCACACGTTTCAGGCTCACACCCACTTGCCTATCCCATCCCTATTTTTATCCAAGCTATCTTGCGGCGCGATGCGGGGAGGCAGGTATTCAACACTCCCATCTGCGAAGCTGCTCCAGCTGAAAGGAATAGGCACGAAGCCTATTTCACTTGTTCTTTATCGCGAATTCGTCGGCGATTTGCGAAACAATGCGCGAATCGACGTCTGCTGTCTCGTGGAACAGGCTCCGCAATGTCCATTAAAAGCATAAGCTTCGCTGTTTTCACTTCCGAAGGCTTCATTGAGGGGCAGAGGCTCGCACGTTCGGGGGCTTTTGGGCGCTTTCATTTGGGACTTTGGAAAGTCGACTGAAGATGGAAATACTGGATGCGAATGCGAACGATAATCCTGCAATTTTTAGCTCGCCTCCGCCTGATCCCAATTCGCTGCCTCTTCGCTTGGGCGATCGTCCTGTCAGCCGTTGATAAACCTTTGGCAAAGTCTCGGGGCCTGCTTCGACTGTTTCCGTCTAGTCCCTTCGAGGAAGAAATCATACGGCGACTTGTTCAGTCTCCTGTGAACTCAAGCTGAAAACCTGCGTTTAGCTTTGGAATTCACGGCGCTCAAACGCCACGGGAGGAAAGGACGTCGACTCCATAACGTTACTCGAGGAAAGCAGCTAGAACCCGTGCTCCCAGCTTCTCTAAGGGCGCGAAAGTGATTAGGGTAGACGTGGGTGTCTGGAGATCCATGGCCGCCGTGTCGGGTGACACGTTTAACGTTATTTAGCTGTGCCAGGTCTAAACGCGCCGAACGATCGTTCTCAGTCGTGGATTGTGTACTCACGAGGCTTGAGCTACCCCGTGGCTCCGACTATTGGAAAAGTTGCTGTCTACAAATGGGGTCCTCTCTGTGTTTAACAGCATGCGTGATATGCATCAAGATGGACGAGAGCGCTTGTGCATGTTCTTGCCTGCCGTTATTGTTTGAATCGACCGTGTCACCCGACAACGCTATTCACTTCCTCCATCTGTCGATGTTGTGTACATTGAATAAGGCCTGTTTTATTTGATACAGAGCGTACCGAACGAGGAACGCGTCGTGCGACTACATTCGCTTGGCCCTCCTCGTTTTTCATTTCTTCCCATTTTCTACAGATTAAATAAAACTTCTCGAACTCTGCGCAGAACCGCAGGAAGGGCAACCTGAGCCTAAAATGCAAAATGTTTTTCGCAGGTCGTTTAACGGGTGAAATACTGACACGGCAAGGTCGTGGCCGCCTCCCATGGCTTCAGTGGTGAACGAGTTATCGTCTGGCCGTCAGGCACTGCTCTCCAGAGCAGATCACTCGGCGCCAGTAGGAATTGTGGCTGTGTCTCGCTCCTCTCCCACCAACTGCCAACTGCATTCAAGTTCTGAAGTTTACCCAAAACACCACCGCCCATTGGAGCCCTCTGTTCACATCGTCGGCCTCTCAACGGCACGTGGCTCAGACTTTCAGATATCTCATTGGATTGGACTTCGATGCCCTACCGTTCGGCCAAACTTGGGGAACTTTGGTCTTTGATGCTGTTTGTCGAGAGCTCTCTCTCTGGGCTCGAGATTCCCGGGGCATACCAGTCGTCTGACCTATGGGTTCTGGGAATTCGTACTCTGTGCATGTGGATCATCTTTCCCCGCAGTGACGCTTTCAAGGCAGCCAATCAGGGCTTTGGGTTGGTGATATTGGACTTATCTTCGTCTCGAGACTCTCTATCATGTGTGCCGTTTTCCGTTCAAGGCGAAATCCGGCCTCGATTACTTCGAGAAGCAGGGGAATTCCGGACGCCCACCCGTTGTCGTCGACCTTCGGAGTCGGGGTCGAGGTCGAGGACGTCATTACGACACGACTTGTGCCTCGCGCCCGATGTCATGCTCGATTGGTAGTGGATGAGCGTTGGGGGGTCATGTCGGATGACGACCCGAAATGCGCAGGGCGTGGCCAGTCCTCGCCGTCGATCAGGACAAAACGAGGAACGGGCAGAAGAATATGGCGACTTCGATTAGTGGAGCATTGAACGTCCGACTGAAAAGCGTAAATCTTACTAACGGCAGTCCACATGCTGCTTCACAGTCGAGGCGCGAACTGGCTTAGTGGCTTCATCGCTAGGAGACCATATCCAGTACCTCACTTCCCTAGCATCCGCGCGCACTATCTCGGCGGATCGTCATATGGCACAGAGTCGTTATCTTGCAACATAATGAGCGCTGCTTTTTGTTCGCTCATTGATTCTGGCTCGACCAATCGTCGTCTGGGAATATAAAACTCTCCCCCATTCATGTCCTCCAGCTCCAGATGGACAACTTTTGAGCAACTCGTTTTCCCAGAGCCACGCGAACGCGTTACGTATCAAAAATCGGACCGTGTCTTTTTCGCTCTCTAAGTATGTCATCGAGACTTGTTCGTTCGACGACACATCGCAGAGTTTCTCGGCAGTGGGGCAAAAGACTTTGCCTTGCTATTTTTGGCACCTTCTTATCGGGGATATCGGACGGAGATATCTGCGCCTCAGAATTAGAAACCTCCCTCTTCACCGTCCCGTCTCTCCTGAATAATGCTCTGCGCAGATATTGTACCCCGATCCTAGCGCTGGAACATGATATAACCCACATCCTTCCCGGTCGTATATTCATTTTATGTCAACTTTCAAGAAAGCTCTATAACAACTTCGGCATGACGCACACACAACGTACAGGTTTCTATCGCTTGCTGGAAAGAGAAAGTCGACGGCTTGTTTCATCGAGTCTGGATCCTTGGAGCTGGGTTGACAGGACCATATGGGTCTTGCTCGATCGGTCTGAAAACGATCCAGTTCTGAAAATACTTGGTGTCAAAAAGCTTCGCTCTCAGCTTCCTTCTTTCGACGGCGGCCGACTCAACGATTACAGCCGTAATAGGTGCACGAACGCCGCTTGATCTGCGTGTGCAAACAGTTCTGCCACTGCCAGTGAAAGCCACTTCTGCTGCAATTATACATGAGTTATTCCCACCTGGCAACACGCTCTAGGTTGATAACCACCATGATAAGGACTGGTCATTGCAACCCAGAAAAAAATCTAACTTTTTTGGTTACACGCTTAGCGTCGACTTCGAACGTCTAGGGTGAAAAAGCGTGTCTCTGGGCAAGAATTTCACGCTTCTCGATTCGTTGTAAGGAGGCTTTCGGAGTTGCCCTCTGTGTTTAGGGCGCAGTGAATGAGCAACGGTCGTCTGAACACGCACATTTTCAATAACGCTTGGTTGAAACTCGTGTCAGATATTCTTAACGCGCCCTTGCTTTGGATCTGAATCGGTACGTAACTTACGTTAAATTAACGCCATCTCTAACAAAAGTCAATTCTGGAAGGCACAGGAACGGCACTTTGCCGTCTCGTGGACGGGCTCCGCTCCACAAGCCTAGAGCGTATTGCTCTTGGACCTTCACACATGAAAGCGGTGTACGTACCCGCCGGTTTCTGTGGGGTTGCTTTTATCGTTGACAGACCATTCAATCGCATGTAACTCAGTTGTAAGTACGTTGAATTAGCACACTTAATCAGCTCGGGATGGCGTAGACTTGGGAAAACGGGAGTAAGTAGAGCTGATACGGCCCCATCGCACCTTAACTGACCCACTTCCCAGTCCTGCATCACAGAAGACCGCATGGCTTCAGAGCCACTGTGCGTTGAGTTTTATCTTTGACGTGGGACTTGATCAACAAGCGCGGCGGTTCCTCTGCAGAGCATGGCAAGTACAGTCGGGCAGGCAGTAATCGTGATTGTGGTGAACATTATAGCTGACAGTTTTTTGACTCACCTGGGAATGCTTGCTGAGTGCAGATGTCAATGAGAAGGATGTGGAATGGGATTTCGGGACGATGAGGATCAACAACGCATTAGAAGCGAGTAGAAGCTGTTTGGAAGAAGGCTTTCGAGGTCGATGATCATCGACTCGATTGTCTCGACTCTCGAGCGTACGGAATATAACATAACGTGGAAGGGCGGAGTGGAAGGTAGCAGCGCTTCGACTGTGGAGCGATCGCTTATTAGCTGCTCGGGAGGCTCAGTAGTGTTGAGTCAACAATGCCCCCCTTGTCATTCCTGCTACACCTTTTTCCGTGCCACCAAATTACGCCCACTGCCTTTTCGCGATGGCCAAAATGCCGACAGTCTCCAGAGGCGACGGGCCATGAGGGGGATACGCGGTACGACAGCCAAAACGAGTCGCGACGCGTAGCACGCATCGAGGCTGGATAAACCTCTCGAGCGGGCAGGGAAGCGGCGCAAGGTATCAATATCAATCCAACTGTATACTCCGCCATCGACGTACGCCCCATTTCAGGAACATTAACCCAATGAATTGTCAGGATGTGTTGCTCTGATCGAGCGCGAACTGGCTCTCGAGATGGATGCTATTGGTAAGTGACCTTTCTGAGCGACTCCATCGACTTGGCTTGGCTAACTCGGCCACCTCGAGGCCGAGTAACGTATACTCATACAACTCTAGCTAAAAATACGCGCGTCCTGAGATCCGCTTCATTCCTGACATAGAAGTGGAAGGGGGGGTATACAACGTCATTCGACATTAAAATTCTTGGAAAAGGACAAATATCGGTGAAGAGTAATATGGCTTCCTGTCCCTTTTCGAGCAGAAAGTCAATTGTTATGAGTCTGAGTGGTGAGCTTGTCCCAGAGGTCTCGCAGAACATAGTGGAGAAAGCAGAACAGTTCTTTGGGCTTTCGTACACCTCTTTGGAGCCCTTCAACCGAGGCGAAACGACAATTGGACGATTGGAGTGTACTTTCTCTCTCTAAACACCGCGGCCGTTTAGAGCAACCCAAGGATCTCGGACCAGAATCCGGGTGCTTCTCTCCCTGTCCGTCAAATCGGACCATGCGTCTCTATGTCAAGATAAGTAACTAGAGGGATTTTTTCTATGTGAGCGCGGGAGGACCTCTATCAACGTGAGAGGCTGGCGCGCCGAAAGGGTATGGAGAGCGAAGGAGAGCGCGGCCGCCATGTGCGATGGTGTTTAGAGATAGCGCGTCCGGCGACCACAAATAAATGCGACGAACGGACCATGCTTGCCATTATAATCATGACTATCTGAATAGGAGGTGAAAATAGAATGAATATTTGAGGAGAAGGAGATGGAGTGAAAAGAGGAACAGAGGTCGTGATTGGTGGATGGGCTTGTGGACGTGTGTGCGCCGGGCGCCTTGAACGCGTATAGCATGGGAGGGGTACGCAACGGCCGATCCTTTAATTAAGTACAGTCGAAACTAAATCTGACAGTGGGACTCTCGCGGGTGCCTGTCCTTTTCGCAAGTTATCCTACCGTCCTACCTCCTTCCCCATTTTCTAACCTATTTGCCTCCGCCCGACGCTCAATCTCAAACACGTACCAGCTTACGGCGGGCGCGCTGACTAAGTAGGAACTGCCCTGACGCAATAGGGTCCTTTAGGCTAGCTCAGGGCTAGGCACACCAGAAAAGAAGCCTCCCCTCGCTTGTCGAGTGTTCTGTTTGCACCTTTTCTAAAAATAGACCGGACTCGATCCTTGAATTGATCAAAGGGTTGGGAGGGCAGGGGACCGCGTGGATGCGACGAGACGTCCTGTGCTTCGTCCAGGACGCGGTGGGAGTGTTGTTGGGATCGGGGCACGCGCGTCTGTGCGCTGCTGGATCGACCTTGGCGAGAGGCGGGGAAGGGAGGGGGCAGAAGGTGATCCGTGCGGCTCAGCGCTTGTTTGAGTTGGCGGTGGCCCAGAAGAGGGAATGGTTCCCAAGCGAGAGAAATGGGACGGTGAAAGAGGTGCGAGAGTACCCGTCGAGAGTGTGGTTGATAAGCCATGGGGTGACTCCCAGCCAGCGCGGCGATGCAGGCTTTGGCGCACGGCGACCGTCGCTCCCGTAAGCGCGTGCGGCTCAGCTATGACGACAGACGTTGCTAGGTTTAATTATCGAACGGAAACGGCGCAGCCTCGGTCGCTATGCAGGATCATTCTCGCCAGGTTACGCGCTGGTAGATGCAATTATCCTAGGATTATACGCAGCTTCGTCCAAGATAACGACACCCTCGTCGGAATCGGTCGCAAACGGAGAGGGAGGCCCAAGGGTAGGGAAACGCCTGGATAGTCAGAGACTCAGCTGTGCAGGCGTCCGATGATCGTGTGTCGCCCGCGCTTCGAGCGTGCTCTGTTGGTCCCAGGTTAGGATTTGCGCTTACGGTGTGTGTGGGCTGGGTCACTCTGTCGCGTAGTTCTTCTGCTAGTAGCTCGACGGGGTGTATTGGTAAGAAGAACTTGAAACGAGGCCGCCGTTGTTTGGAACGTGCTCTGCGCTTAATATTTTTAATAGAATGTTTTTTCTGCTTCCAGATCTTCGCTCTGTGTCCTCAGTACTGGTGAATTGGTTTTTTGGCACGTAGGCCGATTCGGAAATGACGGGTCGATGTTTCGTTCGTTGTAGTAAAGGTGTTGCCTCCCCTCTGAACGCTTGAATGAGCTCGCTCAGAGCCACTGCTGCTGCGTCATTTGTTGTGGTGGTCCGTTTACGAAACGCTGCACGACGTCGTATATTCATAAATTAGTCACATCAGTGGGTATCACAAAGAAGGATCGAAACAAGCTCAACGAAAGAGCGGTACGTCGTATCGACTGAATGAGTTTAAGCATGTCTATTTTTCTTTCGATGTCGGCAAGGTGATGTCGGGCTTATACGACCCAATTATACGCTGGCGTTCCCCCTTGAAGTGGGCGGTGGGAAGGGAGATAAGATCTTGGACCCGCGATGAGTGCCCATTTTCCCTTGTCTAATAGCGTCTTTTTTGATCGAAATGGAGTCGATAGTTGGGTACTGTGCTTTTTCTCGAGTAGTAGGTAGCCTTCCCATGGTACGAGCTCTCGCCGAGGATGTTGGAATTCGGAACCAAGGCAAAGGATTGGTTCGATTAGACGTGGCTCCTCCCCAGTCAGTTCCCGAGGCGAGCCTCGAGGAGGTTGAACGTCGGCGTTTCCAATGGATCCCTCAGCAACGGGAATATGAAATGGGGAAAACGGGGTTAATTCGCTCCAGGGTAAATTGAGCGCCTGCAGCCGTCGACGAGCCAGGCACGCTCATGGCCAGGCGCGTGTCTTTGCGAACCAGCAGGCATGTTCGCGGCGGATCCTTTCAAAAAAAAAAAAGTGCTCGCGTATTGCAGAGATAAAGCAAGTGTAGTCCATGTGCGTCTGTGGGGTATTTACGCCACAGAGATAGGCAAAGGCAGAAACATTCACATCGAAGTTGGCTAGCGGCTCGCGAGAGAGAAAGACTGGCGATTCTCACCGCATTCGGAGCTTGGGAGCGACGAATGGAGGTCGAATAAGACAGGTCGTAAGCGCAACTTCTCGGTTCCAACTTCCCCAGATCTGAGCAAAGTATTTTTAGCTGCAATATACTTTAAATCGGTACGGTGGCCAAAGTGCTGGGTTCGAGAAAATAAACAGGGGATACTGCCGCCGCTGTATCGAGATGGCGCCAGGGGAGTGGGACTTGCAGAGAGTATATGTTGGTGCTGAATAAGCGGCGGGGGGACGATGCCAAGGCGTGGGGTGCCGACGGCTCAGGGGTATGCGTGACCGTGACAGTGTGACTAGCAGCGGACAGCCGCGATATTCAGCGTTGGCGGTCGTTTGTTTCTATCAGCCTGCTTGGGATCTTCATTGGTGGGGCATCCGTGGGTGGCCTGCTGGAAGTGCAATCGGGCGGACTGTGAATCTGACATCAGACCCCGAGCGACTTCTCTGTCTAGCGTGTAGGCCGAACTCCCGTTCGTGGTATGTCATTTTTTGTCGCTCATCCTGTCCATTTCTCAACCGCTTTCTCACTTGGGTTCTTAGTTCCCAACCCCCTCCTCTCCTAGCGCCACGCGAACTCACATTTCGGCATTCCTATAATCTACACACGTGAGTACATCTTTCTGACTCTTAAGCCAACAATCCTCCCCGCACAATCCCCTGCTACCGCTCTGGCGCATATCTCTCAAGCCCCGTAAAACCATCTATCCATTCGCCATGCAGGCCGTGCTCGCACCACCGCCATACTCGTACCCATCGCCCTACTCCCCGCAGCCCCAATACTTCTCGTCGATGTCCTACCCAGAGCACTTACACTTCTCCCAGCACCAGGACTTCTCGATGCACCACGACCAGTCCATCTCGTCGCAGTCTATGCAGCCCCCGCCCTCTCCATCAATACCAATTGATCCGGCACTGGCGCTCTACCCTCCGTACTACAACAACTACCAGCAACACCCAACCCATATCCCCCAGCACCTCTCTCTACCACCGAATTACTCCTCTCCCTCCTCTCAAGGCTCCGACACCATTGGCACCCCTCCGACAGAACATATGTATCCATCGTCTTCCAATATGAATGGCAAACGACCTGCGTCATCTCTGTCCAACAGCACCATGAACGATAGTCGGAAGAAACCCCGCAAGGACGACGAGTCCGACGTCACAAGTCCAGCGGCGGAGAAGGACGAGCCGACGGTCAAAGCCAAGCCCACTCGAGGGTCACGGTAAGCTCTTTTCCGTCAGCATTTTGCCCCTGATGTTAAAGCCTTCCGCTAGTGCGTGTACTGTATGCCGCCGGCTTAAAATGAAGTGTGTCGGGGCGGAACAGGGCCCCCCTTGCAAACGTTGCCAAACTGGAAACCATGAATGCATATTCGAGGAGTCTAACCGCGGAAAGAGGTCGTCCAAGTCGGTGTTTTTCCTTGCCCATACCGTCGTTTGTGTATTGAGCACCGCCTTAGGAAACATGAAATCCTCACCCGTTCACTCCGGAAGATGGAACGAACACTGGACACCGTCTTGCGGTCGATCGGAAACCCGAGCATCGCGTCGGGAATGATTTCCAGATCACCGTCGCCTTCGGCGCAAAACAGCGGAACACAGGCGCTTCTTGCTCGATCGCCATCACCGCCACCGTCGACTTCGACTTACCCCAGCAATTCACACCACCACCATCACCACCCTCACCACCCTGGGTCGCCGAAACTCCACTCACTCCCTGATAATTCTCTGAATCCGCTTGGGCTTCTCGCTGAGGCGAGCTTGGCTAACAGACGTGCTCAGACCATCCATGTTGGCGGCCTGGCGTCGGCACCAGAGGCCGATGACGAGAGCCAGCCAAAGCTTGGAGTGGCAAGTGACAATTATTTCAAGCCAGGTATGTTCGATTGTGATTAAGGAGTGTTGTTGACTGCGCGACTGACACGCTTTGCTCGTTATAGGTCCTATGACCATTCTGCCCCTGCGGCGGTTATACATTGAGCGCCAAGTCCAGCCAGAAATGCTGAGTTTCGTGTCGACTGAGGAAGTTGTTGCGTTATTCAATATGTAAGCATCGTAACACTAAGCTCCGGCGATAGCACATTAATTGTATTGCTCTGTCAGTTATTTCGACCATGTCCACGTCAGTCGCCCCGCAGTCCTCTACTAGTCCATCGAAATTCGCTCACATCTTCTCTGTTATCGATGTTAGATGCACTGTAGTCTATTGGACCGCAACTTTCACACTCCATCGCTCGTATGCTCGCGTTCGCCTTTTTTGTTAACAACAAGTACGTGTCTGGCTGGAAATTCTTTCATCCCCCAACAACAAAAAAAGAAGATGATTGCTTACCGAGACCCCGTTTGATCTTACTACAGTTTGTTCCATAGCAAGCAAGTTTTACACTGCGAAGCCAGAACTCCATCCAAAGCTGACAGAGCTCGCCAAGCGACTGGCGTTCAGCTGCCCCGCGAAGGGCTACAAGTCGGTGGAGATCGTCCAGGCGTACCTGCTTCTTGCGCTTTATGGCTGCGGCGCGGTTGAGCGGTACGAGCAGGACAAGACGTGGCTTCTGCTCGGCATGGCCATCAGGTGTGTACCTGCGTTCCTTTCTTTCGATTTTGATTTCTGTTCGGGTTTGGTTTCCATTTCGTGTGCCCTTCGTCTTCGCTCGTCTGAGCCTGTGTCCTATCCTACCCCAAATGGCGCCCCACTCGACTTCCGATGATGAATGACGATGATGATCTGGAGATGGGGATGTCTGGGCTAGGAAGACACGGCTGGGGCTGCCGTCTGCCGTTGGTGGTTCATAATACGGGGCATAAGAAGAGATGAACGGGGCGGATTTGCCTGCGTGTGCGTAATGTGGATGTGAGCTGACTGTCATCTCTTGCCTTCGCGTTATGTGATCACAGGATGGCGACGGACTTGAACCTGCACCGCAAGACATCGATTACGAGCCCAGATACCGTAGAGGGTAATGCTCGTGACGTCGAAGTGCATAATCGAGAGAGGACGTGGATCATGTGCTTCGTCCTTGATCGTAGCTTCAGTGCACAGATGGGAAAGCCTAGCTCGATTAAGGAGGAGTGAGTGGTTTTGTTTTGCTGGAGAGCGAGGTATGCCGAACTGACGCCGATCGTGTTAGTTACATCATACGCCACACAAGAGAGTTTTATACCTCTCCTGTCGCGAACCCGTCGGACATGTCGTTGTCGGCTTATGCGGTTAGTCTTTGTTTGGTCTAGTATGTCTGTTGGTGCAGGGTTTCTCACAAACATGCTTTATTTTAGGAATTCCAACGGATACTTGCGCGTAGCCTCGAGTTCCTCTACAGCGGCACCGAGACGCCGTCCGGCCTGCAGGTCAATTGCGACTACCTGCTGGTGATCAAGACCTTTGAGGCGCAGCTCAACGGCTGGAAAGAGCAATGGACCGACCGTCAAAATTGGGAGGGTGAGTTTTGTCTTGTCCGCCCCCAGACTGCGATTGCCCTTGCCCTTTAACTTTCTTTACCTTTACTGACGCTTAGCGGGTACAGGCGAATCCCCACCGGCAGCCGAGTACAAGAACATGATCTCGCGGTTCTATTTTAACTATGCCATGCTGGTCATCAACTCGTTCGGCCTGCAGGACGCTCTGGAGAGGACGCCTGTTAATATTGGGTACTTCTTTGGCAGAGTCCACTCATCGGCGCATGCGTGTGCGCTCGTCGTCCGCGACGAGCTTGGCCCGAGGGGGTATATGAAGTACTCACCCGACTCGCACTTTGTGCAGATGTCGTATGCTGTGTTGAGTTTGTTGAAGGTTCGTTTTTGCCTCTGTTTTTATGGTTTGTGGACGAGAGCTGATAAATGAATCGTATAGCTTGTTCGTCCGCAGTTCCAGGCGTACTTGGACAATGAGCAGAGTGCCTTGCAACTTGTCAAGGACGTCGCGGACACCCTTGACAGCATCGCTGCCAACCCACTGCACACACCCGCACTCTATAGCGGCTTCCTCCGTGCTCTTATTTCGGCCAAGTTGGACCCACCAGCGACGCATGTCCCGCCCTCCGCCAACGGTGAAGACATCAACAAGCCCTCAGGTGATGGCGGGCAAGGATCCAGTGGTCCGCCTAGCAACCACGGTGGTGCGGCCGGCGGCAGCAACAGGAACGACAATGCACACGATGGCTCGCAGCCGTCGAGTGCAGGCTATGGGCACCCAGCAGCGCCGCCGCATTTTGGGCACGACGGCGGGTTCATGATGAACGGGTTCCAGTTCGAGAGCGAGATGGGGCCGGTGGCGGATATATCGACTTTCCCGCCGACGATGGCTCCAAATCCCAGTGAAGACACTATGGGTGCGCTGACAATGGAGAATATCTTGAGCAGTGGGTTCTGGGATAGTATGCTTGTTCCCGGTTAGTGCCTTCCTCTGTTGGAATAGTATCGATTGGTGCTAAAGTTGGTTTGCTTCCTACAGGCTACAACAGCATGGATGGCCTCAGTGGAGGCTTCGTCTTCGGTGCTGGAGGCAGTGGTCTCATCACTCCGAGATTCGGCGGCTCGCCTGCTCAATCGGGTGCGAACACACCAGGTCGAGGACTAGGCATCTATCATACCATTACGCAGAACAGCATCAACGCTGCCTTCGATAACCAAAGGAAGGGATCACCGATCAAAATCGATTCATGACGTTGGATTCCCTCGACCCATCGCGACCTCAGGTTTGCGCCACCATGTTAAACACCACCGTAAAATCCGACATACTGTACCATTGACCTGGTTGTAGTTGTAACCCTCTTTGTGCTCTCTCTCTCTTCGCTTCCTTGCCCCACCCTCTGCCCATTCTGCCGCTGTCTGTCTTATGATCTGCGAACTTGTTTTATTGGAATAATCATACCTTTTCTTTCCATAATTCGCCTCGGTTGTCCTTTATTGCTCCCTACGTATACTTTTATGGTCTTTTCTTTGTTTATGCGGTTCAAAGTTTAAAAGCTAATAAGCACCTACGTAGAGTTCGTATAACACAACACCTAAGTACCAAGTTGTTAAAATCTCATCCAAGTCGCATATGGTCGTCTTTTTTTGTACAAAAAATGTTGGAGTAGATAACAATCGATTGAACGAAGATATTGAATGCACCTGCTCATTAGATTCTCCGGGTGCTCCGTCGATGCTGCGTAGAAGACCAGTACTAGTAGAGCAGAAGACCTCTCAAGGAAACTTACTGGTGGTGCATAGTTGTATGACCCCTATTTTTGTTTGTCACTGTCACCGTCATGACCGGTTGACTAGCTGGGCACGGCCAAGAATACACGCTTGAATCCCGACCACCATCTAGTCTATGCCTCAAGGCCTCACATGAGGACTGCTCTACTTTGCAGCACCGCTTCCAGACGCGTACCTTCGCTCTTGACGCGTTTCTTTCATATCTAAACCTTGAAAAAGTTCTGTTTGAAACGCGACCTGTCGAATGTCCTTCGCACAGACCCTGCGATTGTTATCTGCCATTCTGCTCTTACGTTGTGAGTGGCTTCTTACATGTCTTCTGTATTCAATGTCTGAGCCACGTTCGCCTTGTCTTCGATTCACTGGCGATAGGCGTGCAATGCCAACTGTCAACCTCGTTGTACGTTCCAGGCTTTGACCCTCAGCCTATGAGTGCTAGCGTTGTTGGTGTTGGAGTAGATGGTCGCACAACTTGGGCGTTGCGTAAGGGTCAGCCTGACACTGTAGATACGTCCAGTTATCCAGACTTCTTCGGAACGGGTATGTGGTTCTTCCCTGGTCTTCTTTCCAGACCCTGCTAACCTAAAGATGACGCATCTGCCGACCAGCGACACTCGTTCACGGGCCCAACGACGCTTCCCTGACCTACGCCGACTCGAGGGCTCAATTTACAATCGGACAGATATGCACTTTTTCCGAGAACACCCTCGCGATTTGCACGATTGTTGCTCAGGGCAGTACGGCGACACAGACGGATGTCATTACTCATTATCCTGTACAAGCTGTTGGCCTTACTCGGGACCCAACCACGACAACAGCAGCCAGCTTGACGCTAACTCCGGTTCCCTCTTCTCTCTCTTCGACTCTCACGAACTCGCCGTCGGATATTCTCGCACCCGGGAGTGGCACGCATACATCCAGCTTCCCCCCCAGCTCTAGCACCTCCGACACCTCTTCGCAACAAAGCGGAATTCGGATTACGGTCGCGCAGATCTCCATCCTGGTCGGATTACTCGCGTTCTCGGGCTGCTTGTAATAATAACGTCATGAATGTCTTTTCTCGCTTACACCGTCTATCGTCTGCCACGCTGGAATAATCTGGGTTTCAAGGCTGTTCCGTCATACGTTCCGCCCTCTCATATCGAATGATTCCGCTCAGGGATGCTGAGGGAACATCGACGCGTCCGCTTCACAGGTCCGCATCGGTTAACCCATTTCGGAGTGGATTTATTGTGCATTTCGGCGTTATCGGTAGCGCAGCAGCAGGAGGCAGATTAGGGACGTGCATGAATGCCGACTCTAGATAAAAATCGCAGCATTGGTTATTATCTTGGAAGCTAAATCTCAGCTCGCCAAAGATACGATCCAACGATCGCAAGACCGGCCCCTGTCCTCAAGTGGGCCGGTGGCACCTTGACAAGCTCTGCTTGGTTTCAACACCTACTCCAAAGAGCACAAAAGCCTCGCGAAAGTTTCCACAAGCAGGCTAGTGATTGCCAACGATGATTCACTTTCACAACTCATGTTCAAGACGCCTTTGGTCAGTTACTTCTGGCAAGTCAAGTGGTTCGTTGCCTCAAGGCTCGTTGTACTTACTTGGCTTCTTACTCACCAATGAGCCCGTCAGATTAAAAATGTGCCATGAGGTCCTGCCGCGGAGATGTCTAACCCTTTCGACGATGGACGGCGTTCAATTCGACGAAACTTTGTTATGAACTCAACTTTCAACCCGATACGCCACCTAAACCCCATCTTGGAATGCCCGACGGCTCAGGGTAGCTGAGGCGCGCGAAACAAAGATAAATGGGGCCCCACCCCGACGGCCACTCTGACCCCGCGAGGGGGTTACATCTTTTGTCTGGGAGCTTCGAGCTTCTTCTCGCTGTCTATCGACATGTCTAGCTCAATCAAAAATAACGATCATGCTCGTGACTGCTCTGAGCATTCAGAAGAAGTCAACGACCACGAAATCGGTCTGCACCTACCATAATCACGACGCGTGGACCATGTTGTGTACCACAAACGGGTCTACGAAGGACATGGACGCACGGTTATAAGAAATTTTCGGGGGTATGAAGTGACTTCATTTCCCCAGTCTCCATCAGTCTATTTGCCCAGGTCTTCGCACTAGATGCGATGAAGGTGTTCTAGCAATAACTGGCACGATTACACGACTGTGAGTTAACAACAGTTCTATGAATCATGATGATTGACTGTCGTACTCTGGTTCACAGCTTCAGTGACAGTGGGGATGTGCAATGAAGGCAATGAACAGACGCTATATTCGTCCTTGGGCAATGTACTTTGTTTCCTAAGCCCTGTGCCTTCCTGTGCTTTCCAGGCATCGTGGATACCTTGTTTAACGGCAGTTGAGTCAACGGTCAAGAAACGGTCGGGCACATGTTGATGTCCAGTGGCGTGCACGCGGGGATCGCGACGAATCCGCTGGGATTTGCGAATCGGGGCGCGCGCCTCAGGGCGATAGTACAAAATCTTTTTCGAGAGCGCGATTCCTAGGCGCCAGGGTTTCATTTTGTTCGTCCGATGGCTTTCGGACGAACAAGAAGGGGGGAGTGGGAATGCCGTCGGTGACGTTAGGTGATAATTAAGGCAAAAAAGCAAAAACGCAGCTGCATCGGGCGATTAGGGTAAACCCTGACGACAGCAATATCGACGGGTGGATGGAGAAAGGAAGATTGGGCTGAGGGCTCCGGGCCGCACCCACGGTGGTCGTGGATAGCTTAGCCAAAAGTCTTCCCGCCTGCCTCGAGGTATACACGTTTCTGATCTAATCCCTCTAAAAATATGGCAAAATCTTCTTGCCCCTGGTAGATTCCCGGAATTGACCTCCAATCTATATCTTCTGTATACAGGACTCGACAGAACCCCGCATAGAGCCCCGATTTTGTCTCTCGGCAGCTCTGCAGGTAAGGCTATAAAGCGCATCTGCTTCCATCGCCTGGCCTCTTTTCCCATCATTCAAAGCGCCAGTCGTCTGTCGCTGTCGTTGTCCATCCCAACGAGCTCATCATCGGTAGATGACCGAGTACGCCTACTCTGCTCAAGCATACCAAGATTACATGTCTGCCCGTGACCGCACCGCGTACTGGGTTCGGTCTTACGCACCAGACGGGACAGAGTTCTACTCGCCCTCTGTGCCCCCCTCCTTCATGGACGGTCATGTACCCTCTTCGCCGCCCTCAGACGCAGACAGCTCTCACTCAACTCCTCCCAAGATGGTACTGCGCTACAATGACGGCCGGCCTGATATACCCATTCCAAGGTCAACCCGGCACCACGACGGTCGATCACACACCCATTCACATAGTCACTCTGGCGCCCGCTCACGGTCGGGCACTATTGGGGAATCGCCCCCGATCTCCCGAGCGGTGTCCCGACGCGACGAGGGCGACAAGCCGGAGCAGATTCGGATCCTACCTTCGAATGGCAAGACCATCCCGGTACAACCAGGCCACACGCGTTCCAAGTCGCTTCCTCGAAAGGCCGAAGTTCGCGACACTGAAAACATTCCGTTCCCATCCTCCCATACGCAGAGCCCACCCTACTATTCATCGCACCACTCAAGTCGTTACCCCCAGTCCGCCTCTGCTCATCAACCTGGTTTCACTCCGGGATGGAGTCCTCCGCACAACGCGCACATGAAGCACGCGCACGCCAACATTTATGCCCCTTCCCACTACACCCAACAACCCCCCGTCATGCTACATCACCAACCTCCCATGGGCCCCAACGGCATGATCTATAGTCACTCTGCGCCGCCAGCAACCGGCTACTACGCTCCTAATACGTACTCGACACCATATCCAACTGGGTCGCACCGACATAGCTCTTCGACGCACGATGTCAGACGCGGACGCACCCGTTCCACGGGGCGGAGGAACTCCGCGGCAGTATCGAGGGAGTCCCTCCATCGAAGTGAGAAGTCAGGGAGTACGTACTACCACGGCCAAAAGGTACGTGTGATCATGCGCTTTCTACGCGCTCTAAGAATTAACCGTTTGCTCATATTGTTCTTTTCTCTCCTTGAATGTTAGCCATCCAGTACTGAGCACTCGTCATCGACAATGAAGTCGCCAACCTCACCTTATGCGTACATCAAGAAACCGTTTTTCCAACGCTTGTTCAGTTTCCCAAAGTTCTCGTCCGCGGGTCCAGCTCGAGGACCAGGTGGGAGAAAACTCCACCGCCGTCACTCCATCGGCGCGCGATAGGAGAGTCGCGTCGACACAGGGTAGAGCAGGGTCCATGACTCCCAGTGTCGCGAAAGAAGATGCGGAAACGAAGATACAACGTAAAACGACGCGCCTACTTATTCCTGTTGACTATTGCGTCCTTCCTCTATGACCTCCATTTCCTACGATATGCCTAATCATTATGCATCGATGAACGAACCTATCATGGTGATCATAGAAATTCTTCCCCCTACCTTTTCCTCTCTTGTATGCCAATCCTTCCGTGCTATTCACGCTCCAACATCGCATCGCTGTGCCTATCGCAGCGAGTTCGCCTCTGTAACCCAGTAGGATCGTTCCAACTATGGAAACCATACATTGTGATTCCGCTCTTCGACGTTCGAACGTGCAACAACTATGGATCAACTCTCGCCCGCCTCCCCAAGTCATGTATCATTTTTTCGCTCCCAGGTGCCGGGTGCGTCCGTTAGCGGTACCATTCGCAATTCGAACCCCAGCAGGCTTCTGGCACGGTAGACGGTCCGTCGACCTGTCTTGGACGCCTTGCAGCAGCTTCCAGTGTCAACCACATGGACAATCGCATAAACACACCGAGCCCAGTCCTATTCTATCTGCCAGGAGGCGATAGTATGATAGCTCGTACTGCGGGTTTACGACATACGTCGGCCAGAAGTAGGAAGTTACCTCATGCGGGAAGTCTATCTTGAACAACAGGTCCAGCCTTACGCATCCCGCGTCGGCATCCTGTCCCTAAAGCGGCCAGCACCTCCCATCGATTTCGAGTTCTTTCCTTAAACGAATTTAGCGCGCTAATTTTCACGACCCTTTTTCTTTGCCTGCCCTCGTTATCTTGCCTCGACAGAACGACGACACTCGCGGATCGTGGCAGTGGATTGCGTCGTGGCTGATCGGGAGAGAAACGAAGTTTCTGAGGGAGTGTCAGGCCGCTATCTGTTCAAACGTTCCTCCGCGAATCACACCGCTGGGACTTCCTACCGCCTCTCAAGCAGAGATGGCGTCTTTTGCAACGGGGATACACAGATTCCGAAGAAGAAGGACCGCGTTATCAACCTCGCGGCGCGCAACGCGCTCTTCTGTTGTCGGCTGTGATGAGAATGTGGATGACTGAACAAGGTCGCTTCTTACTCGGGGATCGCATTCCAGGGTGACAGGACAAAAACTATTTCTTGCTCGTTATAGACTCCTGCATCGCACCGTTATAAACGTAGATTACGGAAAGAGAAATTTTGTATTCATACCCTTGTTTTTGTGCTTCGTGAAGATCAGGGAATGAGGCTCGCGAGTGGTCCCCAACACGCGCGGAGGGCTTGGAGAAAGACCTGTGCTCCTCGGAAAGCCTCAGGAGCTGTGAGATCTTGTTCACATGCTCTAAGTCATTAAGCTGGATGTGGGGCGCCTCAAAGCGCTGCAGGCGCCAACTTTCAGGCGCCTTCCCGCTGCGACGCGACGCCTCAGGACTGATTAGGCAGGCAGGCGGCGTGACGCGCGTGACTGATGTTACGCGACGCGTCTTGTGTGACAGAGAAGGCCACTGCTCACGTTACCCCGACCACCACCAGGACACGCTCTATTTCTATACCTCTGGGACTATGCCTCTACTGACCTACTAGAGATATCATGGATTCATCTACTTCATCCGACGCTGTGTTGCCTCGCCGCAATTCAGCCAAAACAGCGTCTGCAGCTATTACGAACCAACTGGATTCGGCGAGCGAGGATTCAGGCGCAGAGCCCGTGGTGGCATCCGCACAGAATGGGCGTGCCAACGTGAAACGCACGTACGGAAGGAAGGGGGGAAGACGGGAACGTGCAGCCTCGGTCAAGGAGGACGTGCTGAAACCGAAATCCAATCTGAAGAAACCCAAGAACAGGTCACCTTCATTGCCACCATCCGTCCCCCAAACACGTGCAGCTACCACAGTAGAGCTTCCAACAGCTCCATTATCCTCTAAGGAACCTTCAAAGTCCAGGTCTAGCGTCAAGAAGACTCGGGCTAGGTCACCGTCTCTTCCGCTCTTCGTCCCTCCGACGCGAACACCTACTCAAGAGCCAGTAGCTTCCACCTCGTCCCATAAACTACCCGAACCTAAAGCAGGAAACAAGAACGCTAAGGCAGGGTCTCAATCTCGTTCAATCCCACCTCCACGCCCACGATCCACTGCTACCCCCCCAGTCCACCAGATTCATGAACCCTCACGGTCAACAACACACCCTCAACCCATTTCTCGGAAGATACCCATATCAAAGAAGGCTGGAATCCCACATATGTCCACACCTGCGCCGGAGTTAGATGATGACGAGCTGTCGGAACTGACTTCCCTCTCGTCTCACGAATCTGCACGTGCAACGAGCCCGGATATTATTATCATCGACCAGGACGAACAACACTCCTTTCCCTCGCATTCTGCCTCTCGGCCAGCGCACGTTGGTTCATCTTCTGAGCAGAGCCGACGTAAGGATTCCTCATGGTCGTTGGAGAATTTGGACGGTTACGTGTGGGTTCTCATCGAACCTACGAATGCCCAAGTGTACAATCCGGACGGGGGAAAAGATGACGACACGGAGAGGCTATGGTGGCCGGGTAAGGTGTGTGCTCTATCAGGCAGTTACGATACACCGTTTCCATCCGGAGGAAGTGCTGATTGGCATTCATCTCGCTCTATCCAGATTAAGAGCCCTCGCGTCACAGACGTTCCTCTCAAGATCAAACTTTTCGGGACTGGAATGAAGACTGTGGAACTTCGAAGGCCCTGCCAGCAGAATATTCTTAGCAAGCTCGACTCTCTCAGCAGGTGGAGGTTCAGAACTCCTGCTTTCGTATCGCCCTCTTCATTGCAGGATGGCATTGCATCTCTCAAGAAGAAGCCGAAGCTTGATAGAGGGGATATCGAGCGGAAATGGAACGTTGCCGTCAATGAGATGAAAATGGCGTGCGATGAGGATGAGGGCAGTGACTACTTTCCGGACGTCGGGGAATTTCTGAGCGGGCCTTTGGCATCGTCACACACGACGGTCGCCCTTTCCCCTCAACCAACTTTTAACGCCGTCATGAAAGGAAAGCGAAAACGTGACAGCGTGTCCGACCGTGATGTTGATGACGATATGGTAATTCGTGAAGACGACTTATGGGAGCCGCCTCCGCCCGAGTTTGGCCTTGAAATTCCTGGGGAGCTAGTACTTGCTCGAGATCAACCAGCGGCAACTGTTGATTACTGGCCCGCAATGATTACGGCGTACGTACCCCCGACAACGCGAAAACAACAAGGAAAATATCACGTCACATGGTTAGATACTACCACAGGTGACATTCCTCGTGCTTGGTTCTACACCACTGAGCAGGACGAATTCGCGACTTGTAAGGTACAAAGGACATTTTCTTCCGATATGCCCTATAGATATTAACTTTATTTACAGCTTGGACAGTTCGTCAGCCATTTTCAAGAGGTCCAGAACGATGATGAAGACGAACAAGACGACCTGCGCCATCTGACACGACGATCTCCCAGCCCCATTCCTCTTGAACCCCCACCGTCCCTCCAAGAATTCATTAAACTCCCAATTCGCGCACAGTTTGTCTACACAAGACCTGTACTCCAAGCCATCCTGAATAAGGAGTACCAACCAGTGGTCAACAAGCATGATATGTTCATGAGAGGAGGTAAGGAACGACAGAACGTGCTAGAGGCTGCGGCTTTGAGAGGGAAGATGGACCCGAAGGACGTTGAATACCTTCAAGAATATGTTAGGGAATGGTGTCTACGCGAACACGATGCGGGTCGTCCCCCTACCGCTATAGCTGACTTGGTCTCTACTGGTAATACTGCTGCGCTGACGGTGACTGAGGACAACACAATGACTGTGGTGCAAGACGCCCAGGCGACGGGCATAGACCTCAATGCTCTGCCTGCAAACGATGATATGCAATCTGACGCAGGAGCAAGTCGGGTTACGTCACCCCCTACCACGGAACCCCTGCCCTCCTCTCCGCCTGAGATGCCCCCAAGCTCTTATCCGTCGACTTCATCGAGACTTGAGGTTCGTTTTTCCGTCCTGTCGGCCTTGATATCTTGGTTTCATATAACTCCAGCCCGAGGATTCTTTTGACGTTCCGGTTCATGTTCATTCCTTGGTATGTCCCTGACTAAGGCTATTAAACCTCGGCCGTGTCCTTATCGTGCTTCTTGTTTTCAATTTTCAAGGTCCCCGATTCTTCTCAGGCAAGCATTTGTTCTGAAGGAGCTTCTGTAGCTGCAACGGAGGTGCGATACGACACGATACGCCTGTTCATGTCAGAAGCATCTTCATTTACCCCCTTCTTGTCTAGCCTCTCACGACAACCGATGCCCTAACGGACCGTATGTCCGATTTCACCAGCGTTGCTCAAGAACGCGAGGATGTTGAGATTGTGGAATCACCTAGACGGCGATGGTGCAACGACTTTGAGTCCCTCGACCCCAAACTTAAAGTCGAAGTAAGTTTTGCTACTTCTCCTTCCTCATCGCCTCACTCACGGGGATGTGGTTCTGTCGTAGTATTGCCTCAACATTCTTGGACCCGAAAGCATCCGGCAGATCCTGTTATGGAGAACGGGTGCTCGAACCTCGTTCGAATTGCTCTCTGTGGAGGAAGAACAAGAACTGTACAACAAGGGAGAGACTTTGCTCCAGGAACGCGATTGGGTGTTTGACATCATGCGCGTGAGGGAACGATTAGGGAAGAACCTCGCGCAGAAGACTGTGGAAGGTACAGGGCGCAGGCGAACTGGGGGTTCTTCACGACCGAGAAGGACTACCGCAGCCGTGAATTACCAAGAGTAGGCGGAGTTCAGCAGGTTGACAATTTCTTTTGCAAGTGTCCTGCACTCGATTGCGTCTGGGCAAAGCGCTATCCGGCATTTAGTTGGGAAGCCCTTATTACAGTATTCGGGGGAAGGGGCAACTGACAGCTTCGGTATTTGGATGCAGAGCGTCGACTCGAGTAGATACATGGGTACAACAAACTTCTATAATTCTTCAGCGAACGCTGATATGCTCTGCCCAGTCCTCGTCCTCGGTATCGATGAAGATATTTACCCCGTCAAGTGTGTACATTGCACCCTGAACGATATATCTATTTGCCTGAATGCTCCGCAACACATTGATGCACAACTGCAAAAGAGTTGTATCGCCCAGTGGTCCATCGCTGATCTGATGCAAGCGAGTCCGACCCACGTTGACGACAAAAATGCGGGGTAAATTGGTCGAAACGGGTGACTGATAATCGATAATGGGTTAAGTTGGGTCTTATGGACATAACAGAGCGCCTACTAGATTGGTTACTGTAGCGGTCGCGGTTTCGTTCACGCCGCGAGGCTCCGATTCGATGGAAGCAGAGGCCTAGACGGGAATAGGCATTCAATCTCTATCACAGCGGGTCTTTATCGACGTACCATGTTGTGCCACGCTGGACGTTGATTTTGAACCAACGGCGTAGCTTTATATTTCTTACGCTGAGGATGCGGAGGGAACAACGGTGAACTTCTGTGGGCCACAGCGTACATTTATATCGAATCCTTGGGTATTACAAGAACTGTAACTGACGTGCCCACAGGTTTGTAAGCCCTTCAATTCGCTTCTGATATCCATGATATGGAGTGTCATATTAATAGGCGTGATTGTCGACGAGTAGAAAAGGTTTGAGCGGCTGAGAATCAGAACTGCTCACTGTAGGCGACACCATATGTGCACATGTGTGGTTCGCATCCTGTAAACCAAGGTCTGTCGTGTTCTAGGCATATTTAATTTGATGCCTGAGCGATCCTCTCTAATACTAATTTCCATGAGGCTTGAAATTCCCAACCGCCTTCCATCCGAATAATTTTTTGCTGAGACTATGGTCACGGCCTCGTGCTCTATGGCCAGAAATAGACCGTAACGGGCTTAACCTCAAAAGAGGCTTATTCCCTTTGCGTTAGAAAACGTCTGAGGTCCAGTGTCGAGGCGACCAAAGTAGTACCCTTACCCACTAGGTCATACACTGGCCCGTCTTCCTTGAATGTGTTGCTTTCTCCAAACGTGACTTGAAGAGAAACTCGGCTTGCAAGACCAGGGATTTTAAGCTCCGAGTCTGATGCATGATGTACGACGCATGCTTGGGTACAAACCTGTAGTCAAGTACGGATACGATAAAGGACCTTCTGCCTCTTCAACGAATGAAGACTTCGTCATCCCAATTCTGATCGTCAGTATTGATGAAGATCTTCACCCCTTCAGGCGAGTACATGGCGCCTTGGATCCTGTATCCTCTCTCCTGAATGCTCTGCAACCCATTGATGAAGGACTGCAAAAGGGTTTCGTCCTGCCATGGACCATCGTTGATCTGCCTCGCAGGGGTCCGACCAGCGTTAAAGATGAAAACACTGGGTGGTTGGGCCGCCAAAAGCAGCTGATACAATATGTCAGATTGAGCCTTATCGGGGCAATTAAGCACTTACTGGATCGATCGTTGTGGGGGACGAAGGCTCGTTCGTGTTGGGAGTCTTAGACTCGGTGGATGCAGGGGCCTATATGGAACAGAGGGATCAAAGTCTGCAAGTCCATAGCAAGTATTCGTTGGAGTACCATATCCTTTGCGTTGTTTCCGAACAGGTGTAAGTTGATTTTTGTGGCATGCCCACAGTTATACTTATAGCGGTTAAGAAAGTCCATGAGGCTTGATGCCATCAATGATCAACTGCGCACAGGTCAACACTCAAAATTTCGAAGGCGACATCGCAAACAAGCCGTGACCGACGTCCACAATTTATAAGTCATTCCTACCAGCTCCTACCCCTTCTGACACAGTGGATCAGCCCACAAGAGATATACATCCCGCGTTTTGTATCAAACAATACAAAGTAGAAATTCTATACCGAAGGTCGTGAGCCCACAATTCATAAAGTCTTCCTGACGTTGACTTTGCATCATCCACAAGTACTACAAAAATGTATCAGCTGATTCCCTCACCTTAGTGTCATTCTATGTATCGCGTGGTGGGCTCTGGTGGCGGCAAAATCAAGGACAGTCTGGAAGATTTCGGACTGTAGGCGCGCCAAGCGCACGAGCGTCTCCGGCGCGGACCATTCTCCGAGTCTAAGCATACACTTAACCCACTGCCCGCGAACCGAACTGATGTGGGCTGGGTGGAATACTACACGGCCAAATATTGAAGTTACACATATATACAAGAGAGAGCGCTAGTACGCCACTGACAAAGATGAAGAAGCAGAACTTCTTACATTCAATTGGTATCAGAACATCACTCAGAGACTACACTCTAGAACAAATGTGGATTTTGTGCTTTGTGACGCGTCGAGTCGTGGGAAAAGAAAGCCCTGCAGGGTACAACCGGCGCTAACATGAAAGGCGTTAGCCGGCGCTTCGAGGTTCTATAAATAGAATTACCACCGAGATTACCGCATCTGTTGCACACACGGACATGCAAACACGATGGATACTTATGGTGCCCACAAAGCAACCCGTTGTGTATACCCACAAATACATCTGGGCGTTTCTGGCAAAACAGTTGAACATATTTAAACTGTGCAGTTTGACTGAAGTTGCTTGAGACTGGCATCCCTCACTTCTCAAACATCGTAAGCTCATTGTCTCCGTAAAACGTTGAGGATAACTAACAACAAAAAAACTAACAGCGCTGGTCGGATAACCATAGATAACGCAAAGCAAATCTCATCGACATCCCTCGAAGCACATACTTTTTCTACTGAAGGTTTGAGCCCATTGATTGGTTCATAATCATGACGCTGACAACCTCGTAGATCATAATGAAGTTTTCCGCGTCATCAGTAGCCTTTGTCTGCGCTCTTGTGTCTATGGTAGCCGCTCTACCTACTGGACCCGCATCATCTCTCGAGCTTGCTGCCCGATCTGACCTCAACCCGTGCGGCTTCAAGAGTGCTAGGAAGGGGGCGATTTGCAATGGACAACAGTGCAGAGATGGTGGAGGTCGCTGCTATCTGAGCACGGAGACTGGAAGTTGCGTAGGATCCAATATGCGTGGACCAAACGCACCTATTGCCTGTCTAGACTGTGGCTGCAGAAAGTTGTAGAAATTCATAGTACTGGGTGCGGCTTCTCGTCAATAGATTTGTCAATGTACCAAGTGTGCTTATAAGGAACATATGATTCGAGTGATTCTGATATCACCAGGCCGTCTGTCTCTAAGACCACGCCCGGCAGTTCACTTCCTTCAGTCCGGCGTATGGGAGGCAGTCGAAGGGCAGCCAAAACACGTTTTTGAGTTACTCAGGCTTGGTGCTCGCACCAACGCTGCGTTCATGGGGTGCCTAATCTACTTAATATGGTTTCTAATATGCTACAATAATCAATGCTTGATCCTCTCGTCCAAGCACGCAGTGCATCTGACCGGTCAGTGGTGAGTCAATGCTAAGTATTTCTCATGTTTACCCATTGTGTACGATACGAGTTCCGGCTTTGCATGTGCTATAGTTGGGTGACGGCCCGTGACACACTGATGACGATCATGTCCTTCCCACAACCACCACGGTGACCCGAATTCCTGCGGTCCCGCATTTTGACACACTACCGAGAATCGAGTACTTATACAGATCGGCGACGAAATTCTTCATTCGACGTCGATATAGTCAGCGCTGTCACGGTTCTCATCCGCGGTCTTGATGATATCTCTTCGTTCGGATAGAGTTCAGTCGTCCACTGGACCATCATATTGCTGATCTTCCTGATGCGACGAGCAACATTCGGAACGGAAACGCTGGGTGGCTTGGCTGAAAGAAGCCGAGAGCAGAAGGCGGGAGGGCGGTGCGCGGTAGTATGTACCAAGGAAATTCAATGCAGAGTCGCTAGCGCTCTTCCGCCTCAGAGGTCGAAACTTGGTTCACAAGGGGAGATTCAGATTTAGGAGTCTAGAGAAAATGAATGACCAAGCACGGCTTGAGCAAATAGACTAGACAGTATTGGCATACCATTGTGCCTGAAATAGGGATTGGAAGTTGGAACCGCATGTTTTTATTGACATTGACCGTGCAGATAGGGTAAAGCGGTGAAGCCTGCTATGTCCCACAGTGGGTATACTCATATGATCCGTTGCCGGCTGCTTGATTGCCTTTTCTTGACGGCATAAATACTTCTGGAACAGTTTGATGAAAGAGATAATCTCATCCCCCCTCCGTTCGAAAATTGGATTGTTCCGCAGGAGATGGGCCGGTGGCGCTTTGCCATCAGCGTTCTTGAATTCGAAGGGCGCCACCATGACCATTTACGGTGTATCCCAATTGCCGAATGTGTAGAGTCTGGGAATTATGTCCGCCGGACGCTATTTTTGGCGCCAGGAGGCAACCAAGAGCGTGATCACCCAGAGATTATTGAAGGTACCGCACAGACGAAACACACGGACTCGGGGTCAAGTAACATGTAGCTAATTTATACTAGTGGGAGTATTATGCATCATTTTAGTGGCTCAGTTGATGCATTCCGGATTTTGGAATCCGCAACTTCAAGACCTCTTCCACTGAGAGGGGTTTATATTATCAAGGCAGCCAAGAAACTCCCGTTGACTAATCCACGCAAGTATTAAATCCCAAACCGGGAGTTCATTTAGACCTGTTGGGTGCTCGCAAACTCCTTTGCGCAGCAGAAGCCAAGCTCGTCTGGACTTGGAATTCGTATTTAAGACGTGTAGTTCAGATGAAAAGGATTCAGACTGGTATCTCCCCCTTACAACAAGCACATCGTGAGTTCTCCGCAAACCAAATATTTTGAAGGAAACGGGCGCTCACCCTTCTGTTTTACAGCGCTGGCCGGATTGCGTTATCGAACTTGACCTATCCATCGAAGAACGTATCCTTACTTTCATAGTTCGTGCCTCTGCGAATTTCAACACTCGGAAAATTGACATTCATTCTGTAGACCGCCATGAGGTTTTCGACGGTCTTCGTAGCTTTGACCTGCGCACTCGGTCCTATTGTAGCTGCTCTACCTACGGATTCCACATTTCTCGAGCTCGAAGCAAGAGCTGGGTGCGGTTTTGGCAGTGTCAAAGGTCATCGTTGCGATACACAAGGCTGTCGAGATGGTGGAGGTTCCTGCTATCTCAGAACCTATACTGGACGATGCCAGCAAGTGAACATGCGTGGAAAAGGGGCGCCGTTTGGCTGTCAATATTGTACATGCGTCAAGTATTCGTAGAGCGGTACTTCTTTTCGTTCGACTTGGAATGTTCATGCCGGAATGGCGTTATGTGCACAAAATATCAGTAGTCGGTCGAAAGTCAGTCAAAACATAGGGTCGAGTTGCGCGGCGCTGACCAAGGCAGCATGTTTGGGTGAACGAGACTGAACCACACAAGGGAAAGGCACTGGGTGACTGAAGACAAATAAATCAGCTACCTAGTGGCCGCACAGGTGCACGTCGTACTCACCTAACATACGTAGGCGTGAACTCTCCCGACGGCTGAATGGGCTTCCCTTCCGCGTCGACAGCTCTCTTGATATCGAATGTAGCAAGGACAGACGCGATGGTCATCCAGATCAGGTCTTTCGCTGTTGCCACTCCCGGGCAAAAGCGCCGACCGAAGCCGAAGGCTTCCGAGGGCTCTTTGATGTTTTTGTTTAGCTCGCCTGAGGCGGGGTCGAGGAATCGCTCGGGCAGGAAGTGGTGGGTCTCGGGTCCATATGTAGCCCCGTCTTGCAGCATTGCCCTGGTTGAGATATATTAGAGAAGGAATGGACTTTTTGCATTGAAACATGAGAGACGCGCCATGCATTCACATAGACAGTCGAGCCTGCTGGGATGTGGTATCCGTTGTAAATGTCGTCTGCTATTACGCTATATTGGACGCCTGGACGAAAAATAATAAATGGTCATTATGGTGCATTGCATAGGAGTTGAGTGTTCGACTCACCTAGGGGGACTGTAGGCTTCCACCGAACCAATTCCTTCAACATGGCATCAATGTAAGGGATCTTCCCAACGTCTGGGAATTCGGGCAGCCGCTCGCCTCCCAACACTTTGTCTATCTCCACTTGAGCTTTCCGCTGCACTTCAGGATACATCGTCATGGCGAGGATAAAAGTGAGAAGCGGAGACACTAGCTGAAGAGAGGTGACTGTTAAACCTCAGAGTGACCTAGCATTTCCGACAATCTTACGGTATCTGAGCCAACTAGAGGCCAAGTTCAGAGCAGAAGAAACAAGGAGGAAGGGGTATTTACCAGAGTAGCTAGAAACCAAGATGTTGCGGATCTTCTCCTCTTCATGTCGAACTGTATCTGGGTCCGTTTCATGGGAAATCTTCTCCAGCAGGTCAGTAGCGATACATGGGCGTGCTATCCCCTGTACCTGAGCACATACAATCGTAAGAAAGAACTATCTCGACCTTCAACGAGGGGAAATGTCTCACGAAACGTGATTTCACAATCTCGAACGGAATGTTTGCCATGTCGTCAATGTCCGGCTTCCACTTCTTTGCGTCGACTCTGAACTGGGCCCCAGGGAACCATGCTGGGAGGATCTTGAGCGAAGGGAAGTAGTCGACGATGTACCCGTGCCCTGCTTGACCCATGGCGTACATTGCTCGCTCGGCACGCAGGAGGTGTGGATCATCTTGGGATTTGATATCGATTCCATAAGCAATGGACATAATATAGCTGCCTGCTTGCCTGAAAACCATATATGAACATTCTTTTTCAAAGCGTATCAGAGATGGGACACATACAGCCGCATGTGGTCCGTGAAATCGTCCGGGTTGTTCAAGAGATTTTGGAGCAGGGTTTTTGTGCCATTTGAGATAGCCGGGCGAAACTTGAGCCTGTAAGATGTTTCGAAGTACTGGTGCATTATCTTCCGATGTTCTGAGGCGAGCTCATTAGGAATGAGTGCTTAGCGAGGGACAATGACGTACCCCTCCATTTGTTACCGTAAGGCATGAAGCCAACGTGCCACCCAAATCCCATTCTTAAAATAGAACGTTATCAATTTGTATTTTTGGTGTTGATAGTCAGTTTTAGACATACAAGTCGACCATCATGGGGAGTTCTGGCCTGCGATGATTCAGCGAGTTACAGAACCGAGGGAAAAGAGTAGACGCACCTGGAAGCATAGTTGGACGAACGAAGATCGACCAGCTCGTGTGCAGCCTTGTACGAGTCGATTACAATGGCGGGTGACCCGAGCATGTCAAGGTAGATTATATCCGTGCCTGTTATAAGAAATTTGAATTGGTGGTGGTGGACATGGGGGACAAGAATCACCGTATCGCGTAGCCCATTCATGATACGTCTCCCAGAATACACCCTTGGGCAAGTCAAAGATATTGCCAAAAAATGGCAGGCCGCGAGGACCAGGAGGAAGCGGGAGTCTTCGTTTCGGCGAGATAAGCCATTTTCGCAACAATGTCAGCGACAACGCCAGCGCAGCGCCCGC